TTTGCTGCTTCACTAATACCTGGTAATCTTTCATGTAATAATTCAGCAGGTAAATGATTTAAATGTAAATAAATATGATCTTTTTCTGGTCCAACTCTAAAGAATACTAAAATAATAATATACCCTCTTCCTTCTAAAATTTCTTTAGTCATAGCTCTAGAGACAACATCTCTACTAGCTAAATCTTTAGCTGTAGGAGCATATCTTTCCATAAATCTTTCTCCCAAAGAATTTCTAAGAATACCCCCTTCTCCTCTACATCCTTCAGTCATAAGACATCCAGATCCATAAATACCAGTAGGATGGAATTATACAAATTCTAAGTCTTCCATAGGTAAACCTGCTCTAATAGTCATACCACCACCATCACCAGTACATGTATGTGCAGATGTACATGATTAAAAGGCTCTTCCATAACCTCCAGTTGCAATAACAGTATATCCAGCTCTGATTCTATGAATTGATCCATCGGCCATTGACATACAAACCACTCCTCTGCATGCTCTAAAAATATATATTAAATATATAATTACCCTTATTCATCCATCATTAAATCTAATGCAAAATATTCAACAAAGAAAATGCAATCATAACCTAATGCTCTACCAAACAGTGTATGTAACATAGCATGACCTGTACGATCAGCTACTGCACAACATCTATATGCTTATCCTCCTGTTCCAAACTTTAAACTTTATCCTCCAAAAGCTCTTTAATATATTTTCCCTTCAGGAGTTCTAGAAAATGGTAAACCATAACTTTCCAATTCATAAACAGCCTTTGGTGCTTCTTTACACATATATGTAATTGCATCTTAATCTCCTAACCAATCTGATCCTTTAATAGTATCATATGCATGCCTATATTAATTTAATGTTTAATACCATCTCCAATCATCTTCTGTCATATTACCTAAGGCTGCATTAATACCTCCTTATGCTGCTACTGTATGAGATCTTGTTGGAAATAGCTTAGATATGCATGCAGTCTTAAAACCTAATTCAACTAAGCCAAAAGCTGCTCTTAATCCTGCTCCACCTGCTCCTACAACTACTGCATCATAAGTATGATCTATCACTGTGTATTTATCTGTCAAGTGTCCCTTTTCATATTAATTATTAATATTACTTATGATGGTCCTTTCTCTGGTTTATTATTCGCAACTACCGCAAAACGATTCATTAATTTCATTGCTTATTGTCTAAACAATGCCTATTTTGTAATTGCTAACATCAAATTAAAAAGATATTTTAATTATTTTATGCTTTAAGAATTTTGTATTCTCAAAGAATTCGTGTTGATCTCTCATTGACAAATAATATTATATATTAATCGCCTTATACTCAAGTTAAAGATATCTTCATTTAATGATTTACCTAATCATAAACTTAAAACTTAATAAACAAATTCTCAAACAAGCTAAATATACCATATAAAATAATCTCATTCCTAAATCAAATATATTCTTTTTTAATAAAAAACTATTTCTCTTATCTCATAAAATAGGTTGCCCAAAATCAACAAACTAATAGATTTATAGACCTCCTAAACATTTTCAATTTTATAATTTCTCACTCAATTATAAATTTTCCTAAAAAATTTCTAATTGATTATGAATAAAATTGTGAATGGTTTTACAATTCTATATCTTATTTAACTAATCTATTTACAGATATATTGTTTCCAGAAAATTATCATTATAAAATCTAGATTTTTAAATTATTGGTATTTAAATTTAGCTTTAAAAGAACAAAAATAAAGTAGCTTTAAATATCAATATTAATTAAGCATTTAACCCCTTTACTAAATAAATTAACTTAAATAGCTTTCAGCATTAGAAATTATGTTAAGTAACCCATGAATTTTTAAGAATAATATGCCACCAAAGCTATTCATAGTATTTTCTATCCTTTACGGAAAAAGGATTATGATAAAATTATTTGGGGAGACTTAATATAAACCAATTTATTTGATATTTTAGATATGTTATAAAAATAAGATGATTTAAATTAGATAATGCTTATTTTAACTTTTATTTTACTTTAATAACTATTAGATAAATTAAAAAACTACAAAACCTTTTCAGGATTATGAATTACTTCTTAAATGAAAAGTTTCTCCAGAAATATTTATTGACAATAATGAGACTACCAGTGATTTAGAATCATGAACCTTACTACTCTTCTGAATTTTACAGTTCTTTTGACCCTCTACCTTAAATGCCTTATCATTTTGAATTTCATTTACGATTGTTTTGTTAAAAATACAACTTTTGTTTTTGGAATATATTATAAATTCATTCGCCTTTTAAATAGATATAAAATTTTTCTTTAATATCATTATCATATAATTATTATCTATCAATTTTCAATAATAAAAATTAATTATGTTCCTGTCAACAATAAAGATTTCTGCTGTTTGATAACATAAATAAAAATATGGATTATTATTTTATTTTTGATGAAAATTATATGGAAAAATGATTGTTGTTCTAATTTTTTTTGTACTAATTTCATAGAATCCTAAAATAATTCAAAACTTTGAGACTTGAAAATATTTCATTTAAATTTAATCTGTTAATTCTAATTATAAAAAATTCGAATCAAATCCATTTACAATATGAAAAGATTTTTTATTTTCTTTTGGAATAATTGATTTGGCTTTGAATGTACCTTACATTGAAATCAAATTAATTTACCTATATTTGAAAATTAATAAACATAGTATTTTGCCATTTTTTTAAAATAATTCAATTTTTTATTTTTTCAATATCTTAAAAATATTATTTAAAGTTTAAATATATATCTCTATTTAAAGTTGAGTGATAACTTTCAAAGAAAGTTTCTAAAACTTCAGCTCTAAATTAGAAACAAAGAATAGTTAAGATTCTTAGCCTAAAAAACTTTCTAATCAATACTTAGATCTTTTCTCAATTAAGAGGGAAAGATAATTTTTACTATATTAATTTGAAATCTTTTTATTAATAGAGATTAAATAGTTTGCTTATAGTGCATATTCTAATATTATTTAATCCTTAATTAGATATGACTAAATTAAATAATATTATGATTTAAATCTTTCTACATTTATATATGTTGTCAAATTTTAAGATAATATTATTTCTCAATTCAGATAAAATTAATGTTCACTCAATAGTAATTAAACTATGCTGCAACTTATTTTCTTCAAAACAAACCACGACTTCTTCTTTATTCAAGATACTGAACTTTTCTTGTTCAATAATAAAACTAATTTATATTCATAAAAATAGGATTTTTTTTATTGATAAATATAGTATTTAACTTCTTGAATTATTTCAAATTAAAAATATGCTGCCTTCTGAAATGGAGCCTTTCTTTCCTGTTTTAATTGAAAATAAATCCTTATTTAGAAAAATAAAGAAAAGGCATCATTCCACTTAACCAATTGATCGAAATGGTTAATAGCAAATAGATTCTTTTTATGAAAAATCTATTATAATATAGAGAAAGGAATTATAATTTAGAACTTTAGAAGCAAAAAAGTAGATTTTAATCTAGTATCCAAAAACATCTATGAGTGGTAGAGAAAATTAAAATGAAGAAATCAGTTTTGAAAAATTGATTCAAACATTTTTATAAGCTAATCCTTGCAGTTAGACAAAAAGATCTGCAAATAATAAAAAAATGTTTAAAATAATATCTTAACATAAGGAAATCAAAATTCTTGAAGAGGAACATAAATGTATATGAAATTTTAAAATTTACTAGCGCTTCAATAAAAATTTTATCGATAAATAAATTCATATTTAGAAGAATGTAGAAAATTTTGATTTTTTATCATTATTTTATAATTAATTGCCTTTAAGTATTTTCTTATTAATTATATTCTGTAAATAATTTTTAAAGTCTTAATATTTTTATATTAATAAATTTTAAGAATTTATATAATAAAATTATATGTTAGAGTTGAAAATTATTAAAGCTCTAAATTTTTTAGGTAGACTAAATTAAATAGAAACAGAATAATATTTTATCCACTAGTAATTTCTAAGATAAGCAAAATACTTTTTAGTAATTGTACGGCTTTTCACTTATAATAAAAAAAAAGTAATTAATTGAATTGAAAAAATTGAAATAATTTATGTTATTGACAAGAGAAAATATCGAATTTTATACTCAAAGAAGAAAATAGTATTGTGAAGATTTCTTAAAGCTAACGAACCAATTTAAACCAAAATTAGAGTTATTATAAAAAAAGTTGATAGCTTCTAAGTAGGCAATCGATGGTCCTGCTAAATCAATTCCTCATTAATAAAAGATAAAAAAAGTCAATAAGGTTTTGGCATCTCTTTCAAAATCTAAGGAAGTTCAATACAAAATTGATAAAGAAATGATTCGATGCTCATGCTAATATAAATTAGATGAGGTTCCAAATTGCAAGTATGGAATAATATAAATTTAGTTTCAATTACTCTTAAACTTGTAATAAGATACAATAAGCAATGGCACCTTTGATCCAAAACCTTTAAATCTAGATAAATGATAAGGAAGTGGAAATTCTGAATGATTAAGATTGTTCTGATTTGTATATAAAAGTATGTTAAAATAACTTTATTAAGAGAGAGATGATTTGTAAAAAATGAATCAAAAATCAAAAAGATTATAATAAATAATAGAAAAGCTTTAGATAATGGAATTGAAATAAGAAGAAAAGGTATAAAGGGAAAGTATAAAAAAATTGGAGAAAATGGATAAAGCTGAAGATTATGATGAAACTCTACCATATTCTAGAAAAGCATTAATGTCAAAAAAGAAAATAGAAGCTTAATTTTTAATAGAGGAAGAGAGAAAATAGAGAAAATAATTTGAGAATGAAAGGATTAGAGAAAATATAGAAGAATAAAAATAAAAATATCAATCTTTAGACAATAAAATAAAAACACATTATAAAAAAATGGGTTTATAAAAGAGAAAATTAAAAAGTTTGTGTGATTTTAGAGAGTACATTAATGATTGTAAAACAAATTCTAAAATAAAAATTGATTCTTAGGTTAATATAAAACAATAACAATTAAAAAGTATTTTAAATGCAGATAAAAGATTTTCAATAACATTATTTTCAACATAAATGAATTCGTAAAATCTAACGTATATTATTTAATAAATTTAAAAGTCCTGTTTGTGGTGAAATAAATGGTTAAACAGCTCCTATAATAAGTAATGTTAATACTTAAAGAACTATAATACAAAATTTTGGTAAGAAAACATCCCAAAACTTTAATAAAATAAAAAGAAGATATAATAATTTAGGATAAAGGTTAGAAAATGGATCAAATTTTGATTTTTAAGATAATAAATTAATCTTATTATGATCAGGATTATTAAATCTAACATTTTAGACAATTTACTGATTGATTTGTTGGGAAAACTACCAAATAGATTTCTAAGCAATTCATACAATATCTATAACTTGGGATTGAGATTCTAGGAGGATGAAATTAATAACCATGACATTATGTGCATGGATAAGCTTTATTACAACAAGAGAAGATTGGAATTGTATTACAAGGTAATCTATGAGAACAATCTTAAGTATATAAAATATGAGGAAATGTTCTTAGTTACTTTTCTCTTTCAAATTCTTTTTCTTTTTTTTTTTATTCTTCTTTTTATTTGATTTATTCTTATTCTCTTTATTTCTATTCTTTTTTCAATTATATTTATTATTATTTTTAAATTTCTATCTATCTTTTTATTTCTTCTTATTTTTATACTTCAATTTTTCTCTCTTCTTCTTAAATTTCATGCATAATTAATTAAAATGGTTTAAACTATTCATAATATTTTTCTTATTTTTATGCTAAAATCTATAATTTTTATTAAACATATTCTTTTCTTTATTTTTAATCAATAATTTAAATTTTGTTATTATCACCTAAAGCTGTATTTAATTCAAATTCTAATTATTCTCTAAAATCATTCCAAGATTATTAAACTTTATCAATTTTTTAAGTTAAATATTTTTCAGTTTCATTGATAATATATTCAACTTCAGATAGATGTTTTCCTTAAATAAAACTTAAACTTTCAATAAGTTCATCCTGACTCATATCAAATATATTTTTGCTACTTAAATATTTAACTCTATTTTATAGATCTCTTTCTAGAGGTTGCCATTATAGTTCTTCATCAATTGATTTAATTACATTATCTTCTATTAATTTTAATTTTTCTTAGACAGAAATTTTTAATTTTCCAAAAAAGGTCTTAACTTAATTAATTTTATCAGGAACTCGCATAATTTAATTACAGAGAATATCAAACTAAGAAATATGTATAACCAATATACTTATTGTCTTCTGTCATCGAATATTTTACAAAATGTTTATATGTCCATATTATGAGATGCATGATTTCCATGTTATTCAATTTAACAATATGAACAACCTAATCGATTATCTGCTTCACAATTTGGATATTAACAAATGAAAACCATCTTATTCTTTTCATGAGAATTTTTAGTACAGATAGCTTCCATATTGAGTCCAAGCATTTTAATGATTGAACGTTCATGCATTTATTACAGTTATTACTTTGATATAATTTAAGAGGGCCTTTTTTACAAAGTTCTAGTAGGAGAAGGGGGATAAGGGAATGTCTTAGAGCTTTATTATATATATATAACATACCTAACAGACTTACAATGACCAACAGGACTATTAGAACTACGAAATGATTATTATGATTTAGACATCTCTATTTATAGTTGACTACCAGTCATTTGATCTTATGATTAATTTGCTATCTTTTTAGGGCTCGATGAATTTTATGAATTCAATGAACTCCTTCTTTGATATTGCGATGTTTTAGCATATTTAAGTTAAGATTTTTGCATATTAATTTAATTTGCGGTTGATTTGAGATGAAACAAACAAAAGAAGAAAGTGTAAAATTGTATTTAGACTTCTATGATAAATATACGTGGCCTCTAGAAATAGCTGAAACATTACTAGAAGTTAGATAATATCTTACAGAATCTACAATATTGTCTTTATTTCAGAATTTCTACTTTTCTCATAAAGGATAGCGAATCAATGAATACAATGAATTTTCAATACCAGATGGAGGAAAACTATAAGTTTTATTAGGTATATATATAAATATATGTTTAGATGAATTCAATGAAAGAACAGCTAGATTTCATTTAAGAAGAGTGTAAGAAATAATAACTAATTTATCACATTATCAATATCTTTGTAAAGGTAAAAATACAAATGAAGATCAATTATAAATCAAAGAGATAGGAGACTTATAATTAAATGATATTCTTTAACCAGCAATTAAACCAACATTACTATTAAATGATGACAATAAAGCTGTAAAATAAAATGTATAATAATTGGGACTGTCATCTTTTAATCCTCCACCTCTTTCGCGTAAATTAAAGGGTAATTATATAAGAATAATATTTAGGTGATCTTTTTTACATTGTCCTTAAGACTATTGAATCAGTTGAATTGATAATAACAGCATCCAATTTAGGATTTTATGTAAATAGTACTTAAGGAAGAACATTTGAACCAACGTAAAAAAGTGATTGTTATTATAATCTTATAGATTTGATTGTAGATCACAGTCCTTCTTTTAAGTAAATTATTAATTTAAATAAATTAGAAAAGAATTAATTAATGCAATCCCAGAATAATAATAACCCACATTACCAGCAACAATAAGATATAATCATAAATGGTTATCTGTTCCTGAACTTCCACTCACATTAGATCATTAAAGAAGTGAAAGTTGGGCCTTAGATTTACATGGATTTGATGTATCTAGTCTAAGAGATTGGAATGAAGAATTATAAGTCTTTCGTTCTTTACCTAAGACTGATTTAATTTAAAAATTAAATAGAGATAAAGCTTTATCTAAAGTTTATGGTGATTTTGTAGAAGCTGCTGTTAGAGGAGCTTGTGCTGTTGTAGATAAAATAATTTAACCTTTAAATCCTATGGATATAGAATGTCAATAAGTTTATGTTTATAATCAAATATTCTTTAGTTTTGCTATGGAAACACCAGAAGATTTTAGAGTATTTTATATCATTTAATATTAAGTAAGAAAGTGGTCCTGATGCTACACCAACTGTATCAACTACTAATTGTGATTTCAGAAATCTTTAAATTCTACATAAATTAGATATTCCTGGATTAAGTGTTTTGAATACTTGTTTAGTAGATTATAAAGGAAGAAGAGTTATTGCATAATCTATAATACCAGGAATCCTTAATAGTGATCATAGTAATTGTACTCAATATGGTTCTATTGATGATGGAAAAACTATCTAAAAATCTGAAGAATTTCATAAAGTCATGTCAAAAACATGTGAATTCTTCCATCTTGATACTGATATTGTATTTCTTGATAGTAATTAACAAAAATACTCTATGGCTGGAAGCATAGAAGTCAAAGGAATTATGGGATCAGATAAAAGAATGTATTTACTTGATCTTTTAAGATTATCTCCTCGTGATTATAATTATTAAGGGGAAAACAATCAATGTTGTGTTTTAAGATTTGAATTACTTTAAAATTATTGGGTTGTTAATACTATTTAAAAAATTAAATAAAATAATAGTGATGATCCTAAAACATAATAAGAAGCATATTAAAATATTTAAAATCTTTTAATTGGAAATCCAAAAGAAGGATTAAAATTAAATCCAGCCTTAGGAACTAAAACTATTTTATAATCATCAGATAAATTAACTCAACAAGAAGAAGATTTAAAGAAATTGGCTTCATTTTTGTTAAACTAAGCAATCCCATAATTAATTTAAGAATTATCTCAACCAGAAACAACAAGACATTCTGATCTTAGTATTTCTGATATATTTCATTCTCATGGAGTAAATATGAGATATCTTGGTAAAGTAATAAGCTTTATTCGTTCTGAAGAATAACCATCATTAAGACTTACTTTAGAAAGAGTAGTCTTTGCTAAAACTTTAAAACACATTTTTAGAGATTATATGAGAAAAGCACCACAAAATTAATTATCTTAAGTTTTATGTCATCTTTTAAATGTAATATTTTCTAATTAAAATCCTACAGTTAATAATAAATAAGAAGAGAAAAAAAAGAAGAAAAAAAATAAAAACAAAAGTAATTAAAATGGTGATAAACCTCATTTTAGATGTTTAATTTAAATAAATAATTATTAATATCCTACAAATTAAGAAGTATGGGATTAAATTAATAAAATTGCAGAGGCAAGGTATTCACATAAGATAGACCCTACTATTTTAAATAAAAAAGGTTTTCATAAATTATCTTGTTTGAGAGAATTATGTTAACAAATAGGATTATAATTAGTTGCTCGTGATTATCATGATTTCTAACCTTCAGATATAGTAGGAATTCAACCAATTATCAAATTTATTGAATAAGTTTCAGAAGATGCTAAAAATAATATAGAAATAGGTCAAAAATATATGCTTGAACATTAAAATCATCATTAAGCTTTAGAATCTTATCTTACTGCATCTTAAATTATATTAAATTTACATGGTTAAATGCATAAAGAATTGGCAAACTGTTATTCTAAAATTTCAGCTGTTTATTTAAGAAAATAAGAATATGATGCAGCCATTCATTTCTAAAAATAAGCTATTTAAATTTATACTACAATTTATGGATATGATCACCCTTTAACAATATAAGCTATTACTGCTTTATCTTTATATTATTTTTCCACTAAAAATTACAAAGAAGCTTTTAATCATATGTTACATACCTTATACCTGGCTAATCTAATTGGAGGTGAAGGTTAAGAAGTATTTAATTAATATACCAATTTGTCATTACTTTATTCAGAAAGTGGTTAACATTAAAGTGCTTTAAATTGTTTATTTGAAGGGTTAGAAAAATGTGAATCTCTATTTAAATCTTTTTAAGGAATTGAAACATAATAATATAAATTGAGAGTTTCTGGATATTATTCAGCAATTGCTTTAGAACATGGTGAAATTGGAGACTTTTAAAAAGCAGTTGAATTTTAAGAAAGAGCTTCTGAACTATTAAAAAGAGTAATTTAAATATTTAAATTAGACTCTTAAACCAGAAGATACAAGAGTTAAAGAAGCTGAAGCTTTATTGGCCAACTTAAAAAAAGCTTTGAATGAAAAAAGAAAGGATACTCAATAATCCAATTTAGGTATTTTTACTTTTATATCTAAATAGATAATAGAAGACAATTTGGTACTAATCGCAATCAATAATTAAAAACAGAATAATAAACACAATAAATTCAAGAAGAATCATATGTTGAAACTGATAAAGTATTAATATACTAAGAATAATAGGAAAGAGAGGCTTTATTATAAAAACTTAGAGCTGCCAAATAAAGTATGAAATTCAAGAACAAAAACCAAATGGATATAAATCGATATATTCTTGCTTAATAACTTTATAGATAATAACAATAATAATAGAAAGAATGAATGATAACTGTGATTAATATGAATTTGTTTAATATTATTTATTAATTATAATCACTCATGATATAGGATTTTGATATAAATTGGTAGGTACTTTAGGACTTTTAAAATGTATCTTATAGAAGTTAATATTCCTTAAGAATTTCATTAAAGGTATAATTAAATCAAAGTGCAATTTATAACTAATATGATCCATATCTTCTGCTAAATGTAAAATACATATTTCAGCAGAACAATTCTCTAATTATTTAATGTAATAAATACCTTATAATTTTTAAGCTTATTAATAAGGTATCATATCATCCTTTTTTCCATGCAAAATAAAAGTTGGAGATGTAACATCATTTATATTTACTATATTGTTAAATCTTTATCTAATTAAATGTTGTACCCATGTACCCACAAACCTGACATAGTCTCGTACAGCATCTTTTAAAGAAGTAAATGGAGACATTAAAACCAAACAACCTGGTTTATGTTTACTTGCTAAATAAGTAGCAGGACCAGATCCTATTGATCTTCCAAAAATCATTATAGAATTTTCTTCATAACCTATTTTCTTGGTCAAATAATTATAAACATAATCAGCATCATTTTATATAGCTTCAGCAGATGTTTAAATCTTATTATATTTTCCATAACCTGGATATTCTACTGCTAAAACTGAAATCTTTTCTTACTATGATATAATAATACTTACAAAATATTACGAAGATGTATCAAGAATGTGTATGATTAAGTTATATCTTCAGCATTCCCATGAAAATATACAATGATATTTGATGAATTTTCATATTTTATAAGCAAACAAGGAATATATCCAATAATACTTCCATCTCTTTTACCAGATCTTTTTTATTACATAACTATGTCTTATTTTTTATTAAATTAAATAAAATGAGGTGAACTTCTACTTGTAGTTTCTCTTTTTTTAGCTCTTATGAACTAATTTTCTAATATACTATTGATTTTTGTTTTGGCAATGTTGTTCACAGATTCTTAATTTAATTTTGATACTTTATTCTATAAATCCTCTTCGTAATCAATAAAATCAAATTCTGGTGACCCTATTTCTTTTTAATCAACCTCAAATTGTTTTTCAACTAAATATTATTTATCATTTTGAAGTCTATGAATATTTGGAAATTAAGGAATTGGTTGCTTTGAAAATTCTCTATTATTACTAAACATTTTACTATTGATCATCAATTAAAGCTAATTATTCATCTTCCACTTATTGGGTAGATTGCTTTACAAAAACAAACATATTTTTTTTTGTTTTTCTTTTCACATAATTCTGAAAATTTGGATAAAGTGCCGAATGTTTTGGTATCCATAATATTCTACCTTCATCAAAATATCCAATATCAATAGTCTCTTTTGGAGCTGGAAAAAATATGAAATCTAAGTCCATTTTGTTATTTTAAAATAATTAAACATTAAAACTGACCTTATTAATTCTTTAAGCCTTTTGATTAGTCTATTGGATAAGATAACAAACTTATTAAGACTTATGAAATAATTCAAACATTTCATAATGAATTTCAATCAATAAAACTTATCTTTTAAAAGATTCATAATAATATGAAAATTTTATCATTTAGACTTTAACAATTTTTAAAACATCTAAAATTTCCTTTGGACTCCAAAAGCTGCCTAAAATTAACAAATTTAAAATTAATATTACAATTTTATTTTTAGAACAAATGTTTTTAAAGAAGAATTACTTGAAAAATAAGTAGATAANTATAGCTTCAGCAGATGTTTAAATCTTATTATATTTTCCATAACCTGGATATTCTACTGCTAAAACTGAAATCTTTTCTTACTATGATATAATAATACTTACAAAATATTACGAAGATGTATCAAGAATGTGTATGATTAAGTTATATCTTCAGCATTCCCATGAAAATATACAATGATATTTGATGAATTTTCATATTTTATAAGCAAACAAGGAATATATCCAATAATACTTCCATCTCTTTTACCAGATCTTTTTTATTACATAACTATGTCTTATTTTTTATTAAATTAAATAAAATGAGGTGAACTTCTACTTGTAGTTTCTCTTTTTTTAGCTCTTATGAACTAATTTTCTAATATACTATTGATTTTTGTTTTGGCAATGTTGTTCACAGATTCTTAATTTAATTTTGATACTTTATTCTATAAATCCTCTTCGTAATCAATAAAATCAAATTCTGGTGACCCTATTTCTTTTTAATCAACCTCAAATTGTTTTTCAACTAAATATTATTTATCATTTTGAAGTCTATGAATATTTGGAAATTAAGGAATTGGTTGCTTTGAAAATTCTCTATTATTACTAAACATTTTACTATTGATCATCAATTAAAGCTAATTATTCATCTTCCACTTATTGGGTAGATTGCTTTACAAAAACAAACATATTTTTTTTTGTTTTTCTTTTCACATAATTCTGAAAATTTGGATAAAGTGCCGAATGTTTTGGTATCCATAATATTCTACCTTCATCAAAATATCCAATATCAATAGTCTCTTTTGGAGCTGGAAAAAATATGAAATCTAAGTCCATTTTGTTATTTTAAAATAATTAAACATTAAAACTGACCTTATTAATTCTTTAAGCCTTTTGATTAGTCTATTGGATAAGATAACAAACTTATTAAGACTTATGAAATAATTCAAACATTTCATAATGAATTTCAATCAATAAAACTTATCTTTTAAAAGATTCATAATAATATGAAAATTTTATCATTTAGACTTTAACAATTTTTAAAACATCTAAAATTTCCTTTGGACTCCAAAAGCTGCCTAAAATTAACAAATTTAAAATTAATATTACAATTTTATTTTTAGAACAAATGTTTTTAAAGAAGAATTACTTGAAAAATAAGTAGATAACGTGATAATTAATTGAAAATTCAAGTAATCTTAAGAAAAACTCTAAAATAGATTTCTTTATTTATGTAAATATGATGTATACAATTTTAGAATGAAGTACTAAATTATATTAATATTTCTAATAGTGAAAGTATAAATATTCCTTTAAAACCTTTGAATTTATAGAATGAATATGTTTAAAAATTCAGTTATTTCAAGCATCGTTAAAAATGAGTTTAAAAATAATATATAACACAACTCTCAATTTTTATTTTGGTTATTCAGGAAAATTTGATTAAAATAATGATAAAAGCCTCAGAATTTCTGCTTAGTTAAAATTAAGCATTATTAGCCAATTTTGAATAGCTTGAAGTATAAGTTAATCATGCAAAACCATTGATCTCATTTATGAAAGGTGATCCAACTTTATTTGGGCATGACCAATGCAAAATGAGCCAGATTGGTTATGATATTGTTAAATCTGAAATTAGTAAATCTTAAAATCATTCATATTGTCATTCAACAGGAACTCAAGTAGTGTTCATATTAAATATAGCCTGCAAAATAAGCTGTCGCAAAACATTTTGGGCATGGAAAAAACATTACAGAAAATGATGTAATAATAACATAAGGAGTGAATTAAGGACTTTTTTATTGTTTATTGGGAATATGTGACCCTGGTTAAAATATCCTTGTTCCTGAATTAGGATTTCCATTTTTTGATGGAATCGCCTAAGCATATTAAGTTGAGGTATAATAATAGATGACGTATTATTTTAGGTTAGAAAATATAAATTATAATCAGATAATCAATGGTAAATTGATTTTGAAGATTTAAAGAACAAATTAGATGAAAACACTAAGTTCTTATATGTTATTAATCCTTCAAATCCTTGTGGTTCTGTATTCTCAAAAGAACATGTTTAAGAAATAATTAATTGGGCAAATTAAAATCGTATTTTAATAGTTGCTGATGAAATTTATTATGGAATGTCTTTTGGAGAATTTGTTTCATTTGGAGAATTAGCAGATGAAGGACCTATTATTTGTTTAGGAGGAATGGATAAAATGTTCTTTACTCCTGGATGGTAAATATCATGGATGATTTTCTATGATAAAAATAATTATGCAGGTGAAATTAAATAAGCAATGTTTAATCTTTGTCAATTGTTATTACATGCAAATGTATTTATTATGAATTCTCTTCCATAAATTCTTGATCACTTAACTATTTTTTATGCTAAAGATAAAATGATTCATTTCAAAGAAAATCATGATTTTTTAATTTAACAACTTAATTAAATAAGAGGATTAAAGTGTGTACCAGCATAAGGAACATTTTATTTAACTGTTCTTATTGATTTAGATATTTTTTAAGTAAAAAATGACGTAGAATTTGCTAAGAAATTATTGAAAGAGTAGAACATAATGCTACTGCCATTATCTTGGAATGGAACTGATAAGTATTAAGGATTTAGGTAATGATTAATAATTATTAAAAGAATGCTTACTATTGCAACTAAAGATATTTATATCGATATGATTGAAAGAATGAAAGAGTTTGCCAGAGTTTGAATTTATTTTCATTTATATACAAGGTTGAGAAAATAATCTTTTTATTTAAATTTTTATTAAATGGGGAAAGACAAAAAGAAGAGTAAAAGTAGAAGCAAATCTGGTAAAAAGAAAGAGAAGAAAGAGAAGAAGGATAAAAAATCAAAAGCTAAGAAAGATTCAATAAAGAAGGAATCTATAAAAAAGAAAGAGTCTGTAAAAAAGGAGTCTTAAAAGAAAAATAAAAAGTAAAAAGAATCAAAAAAAAAAGAAAAAAAGAGTAAAAAGAAAAGTCAAAGTCCTTCCCCGATAAATGTTTAAAAAAAATAAGCCTAAGATGAATAGAAGTTGAAAGATGAAGAATAAAAGCGATTATCTAGATTAATGAAAGCAAAATTAATAAAATTTTAGAATTCAGATGATGATGATGATGATGATAAAAAAGAATTTGTATATAAAGATCCAGAAGTGATTGAACCAATTCTACCACCAGATGAATAATTAATATATGATTGGTCATAAAGAAATTAAGAAAAATAAATACAAGATGCATTAAAAAAATGTAGATTAGTAGGTGAAAAACTATTCTATGATTCTGATGAACTTGAAAAAGATGATAATTAGGATGAATAATCTTAAGAGGAAAATGTAGGTGGTGATAATAAATAAGATCAAAAAATGTAAGAAGAAGATGATTAAGAATAATAAAAACAAAATGAAAAAGCAGAAAAATAATAATAAGAAAGATTTTTGATTGAAAAAAAAATATTAAATAATGATAGTGATAGTGATAGTGAAGATGAAAATGCATCAAAAGTAAAATACTTTACAAAAAATCTGTAATCAATTACTAGATTAAAAGAATTACAATAATAACCTCAATAATAAGTTTAAAGACCATAAGTAAAGAGAAGATGGAGAGATGAATAATTAGATGATTAAGAAGAAGATCCACTTGAAGCATTTATGAGATAAGTAGAAAGTAAATATAAATTATTAATTATTTAGCTGAAGCAACATAATAGGCAGATGAAGATGAAAGAAGAAGAAAAGAAGAAGAAGAAAGAGAGAGAAAGAAAAAATAAGCAATTGAAGAAGAATTAAGAAAATTAAATGCTTAAAAAGTGATTACTTATGAAGATATAATATAAAATAGTTTAAATTAAGGAAATGAAAAAAATAATGATGGAATGGAAATAGAAAAAGCATAGGAAGTTTAAAACTAATAGATGGAATAGGATTAATAAGTTATTGAAGAAGATGAAGAGGATAACAAATTTTATGAATAGTTTATGAAAGAATTGAAGAAGAAAGAATTAGAAGAGAAGATGAGATAAAGAGAAGATGAAGATGAAGCTGAGGATGTTGATTTAGAATAATAATAAATGCTTGCTTTATTGGAAGAAGAACCTGATATTTTTGATAAATAAAAGAAATTAGAAAAGAAAGAATTAAAAGTTGTTGACCATTCAACTATTGATTATTAACCTTTTAGAAAAGATTTTTATAGAGAGGTAAGTGAATTAGTATAAATGTCAGCTGAAGATGCTAAAAAATTAAGATAATAATTAGGTGATATTAAGGTTAGAGGAAAAGATGTACCAAAACCAATATAAAATTGGTATTAATGTGGATTAAATGATAGAATATTAAATGTATTAATTGATAAAAAGAAATTTTTAAATCCTTTTCCAATATAAGCACAAGTATGCATTTTATACATTAGTTTAGGCTATTCCTTGCATAATGTCAGGAAGAGACTTTATAGGCATTGCTGAAACTGGAAGTGGAAAAACTCTAGGCTATCTATTACCTCTTTTAAGGCATGTTTTAGATTAACCTGCTTTAAAAGATGGAGATGGTCCAATAGCTATTATAATGGCTCCAACGAGAGAATTAGCACATTAAATTTATGTTAATTGTAGATGGTTTACTTCTATTTTAAATTTAAATGTTGTTTGTTGTGTTGGAGGAGCTGGAATAGCTGGTTAATTGAGTGATTTAAAAAGAGGAACAGAAATAGTTGTATGTACTCCAGGACGAATGATAGATGTTTTAACAACAAGCAATGGAAAAATAACAAATTTAAGAAGGGTAACATATGTAGTAATAGATGAAGCTGATAGAATGTTCGATTTAGGTTTTGAACCATAAATATGTAAAATAATACAAAACATCAGACCAGATAGACAATTAGTGATGTTTTCAGCAACATTCCCAAAAAATGTAGAGTAACTAGCCAAAAGGTATGAATCAATTAGTATATTTAAAGAGTGTTACGTAAACCAATAGAATGTATAGTTGGAGGTAGGGGATAAGCAGGAGGAAATATAGAATAAATAATAGAATTTATGGATGAATCAGATAAGTTATACAAATTGTTATTACTTTTTTAAGAATGGTATACAAAAGGGAGTATTTTGATATTTGTAGAGAAGTAGACAGAAGCAGATGATTTATTTAAGGAATTATTGAAATATGGATATAAATCATTTGTATTACATGGAGGAATGGATCCATAAGATAGAGAATTTACAATTCATGATTTTAAGAAAGGAATCCGAACAATAATGGTAGCAACTTCTGTATTAGCAAGAGGATTAGACATAAAACATATTTGTTTAGTGATAAATTTTAGTTGTCCTAATCATATGGAGGATTATATACATAGAATAGGAAGAACAGGAAGAGCAGGTTAGAAAGGAACAGCGATAACATTTTTTACTCCTTAGGATGAACATTTAGCTAATGATTTAGTATATCTATTAGAGAAAAGTGAATAATAACTACCTGAAAAATTAAAAGAATATTAGAAATCATTTATGGATAAGGTTAAAGCAGGAGAAGCTAAGATTTATAGAAATAAAAATAGAGCTGGTGGAGGATTTACATTTGGACCAGAAGAAGAATAAAAGTTTTAAGATTTTAGAGCTTAAATGAGAAAGAAATTTGGATTAGAAGGATTAATGATGGATGAATAATCTTCAGATGATGAAAAAGTATTAGAAGAAATTGCTAAAGGCAAATTAAGTGAAGAGTAAATTCTATATTTATTATTTTAGGGAAAGATTAAAAAAATAAGAGGAAAGAGATAGAGTAGAAAGAGAGAGAATTATGTAATTAATTAAAGATCCAGCATTAAAATCTTAAATTTTATCAGAAGCTACTAAAGCTGCTAATTTATGTATCAATTCTGGTGGTTCAAGAGAATAAGTTGCTAATGCAGCAATGGATGCAATTAAAAGAGTATTAAAATAGCATAGCTAAGTTAATAAATCTATTGAAGGAGGCATAGAAGAAGCAATGCAAATTATCAATGAGTTTGAAGAAAGAGAACGAAATAATCATGATTTTGTAAGCTATGATTTTGAAATTAATGATTATCCAACATAAGCTAGATTGAAAATATTAAGCAAAGAGTTTCTTAATATGATTCATGAACTTACTAATTGTTAAATCTCATAAAGAGGAAGTCTTGTTGAACCTGGCAAAAAACCTTTACCTGGATAGAAAAAGTTATTCTTAAGAATCGAAGGAGAGAATGAATACTTTGTTATGAGTGCATATAAAGAAATCAAACGTATGGCATAAGATTTAACTCTCAATTAAATTTAAGATAATTATGCTGGTATTCAAACAAATTCTAAATTAATTTGAATTATAGATCATCAATCAAATAAAATTACATATATTATTTATATCATTATATCAATATTTCAATAATATTTATTAATATCACCATTAAATTATTTGTCTATCTATCACAATACAATATAAAACTGGTCATATTGGTAAATACAAAAGCCATATTATTTATTTTATACTTTACATATATCTCAAACAGACGAGAATATTTACAATTCTACTATTACATAAATAATTATAAATTCAAATTCATTTCACTAGAATATTAATTAGAAAGATAATATCTTAAATATCTCACTATGTCTCTTATTTAATTATGAGTAATGCTAAATATACTAAACCTATCACAATATAAGTATAAATATAAATTTCTGTTTAGGTTTCAAAAGCATATTTAGTGTATTTAATATTTAATAAACCTCTTATGTTTAATTCAATAATTATTAAATTTTTATTTTGTTATCCAGAGTAAAATAAATAAATAACTTTTTTCCAACTTTATTAATCAGGGAAAAATTTCATAGCCGAAATGATTATTTTGGACAGATTTTTATTTATTAATTATACAGTATCTTTGAATCGTTAAAATTCTAGTACAATTGTATTTTGGTATTGCTATATAACAAAAAGTTATGCAATAGACATTTTATTTGATTACATTTTGGATATGAGTACAAAGATGATTGTCAATTTAAGCATTATAAGATTTTCTTGAAGGAGGGATTGGTTTTTTAGATAATATTATAATAATATCATTATTGATTATATCTGTAAGGATCAAATAAGGAATGATTCCAACACTCACCATATCAAAACTCAAAATAGTTAATACTATTTAAAAAGGAATGATCATCCATAAACATTTTGGAAATAATTAAGTGCTACTCATATACATGCAGTTATATAGACTAGTAAGTATATGCATAGATAATAAAGCATTCCATATTCATAAATGAATTGAGAAAACATTCCTATAAATATTTGCCCTGGAATTGCATATAATTGTATATACATTATTTTTATTAAATCACTTCTTCATTCTAATTTCTATAATTGATTAATCCTTTAAATTTTGGATATCATTTAAAGAGAAAAATTCTGGCATTATCTTTCCTTAGAAAATCAGGTCCTAAATTATTTTAATGCAGAATCTCATACAAAATCATTTCTTCCACAGTCTATTTTTTCAGCTACACATTTCTTAGCCCATTCAACATCTTATCCTACCTTAAACTAACTTATTATGAGATTATTAGTTATACCTCTAAATCATAAAAACTCTCTCCCAATTAAAATTTTAGCTAGCTTATTCAATATATTTATTACCTTAATGCTTTATCCAGCAAATAAATCATTTTCTTATTCAAAAGTCATTACATTTGCATTTTTAAAATTCAGACTAAAACCTTTCGACATTTTCTATATTTATTAATATCATAATGCAATTCAAAAAGAATGTTAACAATTAAAATCAATCTTAACACTAACAATTTATCATTTAAGACAAGAGCAACGATTTCATTCCAATTAATATCCTTTCCATTTTATCTATTGTTGATTTTATTTCTTAACAATTTTATAATTGTCTAAACACAAAACCTTTGTTTGCTTATTACATCGATTCATTTATAAACTACTCAAGCAACCCTTTAAGATGCATGTTTACTTAAGGAACTGATTTTTTCACTTTAATATTCTTTCTAATTTTTTTCTTTAAACTCTATTATCCATTATCTCTAAGTTCAAAACGATTATTTTGTTAAGTAGATTTTAAATGTTATTTTAGTTATTTCTATTATTAAAAAAACCCATAGGCAGGGTCTATTTCTTTCATTTTTCGATAATATTATTATTCTAATTATTTCTTATCTTCAACTTCAAATCTAAATTAGTAATTTATCATCTTTCTATTTTAAACTTTAATTATATTTTAAATTAGAACTATAAACCTTTAGTTATTTATTTCAATATCTAAATGTACAAAGATTTATAATTTTATTACAATTTCCAATAGGAAAAATTAACAAAAGTCTTAAATAACGAATAATATAGCTTTTTTATTATGAAATTTGAAATAGATCTACGTTTACTTTTAGTAGGGTTATTTTAAATTCTTAAAATTTTCATATGATTTATTCTTTTAGAATTTACACTGAAATCATAATTGAAATATTTTTTTTTTCAATTTAACAAAAGATGAATAATATAGGAATTTATCTAAATTTTGATTTCTTTTCTCTAAAATACTGTGTATTAAGAAAATATCTTTCTATATTATTTTCCATTTTGTAGTTTAACATTTTTCATAATTAGTAAACGATTTGTTATTTAATCAAAAATAAATTTTGGTATAATTTAACAAATTTAAGTAATTTAAACACTAAAATTTCAAACTTTACAAATAATAGAAATATTAGAGATAATTCATTTAAAATACGCATCTATTTTAGTATAGTTTATATTGTCAAATTTAATAATTAAATTCTATCTATTCTAAAAATAAAAAATTAAACTTTGAGTTTTTCATAAATTTTGAATATAACAAAAAGAAGAAATTCATCAAATGATAGTAAAAATATAAAATTAGGATAATTTTTTTGACATTATTATATTTAATTCCTATGAAAAATAGCCTTAAGTCATCTTTAAAAATATATTATTTATTTTATTAGGCTTATAATTATTTTAATCAAAAGAAAAGAAAACTAAAGTTGAATAATAAAATTATATAAATAGGATTATGAGAAATATAAGAAATAATTTATAAATAAATATTGCTTTATTTTTTAGGAAATAATAAAATTTTGATAACTAAATTTGAATCTATATTTGAGTTAGTAGAGAGAGATGAATCTGATTGATAAAATTAATGAAATCCTAACAAATAGAAATTTATGATTAGTTCTTCTTTATTTTATTAATAATTATTTTAACGATTAGAAATGAGTTTTTAATCAATTTCATCTTCAGATTTATCAGATTCAGATGAAATGACTTTCATAAAAACTGATTAGGAGAGAATTTTGAAAAACTCAAACATATTAAAACAAAATGATAATGAAAGCAACAGCTGTTTAAGGCATCCAAATAAAAAAGTAGTTTGTTTGTTAATATATAGGCAAAATTTTACGTATAGCAAAATAGTGGTTAATTGTTTTGTTCAAAATGTGCACTTAATTTAGCTTTATAAGGACTTTAAATAGAAGAAACATAAGAGGTATAATTGGAAATATAAAGGAAAGATAAAATAAATCAGTTTTAGAAAGATTTAAATTAGGCTCTTTAATTATGTGATTAAAAATTGTTAAACATGGATGAGATTAAAAATAACTTAATTAAATAGTAGGAAGAATAGAATATTAGTTGTGAAGAATTTTTTAATGTTGTTCAAAATACGACTAATTAGTTAAGACAAACTTATTAATAGAAATTCTAAAATGATTATTCTATTTATTAAAATCAAGTTTAGGAATAAGTAGAAAATATTAAGCAATTGATACTATAATTAAAACAATTTTCGATTGATATTTTTACAAATCATGATAATATAGTTAAGAAAATGGAAATGAAACCATTTGAAGAAATAATGCAAAAATACTAAAAAAAAGTAGATGATATAAAATGCTAATTATTTAATACTCAATTTTAAGAATCTTTAAAATAGTTAAATGTTGATTAAAATTAAATTCTAACATTTATGAATAAAATGTGTTACAATTTTTTAATAAAAAATGAAAATATGGAATATAATTAAAATTAAAAAACTATGACTAGTTAATAAAATTTTGAGTGCAGTTTATCTAATAATTAAAAATATTTTGATATTTTTGAGAATGAGGAGATTAATAGTCCTATATCATTAATGAATTAAATATAATTATAGTCTCCAATTCGAAAATAATTTAATAAATTTGAATCAATAAATTCTAATCCTGTTAGAAGTAATGCAAATACTCCAGAAAGTTGGAAATATAAGCCTAGTTTAAGAAGAGATAATATAACACCAAATGATAAAATTTCATATTAAAATAGTTCTCGTGTTTTAGAACAAGTTAGTTCTAAAAAAGCACTTTAAAAATAATTAATTGATAAATATTCTTATTAATGTAATGAAAAGTAAAAAACTACAACTGATTGTGAAAGAATAAGTGAAAAATCCTATTCATTGTTAAATAATAATCTGAGCTGCTTATAAATATAAAAAGTTTTAAAAGAAGCTGAAAGAGCAAGTCTTGAAGATAGAGAATTAACTCCAAAATAAAAAGTTATTCCTGTAGGTAAATCTATTATATATGGCTAAACTTATAATAATATAAATAAGAATCTTTCGAATTAAAAATGTATTTATCTAAATATTATATTTAGCTTAGTAGAATCTGATTTAAAATTATGTTCATAAATAATAATATGGTTCAGTTCCAAACTTAAAATCAGTTTCTCATTAATAATAACATAGTGATACTTTATATTTTCATCGTTAATAAGAAGGACATATAAGGTCTAAATCAAAATAAATTAAACCTTAATCAAATGAATAAGAAAGTAAAAGACAATATATTATCAATGTCGGCCTTAATTCAATTCCATAAGCCTAAAATGAGGAAACATTAAAAGATAAAATATTAAAAGAGTTATGTAGCCATCCTAGTGAATCTGTTTATGGCCAAGTTTTAAAAAATCATTAATAAAAATAAAAAAAGCACAAATCAACTAGTAAAGAAAATTTTGAATGGACTTCTTAAAAAAACAGAGTGATTGGATCAAATACTAACAAAAAACTATTTTGATATATAGATTTCAAATAAATCTCTTAGTATTTTATTTTTCTTTTTTTTTATTTAAAAACAATCTTAAATAAAATATTCATTTTATAAAAAAATTAATTAGAAACAAAACCGTGCTATTATGATGATTTAAAATAAACTTATTAAAAAATTCAGTAACACATAAATAAACATGAAATTTTGTTAGTTTTTCTAATTAGGTTATTTTCTATAAATTTGCTAAAACAAAAACTTTTTTTCACTATTTACATTAAATTATATTAATTCTAAATAATACAATAATCATTTGTTATCGAAATATATGTATTTCTTTACTTATTTTATTAGTATAAGTTGAATCAATTTATCGATATTTGAAACTTTATTGGCTTCTATTAAATTTATTACGACAATTTATTTTATTAAATAATATGACCATAATTCATAGGTTTATCTCTTACTGTTATTTATGGTTACCAAAATAAATTAAGAAATCAGTTTAAAAAACGCTATTTTAGTAATAGGAAAATGGTTAGGTTTATAAAGTATGAAATGTTTAAAATCATAGATTGAATTTTCCAATGGAGAAGTATAAAAGATAATAAATTTTGAAAATACAATCAATCAGATTTAATTTGTAGGAGTAATGATTATTCTAAAATAATATAGTCATTCCAAGTTATAAAAAAAGCATTAGATTTAATATTGAGGTTAGAAAATATGATCCTTTTAATTTTATTAGCAATTGTATTATCAGGAAAAACATATTATCAAGATTTTACTGAATAAATAATAGTTTTTTATTCTTTGACATGCTATTTTTTAGATAAGTTATAATACTTAATAAATTTGCTCTTAATTAGTCACAAACTTATAAAGTAATAATCAATAGTCAATAATTCTAAATGCCGTATATTTTCGAAATTCCCTAATATTTCTGATGAAGAAATTTAATTTATGGAAGAAAGGAATTAAGATTATTTAGAGTATAATTAATTAACAATTTAGATTCAAGTCTTATAAATCAATCAGATGGTCAGAGTTATAACTTGGAGATATTGTATGTTTAAAACGAGGAAGGCAAAGTCCAGCAGACCTTTTGATTTTAGATTCAAGTTAAGAAGATCTTTTAGTGGATTTCGATGTACGCACTGCTTGTTCGTGTACTTTTGTCAATATTAATCATACATCAAAAGGTAATATTATGGATTTCATTACAAAACTTAATGGATAAATATCCTTTAGTATTTAAGGATCTCCTTTAGGAAGTATTAAACTAAAAAATGATCCTAAAGCAACTTCTTTTAATAAAAAAAATATGATAATGAAAGGAGAAATTTTAGACAGAGTAGATTGGCTTTTTGGAATGGCTATTAGAGTTGGATAGGATTGTTGCTATGTTTAAACTAATGTAAATAAGTAAAATTATTCATCAAATAGTTGGATAGTAAAATTTCAAACCTATATATGTTATTTTTGTTGGATTTTATTTTCAATTTGCTTTATTTCTAACATGATTTATTCATCCTTTTTTTTAGATGAATATTTTTTTAAAAGTCTAACATACTGTCTAATAATATTTCCATAAAACTTATTATTAATAGAAAAAATTTGCTATTTTTTTATTATTGTTTCAAATAATAAAGCTTTTGAAAAATAATAGTAAAAATTAAAAAATAAAGTTAAAGTCAAGAAATAATAAAAGTTAAGAGCTAATGATTATCCTATTATTATGAAATCATAAAATGATAGGAGAATATTAATGCCAATTGAAAAATATTTTAACTTGCCATTATTAACATTTTAAAGTTCTACAAAATTATTAGGATTCAAATCTCAAAATTAATAATAAACAGGATTTATGATATTAACTTCTCAAAATGTTTTAGATTTGATTAAAACTGATATTATTATTTTAGATGATCCAAAATTTTTATTTAAAACAAAACCAAAAATAGTATAACTTGTTTAAAATTTTAAAACATATCATTTTAACTATAATAAATTGAAAAATTTAGTAAGAAATGCTTCTCCAAAACAAAAAACAAATTGTGAAAAACTATTAATAGACACAAATAGATAATAAACATAAGATGAAATGAAGACTTTAGATATTGATCTTTTAATTTCAGAAAAACGGGTTCCTGATCTTAGGAATTGTTCAGATATTTTATTCAATTCAAATCATATATAAAAATTAGGGAACATAAAAGATAAATAATAAAGTGATTAAAAATAAAACGATACAAAATTAAATAATGGATTGGGAAAGAAAAAAAGTGCAAGATATATCTTTGATTCATCTTTTGTTAAGCATTAATAACCAAGTAATTAATAATTTGAAATCAGTAAGGACACATCAAATCATAATATATCTTAATCTTTTTAATCATCTCATATTGGATTGTAAAAATCAAAAAGTTAATTTATGAGACCAGGAACAATAATAAAATAAAATCAAAGTTCTTATCAAATGTCATAAAAAAAAATAAATGATTTAAGTTCAGATAGAATTATAGGTGAAACTTTAAATGAATAAGATTTTATTGATATACTTTATAGCAAAGATGATAGAATATATAATGAAATTTTAGTTATGATGCTATTAACAAATAGTGTAGTAAGTGTTTTTAATGAAAAATTAAATAAGCTTGAATTCATCTTTGAAAATCGATATGATGAATCTATTCTTTAATTTTGTGAAATACTTGATTATAGTTTAATTTGTTCAACTGAATAAGAGAACAACAGACAAGAATTTAATACTAGAACACTTATTAAAAAAGTAATTTCAATTGCTAATGGTTCAAAAGTATTCGAAATTCTAACTTTTTTAGAGCCTACAGAAAATAGGAAAAAGATTTTATCAGTATTGGTAAGAGATCCAGAATCATTCTTATTAGATGAAGGAGCGCTGTTATACACACGAACTGAAACAAATAATTAGTAAGAAAATAAATATCATGAAAATATGTAAGATATGAGTTGGGATGGATTAAAAACATTTTTATATTCAAAAAGATAGTTAGGATAATCTTAAACTAATGATATTTTAAAGAAGTTATCAGCTATTTCTGAAACTTATGGTAATAGGTCTTAAGAGATAGAAAAACTATTTATTGAATTAGAATCTAAAAGTGAACCTTTTTTTTCTATTGGAATTACATCAATAAAATAAAAATAATTATAAAATTCATCTTAAGAACTCATATAAGAATAATTAAATTAAGAAAGAATCTATTAATCTTTATAAAATTATAACATCAAACTTTGTATAATTATACCTGAATCTTTAGATGATTTGATGCTTTTTTTAAGAAATTATTCAATTATATAAACAAAAGAATAAATTATTGAATTCAAAGAAAGAGATGCCTAATAATTATAATATAAGTTCAGATAGCATCTTTAAAATATTATGTTAAATGATTATGCTAATTTTATAATTGTTAGTTCAGAAGCATTTGACATTATTATAAAAGATGAATATTTAAAATATCATTTCATCTTTATTTTTTAGTTCTCCTTAGGTTTAGGAGCTTATTAGTTTACAAGTAAATAAAAGGGAAAATTAGCTAAAATTTTATAATAAACAGATTAAAAAATTCTTAGTGTTGGTAATTCTTAAGATGATGAATATCTCTTTAGTAAATCCCATTTATCAATTAGTTTAAATAAACAAGAATAATAAGCATCAACTCTAAATTCTAAATTTGTAACTTTAAGTATTAAATAATTATTATAAATGTTATTTGTCATATGTCCAAGCTAAATGCAAAATTATTTAGCATTTTTAGAATTACAATTACATAAATGTTTATTAATAGGTTTGATTATTTTTATTAGTTGTTTTTAATTTGAAGATATTTCGCTATTTTGGTTAATAATATTTTTTTTTATTCCAAGCAATTTATTATCATTTATTTAATAATATTTTTTAATTTTTACTCCTAATTAAGAAAGAATTAAATTTTAATCTAGTTACATTAGGATATTTTAAACAATAAAAAAGAGAAGTATATTAAAAGGAATTTTAGCAGTTTTTTTAATAGTAAGTATTGATATTGCTTATTTGATTCTAGCTGAATAATCTATTTTATTAATAATCAATACAAATGGTAAAATTGATTAAACATCTAAATCTGTATTACTTTATATTGGCTTAGAACTATTAGATAAATCTAAAATATTTTATCATATAATTAAATAATTCGAGAATATTTATTCTAAGCTTCTGTAAATTATCATAACTATTTTTATATTGGCTTCATTAACAATTAGTTTTATTTTAGTTTAAGCATCTGATGACAATTAATAATTTAGAGATGAATTTAATTAATAAAATTTTATCTCTTTTATTTTTATGAGTGTTTTTTTGATTGGACTGTCATATGTGTCTTAGGAAGTTTTGGAAATTTTTTCAATATAATTTATTATTCCAACTGATCAAATCTTTTTTGAATAAAATTACAAAACGATATGGGAATTAAAAAAAAAAATATATTCAAGTAGCTCAATAAGTGAAGAAGAAGAGGAAATTTTATAAATTTTTAATTAAAAAGTTAAAAAAATAGCAGATTAACTTTTTGAAAATAAAGATATAATAGATGAAATAATAATAAAATAAATTAAAGGAGATTAAGCAGTTGTTGATGAATTGGATAAATTTCAAGGATTTCAAGATTAAAAAACAGAGAAAGATTTTTAAGATTTTTTTAAACAATAAAATTGGCATAAATTTAATATATTTTATGCTTTTCTTTTTTATGATATATGTATTCTAATAATGCATTTATATCAAATATTTACTAGTCCTATATTTTCTTTATCAATTTTATTAACTGTATTAATTTAATTTATCATTTAACTTTGTATATCAATTTTATAATTAAGAGTGATAACTAATAAATAGATTTAGTAATATTTTCAATTATTATCATTTATTTTAAGATTAATTTTTAAGATTTTGGTAGATGTACTTTATATAGGAAATTAAGAGAATTTTGTTGGATTTATGTATAATATTTAATTTATTCTTGCTTTTGCAGTAACAACTTAACCAATAGTTCCAATTTTATTTTATTTGATATTGCAATTCTTAATATATATAATAGATTTGATAACAAATGGTTTTTCAATGGATTTTATTGATTACAAAGAAGTAGTATTTAGCATAACAAAATTTGGTTTTATATTAATAGAAATCTCATATCCTATATTTGATTATGTTTAAAAATGTTAATTTTTACAGAGATCATCATATATATATTAGAATAGACTAAATATAGAATAAAAGAAGATAAACAATATTTTAGGATTATTGATGCCTAGATTTATTTAGGAGAGAATGAATAAGGGTTAAATTTAGATTTAATAAGATTAAGGTGATGTTACAATATTATTTTGTGATATTTATTAATTTGATAAGGTGATTAAATATTAATAAGAGAATATATTAAATTTTCTGGATACACTTTATAGAGCTTTTGATTAATTATGTTAAACATATGATTTATAAAAGATTGAAACAGTAGGTAAAACATATATGGCAGCTGGTGGTTTAAGAGATTATGATGCAGTGATAAGTATAAAAATATATAAAAATATATAGATTAAAAAAATGCTAATAGTACAACAAGAGCTTTAGAAACAGCGATAGCAATGATGGAAACTGTTAAAACAATGAAATATGGTGATAATTAGGATGTTAAATTAAAGATAGGAATTCATTATGGTAGAGTAATTGCTGGTGTAATAGGAGTTCATAAGCCATAATTTTCATTGATTGGAGATACAGTTAATACTACTAGTAGAGTTTGTAGTACTAGTGAAGCAGGTTTTATTACATTAAGTGAATCAGCATATAATAATATTAAGGATTCTACTAAGTATTAATTTGATTAAAAGGCAGTGGCTGCAAAAGGAAAAGGTATGCTTTAAACTTTTAGATTAAATTTATAATAAAAAGAAAGAGAATCTACAAGAGTAATTTCAACTAAATTAATTAAAGATAGTTAAGAAACAAAAAAAGAATCTAGAGTTTAAATAATGCCATTGAAAATTCCAGAAAATAAGAAAGCTCCATCTAAGAATTTAATGAAAAGAGCTTCAGTAATGAATCCTATAGGATTGGCAAATGATCCTAATAAATCTCCTATGATAGTTCTTAGATAATTATAATAATAATTATAAAACAAAAGATCATTATAGGTTATGATTAAGAAAAAATAATCAATTGATCATGAAACTAAAGAATAAGAAATTAAGCAACAAAATTCTTCTAAATCAATATCTAGTTCAAATATAGATGTAATTTAATAATAATTATTATAAGAATGATAATCAATCCCAAATTTAACAATAACCGAAAGTTGCAAATTCTAATTCTAAAATGAGAAGTAGTATACTCTATTTTTAAAGACCAATTAGAAGAGGAAATGAAGATGGAGTTATATAACATTATCCATCTACTTTACAATAATTTTCAATGACTCAATTTCAACAATAATCAGATAATCGCATTTAACCATCCTCAAATTAAATTTCTTCTTCTTAAAATTAATAAAGTTCTGGAATATAACCTTAGAATAGTTCATTATAGTAAAATTCATCAAATTAATTGGTATAAATTTTAGAATAACCAAACAAAGAGAATATAAAATAAGTGAAAATTATAGATGAAGTATAAAATTAATAATAACCAAATTAATAACCTTAAAGAGGATAACTCAAAAAAAAAGGAACAATTATAATGGCTGATTTAGTTAATAAGAAAAAAATGATGAAATCTAATACCAAAATTATCTTGCCAGAAGATAAAGAAAGACCTAGTAAAGTAATTTAAAAAGAATCTGAAAATTAGTTTGAAGGAATTGGAAATAAACAATTCTAAAACTAAAAATCAATGAAACCAGGTATTTTTGAAGCTTCAGATACTTTTATTAAAAAAGATAATGATTTTTTTGACAATTTAGATGAAATTGAAATCAATAAAAAATAAAGTATTTCAAAACTTCAACAAAAATTAGATTTAATTAAATTGAAAAATATTAAAAAATTCAAATTGGATTTTGATAAGGATTATAATTATGAATTAGATAAAAGCTAATATGATAGCAAAGATCATTCATTATATTATTAGATTTATGAAGAATATAATCTCTAAGAATTGATCTAATTTAGAAAAACATTTATATTTTTACTTATATTAATGATTTGTAAAGGACTACTTTATTTTTTATTAGATGATTTAAATTCTTCTAGTAAAATAGAACTATTAATTACTATATTATGTTAATTAATTGTTAGTATAATAATTTTAGTGCCTTTTTTAAAATTATAAGATGTAAAAGATTTTTAAAAAGCTAAAATATTAGGTTTAGTATATTTTATAAGTATAAATTCATTTAACATTTTAATTATTTATTTTGTTGGTGAATAAAAATTTGAAATAATATTATAAGCGTGTTAGATAACTTCAATATATATAAATCTATTCCATTAATAGCTTTTTATTTTGAAAGACAAATAGTATTTATAAATAATTTACTTTATACTATTAATCTTAATAATAGTTTATAAATAGTATATATTGGAAATAGTATTTTTTATAATTAGTACTGATGGATTGACATATTATCAGGAACGTTAAGTAAATGAAATTCTTGTTAAAAATTATAGAGTGAGTCAATAATTATAAACTCAGATTTCAAAATATGAGAACATGTTATAATATTTGATGCCTCCTCATGCATTAAAAAGATTATTATAACCAGAATCAGATAAGACAGAGACATTTATAGATGTTTTTGATGATGCAACAGTTTTATATGCAGATATTGCTGGTTTTACTAAATATTCTAGTTCTGTTTAACCTGAAACTGTAGTTGAAATGCTTAGAAACTTATTTCAATCTTTTGATTTATATTGTCAAATGGCATAAATATACAAATTGTTTACAATAGGAGATTGTTATGTATGTATGGGAGTACTGGATTATACTAAAAGAGATCCAGCTGAAGAAGTATTAATTATAATCTATTTAGGCATAAAAAGTATTAGCCTTTGGTTTAAAAATGATATAGATAATAAATGATGTCAATAAAGATCCATAATATTAACATTTGAATATGAGAATTGGAGTACATACTGGTAGAGTACTTGGAGGAGTTGTAGGAACAGATGTTGTTAGATATGATATATATGGTGAAGATGTTACTATTGCTAATTTGATGGAATCATCAGGATCTGTAAAATATTTAATTTAATTTTAGGAAGGAAAAATGTTAATTAGTGATTATACAAAGAATTTAGTTGAATCTGAATATGATGACTTTAAATTTGAATATGCAAAAGATGTTTATATACAATCAAAAGATATTACAATCCCAACTTTTTTTGTCTCACTTAATGATTCAGATTGTTGCGAAGAAGGCTGAATTGCAGATATTTTGAAAAAATTTATATATATTATTATGATTTAAAATCAAGAAAATGTTGAATAAGAACTTTTTCAAATGTCTTATATGATAAAAAAAAATCATTTTTAACATTTAATATAAATTTAACCTTTAACAGTCAAAATTGTTGGCAAAAATTATTGTTAAAATTAGTGTTAATTAATAGCTATTTTGCAATTCTACTAATAAATTAGCTTTAGTTGATTCAATTTAAAGAATATTAGTTAACCTTTATAATTATAGGATAGTATAATATTAGCTAATATTAAAACTTTTAAATTAATAAAAGTTTTATGTCATATTTACAAAAGAAAATAATTGAAATTGACTAATAAGAAATTAAAATTACTTTGTTAAGATAATTATGTAATTTAGTTATTGTGATTTACTTAAATAGTAGAAATCATATAACAATAAATTCCAATAAGTGTCTCTTATTTGATTGAATTATTTGTTAAATTTAACTTAGAAAATTGATTTTAAGAGTAATTAATAATTAATGTTAATAAATAAAGGTTTTTTTATAATAACTTTTTCATAGTAATAAAATGCTTATAAAAAGTTCATTAGAAATTTTAGATATAAATATAAATAGATAGAATAAATGATATATTGTTAAAAAAAATAAAAGGATATTGGCAAAATTGATCTATTTATTTGCAAGCTAAATGAAAAGGATATTAGATATCAAATATATTGAAAATACATTAATATTATATCCTTGAAATGAAACAAGAAGCATTAAGCAGTTAAAGAAATTAGGAAATGGTAAATTCATAATCGACTTAAATTTTTGATGAAATAGAAATATATAATTGTTATTGGAAATAAGAAATAATTTTGAGTGATTGTGAAGAATAATTTGTATAAATTGCATCTGATGATGAAAGAGATTGATGTGGAATGTTAGACTTTGGAAAAACACTTAATATTTAACAGACTGATATTTCTTAAATAAAAGAGATCTTAAATTATTTAGATACTCCTTAATTAAAGATGACTTCTTTGTAAAGTGCTTAAAATGTTTTGAATTATTTTTTGCCTTGTAGTTTTGTATCTATATTAACAGAAATGATCAATAATTATCTTTTAATGGTTTTATAAGAAGATCTAAAATAATAACAATAATAAACTCTATAAATGTACCAAAAAAAGAAATATAAAGAAACAGAAATTCAATTTTATTTTGGATTACAAATATTGTTTGGAGTATATAGATTTCCATAATTGGATGATTATTGGAATGTAGAATCCTGGTTGAAAGGAGGAATAGAAGTAACAATGCCAATTGGTCGATTTAAATTTGTGGATCTTCATATTTTTTCATATATTGATGAATTACAAAGGGCGAAATTATAATTAGAGGTAAGAAAGTTTTCAAAGAAATTAAAAGCTTTATATAATCCTGATTAAGAGTTAATTGTAGTGGAATAAAGTTAAAAAATATATAAAGCCTATTATATATTTGATTATGATAGTTCTTAAATAATAGATTTATTAGTTGTGTGTAACAATGTGAAAATTGAAGATAGAATTAATAGAATAATAAGAATGCTTTATAAATATTCAAATCAAAATCATATTATTTACATAATGTTTGAAATGAATTTAGAAAGAATAATTTAATTAGTAGATTAATCTATATATCCAGTAATTAGTTACTAAAACTTAAATCATAATTTGATTCAAACTTTATAGGATGGGGGTTATGAATTAGATTAATTATTCTTAATCAAATAAGGGACTTAAGTGAATATTTTTCCATAAAGACGTCTGATCTCTAATAAACATTATATGACTTAGTATGAAAAAATAAAAAATTAATTGTAAGAACATTTTGTAAATCTTAAGTAATATAGAAGTAATTTTTATCAATCTTCATAACTAAATAATATTGAAAGTTTCAATTAATTAAGAGTTGAGTTTGAAGAATATTTCGAAATCATGATTCATAATACATTTTTGCTAATTCAATAGACATCTCCATCTTAATATAGACATGATTTAGCTAAGGTTCTTTTAAATGAGAAAGGTTAATAAATTGAGAGAGATCGAAATGAAGCTAAAAGAAAATTAAATGCTACATATTAAGAATCATCTTCAAATACAGATAATTTATCTTTTGGATTACAAAAGTATTATGCTGATCAATTTCATACACCAATACCATAAAAATAAGAAGATACTTTTAAATATTGTTTAGTTTGTATTTAATTTGATGGTTTAACTAAACCCTATTATAGATGTTAAGTATGTGAAAAACTATTGAATATCAATAAAATATTCTTATGTCCATTCCCTTGTTTTGAATTATTTCATAGAAATCCAAGTGATTTTGTTCATTGTGATATGAAAATACTTGAATCACTTGGAGATGGAATCTATTTCAAAAATGAATCTACTTTTGAACTTATTAATAATTGTTAAGAAGAAGATGCAAATGGAAAAAAAAGAAAAAATAATAAACCTCCATCTAAAACTTATTGGTCATTTAACAAAGAAATCTATAAACAAGCTTATATCAATAATGATTAAGACTTAAATGACATTCTAAATACTTTTAAAAAACCTTAAGCTCCTACTCCTTCTCCTAATTTATTATTATCTATTGTTCCTTAACAATAATAACATCAATCATAATCATTATCTTTAGGACATAAAAAAGATATGAAAGATATTGATAATTTATTAAACCAAGAAAAAGAATAAAAAGATAGATTAATTAAGGAAATGTAAGAAAGAGATAAATAGCTACAAGAATAATACTTTTAATAGTAATATGAAAAATAAATTTAAAAGGAATAAGAAACTAAAAAGAGCAAAAAAGCTTAAAAAGAAAATGAAAAGAAGAAATAATTAGAAGAAAACTTAATAATGTTAGTCCTCTTGAGAAGTTTATGGAATAAATTAATAAAAGAGCTAAAGTAGAAAATATTGAATGATTAAATTATATTTATTACCAATTATTTTATCTAAACAATTAACCTTAGTATTATTTAATAAATAATGAATTTTGCATATAATATTATCATCTATTGTAGAATAGACCTCCATAATTTCTTGAATATCCATTAGTAGTACTTTTACTATGATAATCATTCAAAACATAATTGCTTTTTTTAAATCCTTATTAAACAGCTACTGTTGGATCATATTATTTTAATAAGCCTAAATCCTTTAATTTATAGACATTTTATTCAAGTAATTTATTATTAATGATTAAATTCGCATCTTCTAAGATTGAATCCAATATATCTCCTTACTTTCTATTTAAATAGTTTCTACTTGATTAATTCTCAACTATTAAGGTTTCTTTTAACTTCTTTATTGCAGGATTTGAATTAGCCATAGAAGAAGATCTACGATTATTTAGTTATAAATGAGGCAGTTTCTCTATAGAAGATTACATTAAATTAATTATTGAAAATCATTTCACTTAGACCGGTTTAAAATACAATGCAGTTGCTCTCTTTTTTTTTCTCTTATGATCAGGTTCTTTTTATGGGCTTACAAGTTAATTCTCTCTTAATACTGTTTTTCGATATTTCCTTTTAAATAATATGAATTATTACTTAATGAATTCATATGGAAACGTTAGAAAGAGACTTAATTACTTCCATTATTCAAAGAATTTCAAGTTTATTTTTGTAGTTTTAAAAAGCCAAGAAGAATTATATTAAGGATAATAATTCTTATAATTCTTAATGCAATCTAATTCTAAATTGACTCTTGGATTCAATCTTAATTTAAGATCTTCTAACAAAATTTTATCACTTTCTCTAATTTAATCATCATCTAACTCTCTTGGATTATGTAATTCTAAGGTTAAGATTGATTATTTGGGAGGATGTAATTTTTATTTTATCTATTTAATATTAAAAGCTTGTCTATTGGAAAATTATCTTTTTGCTACACTTTACATTTATTAAAAATAATTTGAATGAGATGCTTTCCATGATTCTTTTAATTCGAATTCAGAAGAATCAGATGATTCTATAGTAGGAATAGTAAGCTATATCTTATCTAAATTATCATTTTATTTAAGTTCTTTAAAGATAGCTCTTCTTTTTTTATCAAATTTTCTTTTATAAGGTTTTCTTTGTTATTATAAAGGATATTGATGTTTTTTAATTACTGATCCTTTGTCTGGATTGAAAGTAAGTAAAGGACATTGTTGAACATTATGTTAAATACTTTTACATGAATAACAATCCATGGCAAAATATGATTAATCAAAGATGAGTTACTCCTTCAATTAACAATATTATTCATGATCTTCTGGAAATTTTAATAGCACTTTCATAAAGTCTTTTTTTGTTATGAAAACTAATTTACTAAAAGCAACTGATGTATATCTCAATGACGGAATTTCATCTAACATAAACTCTCTTAATCCAAAATTATCTCCTATCTATAATGTGGCTAATCTTAATCTATTATTTCTAAAATATGTTCCTATAGATCCTCTCTCTATAAAGAATAAACAAGGTTAATCAAAAGGAACTGATTTACAAGGTGTAAGAGTTATTGATTAAACATTCTTTAAACATTCAGCTTTAAATTCATGAGAAAAATAATCATTAAATAATTTACAACCTTTTACTATTATGGAATTAGCTTCAAATATAAGATTCTCTTAAAGATCTTAAGATAATTATCCAATTGTATCTTTGACTTCTAAGTTTTCTTCTAATTTTTATTCCTTCCAATAAAATGTTAAATATTCTCTAATTTCATATTTTAATTGATTAGATATATTCACACTCTTCATATAGGTATTAATAGCTCTCATTTTACGAATATGTTCCTCTCTTTTTTCATTTAATTTTGAATAAACATTCCAAATTGCTGAAATTGTATATGACAATTATAAAGTTGAACAAACCATAAATCCTATTGTAACTAATCTTTCGTATATATCTATTATGATTTATTATTAATTTAATACTCTTTGGAACTACATCACCATATCCTACAGTAAACATTGTTACAGATGAGAAATAAAATGCTGTTATATATTAATCCGTATATGATGCATTTGATAATCCATTTGCTTTTATCCATGAATCTTCAGCAATTTCTTAAATTCCAACAAAATACCAAATACAGCTGAACAAATGTTCTAACAAGAATAGAAACATAACCAATTTAATCTTTATAAAAATAAAAACTTACTAAATCTAATAGCAATGAAGTAGTTTCTGAATAATCTTAACTATTTTATAATCTTTAAAATACTCTTATTATATTTTATAATTAGATAATAATTCCTAAAATACTAATTACACTTCTTAAATAATCATATTCTCGTAAAGATTGATGTTTATAATCAATGTAGTCATTCTGTTCATTAAGTTCTTAAGCAAGAACTAAAACTAAAGTCACTACACAAAATATATCATAAATAAAACCATTCCTTAAGTAATTACAAACTACCTTTTAATGATTTGTAATCAAATATCCTTTCTCATAAAATGATGTGATGAAATTTAGTATAATATCAAAAATTAATAAGGCTGTTGATACTTATAATGTCCATAAAAGTTAATTGTATAATAATTTATTATTGAATGCTGTCTCATATGGAATTACAAATAAAAGATAAAATCTTATGAAAGCTAAAAATATATCCCATATTAATTTCAAATCGTTGTTTGGATTTATTATTGGAATAAACTTTATTGATTTAGTTATTTTCTATGCAATTTTTGACTTCTTTATTTATCTCCACTTTCTACTTAATTTTCTTTTCAATCTGGCTAATTTAGATTTGTTTACTTTTCCCCATACTTATCCAGTTTTCTATGACACTTTTCAAAATAATCATTATTTTTCTTACTAATAATATTCTTTTCGAGAAACGTCCTTTATAATATGATAATGAATAGGTGCAAGTTATTGATATCGTTTCTTATTTTGAATTGCTTTGTTCTTCATTCTAATTCCATAAAATTTGGCTCTCATTGATTAAAAAGCGCTAACATTCAAATAAAGAACTTATACTTTCCAATAGTATTGACTTATTTTGTAAGTAATAGTTTATCTTCAATCCTATACGCCTCACTTTAATCTAACATACTCGAAACACTTAATATAAAATTATAAAAATTGAAAAAAAAGTTGATAATTTATTTAATTCATTGTAATAGCCAATCAACCCTTAATGGAGATTGCAAACATTTTTAAGTCCCTTTTAATGTATATAATTCTGATCTTCCATTTATATCTTTCATATAAAATTCCACAATATAATTTTCATCTGCTCGAATAGATAAAATATCAAGATATAATTATGATTTTGGAATATTCCTCTAATGTCCACAAAGTTATAAGGATTCACCTTTAAAATAGCATTTACTATAGACAGTGATACAGGCTATTAAATACTAATGAATACCTCTATATTCATATCTGTTATCATATCTATAAGCACTCCTATAAAAATCTCTTTGGCGTGGTTCTGTTCTTCTAATGGATGAAGAACCATAATAATTATCTACTTGACAACTACTAGGATTGTAGTTAGTAGAATGTGGATCACAAGGATCAGAGTAAATACTAAATTTATATAATATCTGTACTATAATTTACTAATAATTTCTCTTAAAAATCTTCCTAATTCCTAATCATTTGGATTTTTAGGTATTATAACACTTTATCCAGTCAATTACGGTCCTCTTCTATTATTATACCTCTCATAATAATCATCTTGCCTTCTTTAATAATCTGCCTTAAAATATCTATCTCCCCTATCATAGTATTCATCATTTTTATAATTTCCACTTTATCTTAAATGAAATGTATTTTTATATTAGTCGCCCACTTCAATTTATAATTATTGCTCTCCCTCATCAGTTATCATTTCTTACTACTTTTTTTTTTACTCTTATTTCTTTCTACTTTACTATTAGGAATTCTTAATTTCCATTTTATGTTCCTCTTAATTTTTTATTTATAATTCTTGTTCTTTTTATTCAAATTCCTCATTGCTTTTATTTCCATTATATTCTTTTTTACTTTTGTAAATTTAATTAGTATGTTCAAATTTATTTAATTATTATTGTTATTCTAATAAATCTTATTATTATTTATAATTTTCACTATCAAAGTTCACTTTATTTTAAAACAGCTAATCTGTACTTTCAATCTAATTTTAATTTTATTATATTTGCTGTTGTTATTCTTCTGGTATTAACGAGGCTTCCATAACATATTATTATTATTATTCTGAATTTTTATTTTGATTATTTAAACTACTTTCTTCTTCATCTGTAGAATATTCTAAGTCATTTTAGTCAAATTAATCTTAATTTAGAGTTTATATCAATTCAGTAGGCTATTTTAACATTTTGTGTATTTCTTTATACTAAATTGGTTTAACATCATAATACTTTTATTAAGCTTCACAATTATCTTCAACTAAATGTAATTATTAATTATTACTTTATTGAATAATAAATAACTTTTGAATTTGATCTATAAATTCTCGAAACAATTGCAAACATTAAATGTCACTTAATTCTATTTAAGATGTAAATACTAAAACATAAGTACTTCCAATAATATTTTAAACTGCATGAGAATCTACTTTATATATTGATTCTTACAAATATTATCCTTAATACTGTAATATGCTTCTAAATTTTCATTTTATTCATTAATAATTAAAGAATTGATACTTTAATTTTTATAAGTAATTCTAAGAAATGATCCAATATATCCACCATGATTCATTTCTCTATTGTTAATTTCAGAATTAAGTAAAATTGTAAAATTGTTTTAAACCTCTGAAATATTTTAAAATATCTTTATAAATGGAGTTTCATAAAATTCTTCATTAGATTAAAATTTAATTAGTTAATCAGAATGCAATTCAAATTATGATTGTTATAAAAAGTTCAATGATACATCAGAACAATAATTAAGTGGACTTTCACAAACATTATTTCTCTAATGTATTATTGTTACACAATCTTAAAATACATGTTCAATTAAATCAATAGTAGGGAATTTGATAAACTATGAAGTAACAAATGAAAAAGCAAAGACTTTGGATTCAGTCATTCCTATAGTAATATAAGCTAAATTTTCATCCTCCTTATAATTGATTACAATTTCTTCACCACTTTCAAAAATTAATATATGTATAAAGCCTCTATTTTCATGTTGAAGAGTAACAATTAATCCACTTATAGGTTATTCTACAGTTTATTAATAGGTTTGCATATTTTAAATTGGTATTCTTAATTCTAATACTTTATTATTTAAATTCTATGCCACAAATACTTAAAGTCCTGGATAATTTTTAGTGAAATATTCATTTTCCAAAGAACCATTAATTATTTCATTCCCTAAATGGTAGTGTATTGGAGGATGATAAAGATCAGGTGTAGGAAAAGTTAAACGTTCAAAATTTTAATCTAAATTACATTTGATTTATTCTAAGGAATTTGAAGCGACCTTTTATTAACAATAATTTTCTCCTTCAGATTAATTGATTAAATGTACAAACCGTTTCAAAATCAACATTACATCACCTTAACCCCCCCAAGATACTATATATATAAAACCCATTTTCTAAAATTTATCTACAGCATCCGTTTTACCAAAAGAAAATTCTCTCACTAAATTTTCTTTAGATATAAGCAAATGTCCCCCATCTTCTCCTTTATCTACAAAATATCCATTATAACCATTATACATGTGAACAGATGCTTTAGTTATATTTTTCTTTACTTTGAACTCTTAGATTAATAGCCATTAAATTTCACTCGCATTACCAACAAAAATATATGAATCAGAAAATCCAACCAAAAAATATGGATTATTGTTCAAACTTTGTGAGCTCTTATAACTTTATTAGATATCTAAAGCAAAATGAGGAGATGAACTAGTTAGGATGTATGGCATAGTACTCATCAAATAAATAAACTTATTACTTATCATTCTATTAATCTATCAGAAAAAATGTTTATTCTTCATAAAAAAGGCGTAATCCACATAAAAAATTCTCTGCAGATAACGAGTAAATAGCTTAGATTAAAAAAATTATATACATTAATATAATATAAAATATAAAATAATACTCAGCTTTAGCATTTTATTAAGTTATTTGTGTCTGTTAAATCACCTAATGTATCTATATTAATATATAACTTTTCATTTTAACTTTAATTAAAAACATCAATTATAAGCATTTTTTAAGAATTCATCTATCTATTAATTATCAACAATTTAGATTAAAATTGAATTCTTTTACCTTAAATTTTAAGGTTTGGCTAGTTCTTAAGATCGATTTTAGTCATCTTAGTATAAAATCTAATAAAATATGAATGTTTAAATATTTACTGAATCAAACAAGAAAAATAACACATATAAAGTAAAATCAAGGAAATTTCATTACAAATGATATGTCAGTTTCTTAATGTTTTCTTTGCATGAATCTATTTTACTAAATTCCAAAATTTGTATTATTATCCTCTTTAAATGACTGGTTAGAATAGTAATTGTATTCCTTTGCTTTAGGATCGGTACAAAATCTAATTTTTTAGGCTCTTAGATAATCAATTATGGTTTTAATTTAAGGATTGGGTTTGTGATAGAGATCTAAATCGAGTGAATCAAGGCTTGAATTTAATTCTTCTGACATATACTAATTTATTTATATATGAATTAATTGATGAATTGTAAATTAAATACTTTAGGATATGTCAGAAATTATCACTCTGATTTTGGTTCATCTAATATAATCAATCATACACTATATCATAAATATGCGTCTTCTTAAAATTATTACTTCACTAAAGAAATTAATGATATTTTAAGCAAGAATAGAACATCAGCAACAATTAAGTTTTATGTAACCAAATTATGAATAATTCAGGATGATATGCAATATTTAGAAAATGATGAGTACATGTCCAAAGTTTATTATTTTGAAGATTACTAATCCAAAATTTATTTTTTGGTTGAGTTCTACAAATATCATCATGATTTACCTAGATTTACTGTAGATGAAGATATTATTTAAATTTTGAATTTGTATTATGATAAAAAGAGAAAATTGGAATACTATAAAATATAGAGATAAATAGAATAAGAAAACCTAAAGAATCCAGATCAACCATAAAAAGCAATTGTTGGAGATAAACCTATTGAATCTTAAAGTACTCCATAATCAGAAATTAGTGGTAATTCAACCATTAATAATAATGTGGAAAATATTCTTTCAGATACTATTTTATAGTAGAAAAACTAAAATTAAATTTCTCAATAAGATATAAGTTAAATTACAAAATTATAGGATGACTAAAAGAGTGAAATTCAATAAATGCTTGAAGTTTTAAATTAGGCCAAACAAAAAAATACACAAAAATGTTCCTTTTAGAAAAATAGCAGTCCTTCATTTAAATAAAATCCTAAATTAAATGAATAAATACTTTTTCAATCAAATCCAAAATATTATACTAAATAACAATATGATTTAAGAGTCCCTTTATCAGCAAGATATCCTTCATCTTCATTAAGTAAAAATTTTAAAATATCTTAACATGAGAAAAATCTTGATTCTAATTTTACGCCTCTCCTTAATAAGTGTTCTTAAAGGAAAAGGATTAAATTAGAAAGTAAAATTGATATAAGGAAAGAATTTAAAAAGCCTATTCCTGAACAATAATCATTAGGATTTAAAATTTTAACATGTTTAAATTAAATTGAAAAATATAAACAAAATACCAAATGTGTCTAATCATTAGACAATAAAGAATTATAAAGAATTTTAAATTCTGTTAATTAGCCTAAATTCTAAACTACTTATAAAAGTTCATCTACTTAATCAATTAAAATATCGAAATAATTAAATTCATAAGATGATTAAGCTTTCAAATCAAATCCAATTAATAAAGTATAAACTCCTAGATCATATTTAAATAGTTCAAAATTTAAAAAATCATAGATCTAAGAATAAAAATAAAAATAAAAAGATAATGAATAAAGTTTAAAAAAACTTATGGTTTTTAAGTAAGATAATGTTATAAAGACTCATAGAAATTTAGGATTTGTTCCAAAACTAAATCTTAATATCATCAATCATTTGAATACAAATTCATCTTGCAATACTCTAAGAAATAATGCATTTAATATAAATATTGTAAATTAACTAACACCATAATCTTTAACGTTTAGATCAAAAATTGATAACATTATAAATTAATAAATAAAAACCATTTATAAAAATAAGATAAAGATCAAAAAATGATAATTTCTGATATGTTTAATATAAAAAGTAAATTTTGATCAAAGTTATTTATTATCATTAGAATATAAAATTAAGATTAGACAATTGTTTAGAATTTTAAATAAAATTTCAAATGAAAATAATCCTTTTGATTATAATGTTTGCTATTTGAGTTCTAAAGTTAGTTATTCTAATAAATGTTGTAAATAAGAATAATATTAAAAAAATATATATAATTAAAATTAAATTATGATTTAATATGGTGATACAATGATTTTATTTGAGGATGGAAAACCTAAATAGTTCATTACAGTTACATAAGGCTAAACATATTAAAATAAATATGGAGCATACCATCATTATACTTTTCTTGTGAAACCAGGTTAGGAAATACTTTCAAAAAATGGAACAGGCCCAATATATTTAATGACTCCAAATCCTCATTTAATAACAGAAACCGTTCCTCATAAAACTTAAATACTTTTTATGGCTGATATTTCAATGATTATTCTTAAATTATGTTTAAAACCAGGTTAGCATGTTATTGAAAGTGGAACAGGAAGTGGATCTTTATCTTGTTCATTAGCAGCAGCTGTAGGTCATAAAGGCAAATTATTTTCTTATGAATTCAACTAAGAGAGAGCAATTAATGGTAAAGAATTATTTGCAAAATTAAAAATAAATTAAGCAACTTGCTTTTGGAGAGATGTTTATACTAATGGATTCTTAAAAGGAGATGATGATTAAAATTAAGGAGAATTTCCTTTAGAGAATAGTGTTGATGCTATATTTCTAGATTTGCCTTANAATCAATTAAAATATCGAAATAATTAAATTCATAAGATGATTAAGCTTTCAAATCAAATCCAATTAATAAAGTATAAACTCCTAGATCATATTTAAATAGTTCAAAATTTAAAAAATCATAGATCTAAGAATAAAAATAAAAATAAAAAGATAATGAATAAAGTTTAAAAAAACTTATGGTTTTTAAGTAAGATAATGTTATAAAGACTCATAGAAATTTAGGATTTGTTCCAAAACTAAATCTTAATATCATCAATCATTTGAATACAAATTCATCTTGCAATACTCTAAGAAATAATGCATTTAATATAAATATTGTAAATTAACTAACACCATAATCTTTAACGTTTAGATCAAAAATTGATAACATTATAAATTAATAAATAAAAACCATTTATAAAAATAAGATAAAGATCAAAAAATGATAATTTCTGATATGTTTAATATAAAAAGTAAATTTTGATCAAAGTTATTTATTATCATTAGAATATAAAATTAAGATTAGACAATTGTTTAGAATTTTAAATAAAATTTCAAATGAAAATAATCCTTTTGATTATAATGTTTGCTATTTGAGTTCTAAAGTTAGTTATTCTAATAAATGTTGTAAATAAGAATAATATTAAAAAAATATATATAATTAAAATTAAATTATGATTTAATATGGTGATACAATGATTTTATTTGAGGATGGAAAACCTAAATAGTTCATTACAGTTACATAAGGCTAAACATATTAAAATAAATATGGAGCATACCATCATTATACTTTTCTTGTGAAACCAGGTTAGGAAATACTTTCAAAAAATGGAACAGGCCCAATATATTTAATGACTCCAAATCCTCATTTAATAACAGAAACCGTTCCTCATAAAACTTAAATACTTTTTATGGCTGATATTTCAATGATTATTCTTAAATTATGTTTAAAACCAGGTTAGCATGTTATTGAAAGTGGAACAGGAAGTGGATCTTTATCTTGTTCATTAGCAGCAGCTGTAGGTCATAAAGGCAAATTATTTTCTTATGAATTCAACTAAGAGAGAGCAATTAATGGTAAAGAATTATTTGCAAAATTAAAAATAAATTAAGCAACTTGCTTTTGGAGAGATGTTTATACTAATGGATTCTTAAAAGGAGATGATGATTAAAATTAAGGAGAATTTCCTTTAGAGAATAGTGTTGATGCTATATTTCTAGATTTGCCTTAACCATGGCTAGCTTTAGATCATTCAAAGAAAATGATTAAAAAAGGTGGAAGGATATGCTGTTTCTCTCCTTGTATTGAATAAGTATAGAAAACAGCTGTAGATTTAAAATAATAAGGATGGAAAAACTTAGAAACTTTAGAATGTTTAAAAAGGTAAACTAGATTTTATATTTAAAATATAGACATTTTGAGAGAAGAGTAAAATAAGAATAATCATTATTTGATGATGTTTAAAAAAAAGTATGCACAGAATAAAATAAGAGAATCACTTATTCTGCAGGCATTAATTAAGCTTATGGACATACAGGATATTTAACATTTGCATAATATATATGAATTATAAATAGTCTAATATTAAAATATTTAATTTTATTCCTTTATATTCACAAATCAATACTCTTGGTATAAACTTAGATTCTTAATTGATTATATATTTTATTGAACAATTTTAAGCGAATTTATTCATTTTACTATATATTAACGAAATAGTAAACATTTTAAAAATAACTTTAAGACCAGAAATCATGAAAATTTATTAAATTACTCAAACTTATCTATCTTTTTTTGCAAATTCAAATTAAAATTATCTATACATTTACTCTAAGTATAAGAATTTAAGGGTTGCTTCCTAAAATTAATATAAATTTTATAATGATATTCAATAATGACACAAGATAAATATTATAGAATATAGGAAATAATATTTAAAATCCTTTATCTTAATTAACTTTACCTAATTTGTAAATTTATCAAAAGTAAAAAGAAAATTAAAGTCCCATCAAAATATTAGTAGGAGGAAAAAAAACTGAATTTTCAGATTATAAATCAGAAGCTTAGTAGACATTTTCAAATATAAAAAAGATGACTTAAAATGAGAATTGTATGTGCAACTGTTAAAGAAAGAATCAACAATTTAATAAAATATCAGTTAAATAATACGATAGAACGAAAGAAAATTTGTTAATAAATAAACATAATGATTATTATATAAGAAAATCAGTTACACCCGATTAGTTTTCTGAATAACATTAAAAATCTGAAAATATTAGCCTCAAATACATTAAAAACATAAGAGAATATCTTTAATCTAAAATATAAATCAGTTTGCAAAACAAACTAAAATAGTACACATAAGAAAATTATAAACAAACATCATTAAAAGGTTCACAAAAGTAAAATTTAAAAGCTAAACATTTGAATTAAATTTGTTTTAATAATAGTTGTATTAATTTAAAGCAAATTTTTGATAGTTAAAGCTTTGAATTGAGATAAAAATTTTTAGAATAACAATAATAGATGATTGAGGAAAAAATTTAAGTAGTATAATAAAAAGAATTTTCTAAGAAAAATTTAAGTAGCTCTTTTGAATAGCTCAAGCGAACACCATAAAAAAGAAAAATAAATTTTAATTTAGATGGCAAATCATTTTAAGAAACGAACAATATTTTATACTAATAAAAAAAATCTATTAATTATTCAAATTTCATAAGTTGTTAAATTATAAAAAATAAAGAACAAAACAGTACTGAAATTTAGATTGAAGATAATTTAGTTTCTCTATAAAATGATAAATTTGATTAATATATTTTTAATGAATCAGAAGATAAAAAATCATCTGATGAGAACTTCTAAGGTATGTATTTAACAATAAACCTAGGGTATATACCATAGGCTTAAAATTAATTGATACTTAGTCCTGAAAAGAATTCATCTTTTTCTTAATCTAGTAAAGTAAATCGTTATTTGAAATTAATTTAATCTTTTAAAAGTTTTCATATAAATTAAACTCAACTAAAGAGTGAAATTGAACTTAAAGAATCGATTAAAGTCAATGATTTAAATCATATTAGTGAATTTTCTATATTTATGGATGACAAATAAAATAANAATTAACTTTACCTAATTTGTAAATTTATCAAAAGTAAAAAGAAAATTAAAGTCCCATCAAAATATTAGTAGGAGGAAAAAAAACTGAATTTTCAGATTATAAATCAGAAGCTTAGTAGACATTTTCAAATATAAAAAAGATGACTTAAAATGAGAATTGTATGTGCAACTGTTAAAGAAAGAATCAACAATTTAATAAAATATCAGTTAAATAATACGATAGAACGAAAGAAAATTTGTTAATAAATAAACATAATGATTATTATATAAGAAAATCAGTTACACCCGATTAGTTTTCTGAATAACATTAAAAATCTGAAAATATTAGCCTCAAATACATTAAAAACATAAGAGAATATCTTTAATCTAAAATATAAATCAGTTTGCAAAACAAACTAAAATAGTACACATAAGAAAATTATAAACAAACATCATTAAAAGGTTCACAAAAGTAAAATTTAAAAGCTAAACATTTGAATTAAATTTGTTTTAATAATAGTTGTATTAATTTAAAGCAAATTTTTGATAGTTAAAGCTTTGAATTGAGATAAAAATTTTTAGAATAACAATAATAGATGATTGAGGAAAAAATTTAAGTAGTATAATAAAAAGAATTTTCTAAGAAAAATTTAAGTAGCTCTTTTGAATAGCTCAAGCGAACACCATAAAAAAGAAAAATAAATTTTAATTTAGATGGCAAATCATTTTAAGAAACGAACAATATTTTATACTAATAAAAAAAATCTATTAATTATTCAAATTTCATAAGTTGTTAAATTATAAAAAATAAAGAACAAAACAGTACTGAAATTTAGATTGAAGATAATTTAGTTTCTCTATAAAATGATAAATTTGATTAATATATTTTTAATGAATCAGAAGATAAAAAATCATCTGATGAGAACTTCTAAGGTATGTATTTAACAATAAACCTAGGGTATATACCATAGGCTTAAAATTAATTGATACTTAGTCCTGAAAAGAATTCATCTTTTTCTTAATCTAGTAAAGTAAATCGTTATTTGAAATTAATTTAATCTTTTAAAAGTTTTCATATAAATTAAACTCAACTAAAGAGTGAAATTGAACTTAAAGAATCGATTAAAGTCAATGATTTAAATCATATTAGTGAATTTTCTATATTTATGGATGACAAATAAAATAATTATTGCTGATGAAACACATCTTTTTATTAAAAAATTGTTGTAATTCTTTGTGTTGACAAAGTCATTTGATCAATACTTTCCAAAAAATCTGTCATTATAATAAGTACAATTTCAATTTTGCTTCGTGTATTTAATTTTTATTAAAATGAGAAATTGTGTTTTGAAATAAAATAATAAAATAAGTTTTCAAAGTCTCTAACTAATAAAAAATATCCTACAGAATTAGATTATTTAGAGGAATAAAATAATCAAAGAGAGTAAAAAATAAAATTACTTAATGATTGCATAACTTAAATTGATTTATCATAAGCACCGAAAAAAAAAATTGTATATTAAAAAAGTATTAATAATAGATTATTATCATTAGATTCCTTCCAGTATAATGAATAAAATAATAACTGATTAATATTAGAGTGCATTTGATTTTATAAATTTAATTACTTGTAAACTTAATTTATTATTATAATATATTTTCATGAGCAAAATTTAAAAAGCGTAGTATTTTTTAACATAAACGAGAATGATATTTCTCTTATAAATTTAATTTGGAATAAATCTTGATATTTTTATTAGGTATTTATCAAGTCAGTGAATTAGTTTTCTTAATTCATTTATAATTCTAATCATAGTATAATATATATAGTAAGATATTAAAATGGGTTCATGTTCTTCTAAAAAGATGAAATAGTAAATGAAAGCAAAACTTTAGGAAGCAAAATAAAAATAATCATAAACAACTACTCCAAATAGACAAACAACTTAATAAAATGGAATGAGATCTCATTCTAGACATAATACACATACAGCATTTTAATCTAATATTGATTTGAGTCAACAAGGATATAGTTTGAAAAACATAAATTTTTTTCTAGTATATAGAAATACAAATTTTTCTTCCTATTACAGTTTGCTTCAAAGAGAGGATAAGGATTTCCCTTTTACTACTATTTAACATAATAATACTGGGACTGTCAGAATAATTAAGAGTTATAAATCTTCTGATTCAAAATATGTAGCATCACTACTCAAATATTAACTTGTACTTATTTTAATATATCCTAGCATCATCCAAATTTGATATAATAATTCGAAATATATGAAGAATAATAAAAATATCATGTTGCTGAAGAGAACAACAATAAAATAGTAGTGTTGAATTCAAAAATTTATAATGAGGAAAAAGACATTGCATTTATCTTTAATTAAATAGTTGAAGTTATTGAATATTTACATCATTAAAAACTTACTCATGGACATCTAACATTAGAATGTTTTGCTTTATTTGGAGACAAGTACTTAAAATTATACGATTTATTTCATTTATTTATGAAAAAAAAGCCAACTTTAGAGGAATCACATTATTTACCACCAGAATTTTATGAAAATTAAGAATATTCTGAAGAAAGAGATATTTGGTCTCTGGGAATAATTTTATATAATTTACTCTATCATTTTACTCCATTTTAATCTACTATGCCAAGTCAAATCAAGTTGGAAATATAAGCATCAAATATTTCATATTAGAATACTATATCAGATGAAGCTATATCTTTATTATAGTAAATATTAGAAAAAAATCCTAAAAAACGAATTAAAATTAATGAAATCACTAAACATAATTGGTTTAAAAAACAATAGGTTTTTCTTTTAGATGAATAAATTAAAGATACTCTATTAAGATTAAGATAATCAAAGAAACTAAATATTTTATAAGTTTACTTACTTAAATTCATTATAAATAATTATCCTCCTGATAAATTAAGAGAAATATATTCTGTTTTTAGATCACTTGATTTAGATAATGATGGATTTTTTAGTATTTCAGAACTTATAACTTCTTATACTGAATTTGTTGAAGATTCAGAAAATACCAAACTTATTTGTATGAATATTTTTTAAAAGGTTGACATGGATAAGGATAGAAAAATAACATTTTAAGAATTTATTTTGTATGCCTTTGATAGAAAAGAATTAATTGAAGAAAATGTAATTGATACAAGTTTTAAGTTATTAAAAAATAAAAAAAATTTTATAACTGCTGAAACTTTAGCAATTTAATATACTTTAGAAAAAGAATATTTCACAGACATAATGATGGAATTATTAAAAAAAGATCATGTATCAAATTTATTATAATTTAGATGACATTCTAAAATTTCAAAGATCTAATGAACTAAATAGTTTGATCGAAAAACTCTATTTAAATTATTTTACCAATTTATTTAATATATAAATTGTATTATTTTCTATTTTTTCTTCTATTCTGTAAATAAAATTCAATAAATGTACAACTAAATTATTAGTTACTTGCAGATAATAAAAATTATTTCAATCTAAGCAAATCATCCATAGTGTTTTTAATAATTAATCTGCTGTTTTCCTTTTATCAACATTTCTTTCTAAACTACTAATTAAAACTTCTACAATCTCTTCATCAGATGATTAAATTTGCAATTCTTATTTTTTTATTTTAAATTGTAATTCTTTTTCTGTATGACCACTAAATGGAAACTTATTAAACAATAAAGCATAAAGTACAACTCCACAACTCCAGATATCTGTCATTTCATTGTATCTAGGATTTGGAGGGAGTATTTCTGGACTCATATAGGATGGAGTTCCATAAGTGGTATTTATAAATCCATCTATTTCTGTAGCAAAACCAAAATCAATTAGTTTAATTTCTCTTTATAGTTATTTTAAATTTACTTTTATGAATTCATTAAAATGTTATCCAATTTAATGTCTCTATGAATTATTTTTTTATTGTGTAAATAACTGACAGCTTTTAGTAATTAAAAGAAAACTAATTATATTTCAAATTCTGATAATTTTTTCACTTTTTTCAATGATTAATCTCCTCCATATTCCATAATTAAATTTATCTAAAACATATTAAAATTTATAATTTACATTTTTATTTGATTCTACTACTTTAATTAAATGAATAATATTTTTATGATTGCATTATCGAAGAATTTGAATTTCTTTTGCTACAGCTCTAGCACGTTAAGGATCGTAAAGTCTTTCTTTAGAATAAACCTTTATTGCTACAATTTCACCATGAACTTTATGAATTCCTTTTCTAACGATAGCATATGAACCTTAACCAATAACTTCCTATATTTCATAATCATCTATTGTCACTATTTTTTTTTATGGTTTTAATTCTTTTAATGTTGTTTCCTTTATTTCTAATTTTTCACTTGTTATTTTCTTTACCATTTAAGGTGCATTTGAATTTGATCGAATTTAAACTACTGATCTAACAGTCTCTATTCTTTATTTCTTTATAACTTAATTTTCTTCATTATTTTATTTAGGTGAAGTAGGAGTCTACTTTGGTTTCAATAATAAATTAGATAAAACTGGTAATCTTGGTTTCATATGTACTTTTTTTGGTCGAATCTCAGTATTTTCAATTTATTCCTCCTATTATAATTTATTATCTATGCTTATTTATTTTATTTTAGCATCAGGTCTCTTTAAAATCTCAGGAAGTGTTGTAAATTTAAGATTTGAATCGTTATTAAATTGCCACATTATAAAAATAATTATAATAATATATTTCAATAAATTATTAAAATTTGTAAATAAGAAAAAAATAATATGGATAATATTGATGATATGGATGAATTGATCAAATAATTAGAATAAGAAGTTTCTAAATAAAATGATCTAAATGAAAATAATTCTGCATAAAAGTAAAATCTTATGTTATTTTAGTAATAATCCTTAGATTATCAAAGTTTAAGAAGTCTAAAACCAAAAAGCCTAATAAGAAACTAATATTAAATTTCCATAAATGCCAATCTAAAATAATTAATAAGGTTTACAAAACCAAAAATAACAGCAAATAAATCAAAAATTGCAATAAATAGAACAAAATGAAAAATAATAATACTCTTAACAAAAACAGTAATAACAAGCCCCATAATAATAACAATAATAACCATAGAAGTAAGCTTAACCTTAACCTTAACCAATTCAATAACAACAAATTGTGAATTAATAAAATTCAGGTACACCAAAAATTATTGAATAAGAATAAATATATACTATTGTTGGAAATTTCAAATCATTCAATTTAATACAACTAGAATCAAATTTCATCGCTAATACTTGCATGAAATAGCCATCTATTGAAGGTAATAGCTAATGTTTAAATTTTTATAAAAATCTGAGAATTGCCTTATAAAAACAATTACAATAATTAATTGATTTCGTTGAATAAGGAAAATTGAGAGATGATATGTATGGGAAATTTATTTAGGCGTCATTCAAAGATTAATATGTTTTACTTCAAAAGGCATAAGCATAAGGTGATTAATTTTTTGTTAAAAGGTATATTTTTATTATATTTATATAGAATAACAAATAGAATGAATGTATTAAAAGCAGAACAAACATTGATATAATAAAATCAAACAGTGAATTTTGTTTAAATAGTTTAAAAAATTAAACCAAATATTGTGATACCTCAAACTTCGAAACCTATAATAAGGAAACCTTAATAATTATAAGAGTAGAAATTTATTATAATTATAGTAATATAAATTTGGATACAATAAAGACAGATAAGAATGCATAAAAGCATCTAGAAGAAAATATTGATTAAATGCCAGTTCATGTTAAATATGAAGCTTTACTAAAAAGATATAAAGAATATTATAATTATGCAACTTATTTATCAAAAAATGTTAAGGAAAAGCGTAAAGAGGATATTGAATAAATTCTAAAATTATTAGAAAAAGGAAAAAAGTTAAGAGAATTTTTTACTGAAGGTTAAAATCCTTCTATAGGTAAATTTTTATGTGAGGAAATTAAGGAAATTACCTTAGAAGAATTTCATAAAATGAATTAATAGGAATATAAATCATGTAAATAAATTTGATAAAAAATTAGTATAAATATCATTATTTAATTAATTGATGGATGCAAATAATAAAGAAAAGGAATTTTATAGAAAAGCATTACATTCAAAGAGAATACCTATAGGTTAAAATTAAACCTATAATCCGCATGAAGAAAGCAAACAAAGATTAAATTAATATGGTTAAGCCTTCGAATATTTAAAGCCATTATAAAAAATGAGTTGGATTTTATTACCTGAAATTGAGAAATAAAATTTAAATGTTTCAATTTGTATAGAAAATAAAGAAATACCTCCTAATATTATTAGAATAAAATTTAGAAAACTTGATTGCAAATATGAAAAATATTACTTATTTTTTTCTTTGGATACTAATAAGTATTATAAATTAATATTTTTAGAGGAGTAGTTAGCAAATAGACTGAAATTTGTGATAAAACTTGTTCATTTAATTCAGATCATGATATTCCTTTAGAGAATGGAGTTGATTATGCAAATAAGAAGATAGAAGTTCGTTTATTTGAAAAAGGTTTTTTTGGATCAAGTGAAATAGGAGTAGGTCATATAATTCTTGAAAATATAAAAAATCAAACTTTATTTGAAGGATCAGTTAGTATTACAGCATCAAAAAAATAAATAATTCAACTTTCTTATACATTAATGATTAGAGAACCTATTGATAAATACACATAAGAATAAATTTAATTTGTTTAAATTTCAAAATAATATCCAGTTTTTGATCAATAAGAAGGAATGAAAGAATTTTTGGATAAATTTATGGTAGTTTTGCCTACTTATGAATAATATAAAAGAGAATAGGAAATTTAAAGATAGAGATAAATAGAAGAAGAAAAATAAAGAGAAGCCTTAAGAATTTAAGAAGAAAAATTATTAAAAGAATAGTAAGAATAATAATAATAATAATAATTACTATAATAATAAGGAAATCAATTAATAGTAAAAGATTATAGTTCTATAATAGTTTTTGAATCATATGGATAATAACCCAGAAATTTAAAAAATAAAAGAATTTATGGATACAAATCCTCCTTTACCACCTGGATTTAAAAAAGAAGATTTATTATATCCAGAAAATCCTTCTACAGTAAATAATTAATTGATTTTAGTTTTCAATTTTCTCATTTATTTCAGAATATTAACCTTTAGCAAACAAAAAAAGTATTGAATTGAAATAAGAGCCAAGTTTGAGATAATGGAGTAGATTTGTATAAAATATGTGGGAAGATTATACTAGATAAGAATGTGTATATAAAAAAATGATATTTAGATAATAAAAAGAAAATTAGAGAAAGATGGAGTTGAATGGTATTTTGAGAAAGTTAAAGGATTAATGATTTTTGAATAATTTCTTTTAGACACTTATAAAAAGTTAAATTTAAAAGATTGGTTTGAATTTGTTTAATAGAGAAAATAAAAGTTAGAAAAAGAATTATAAGAGTTAGAGAATATGCAAAATGAAGATTAAGAATGATTATCCATTCTATATATGTATGATTTAATTAATAAATACAAATAAAATTGTGAAGAAGAAATAAATCAAATCTTGTTATTTTATATCTACATGGATTCTGGTGATTTAAGTTTAGGTTTTTCAGGACTTGAAATGAGATGAAGAGCTAAATAGGCAAACATTCTAATTCCAACTGCTAATCCAATTAAAATGTAACGACATTCCCATTTTGTTAGAGTAATAGATAACATTTCTATAGGTTTGCATGGATTGCCTGGCATACATTCATAATTAACATCATCGAATTCATTCTATAAAATTATAAGAATATATTCATACAATGACTGAGGCTTCGAAACCATATTTAAACATTGATAAATATGTGAATGGATAGAAAATATAAGGAATGTTATCTTAATTTACAAAGAACCCTCCTAATATCATAAATGGTATAACTAAAGCAGGTACTAATGCTGTAGCTACTTCTATTTTTGGTATAACTGTTGATAATAATAATCCATATGACACTGCATATTAATATGTTAAGAATTAAACGAATATTAACATGAAAAACATTCCAACGTTAATATCACTTAATCCAATAAAGTATTTTAATTAATTTTAATATACTTTTATTTACACTATAAGTTTTATTTATTCTTTCTCTTAAAAATAAAGGTCTTTCCATTGAAAATGTATGAAGTGCACCTTAAATTCCACCAAAAGTATTAGCTGTTCAAATGAAAAATAGTGCTCCAAAACGATTTTATAATCCTTCATTATATTTTCCTAACTATCATAATATATAAAATAATATTTACATCAGAATAAACTAACATGAGCATTATTGCTTTAACAATTGATTAATATATTTTTAATTTTACATCCATAGGATTTCTAATTTCATTTAAAAATGATCTTTAGTAAATTAATACAAATTATTAAACAAATCCAATATGAAATTTAGAATCATTTTCTTTAATCATAGCAGTTTCATTTGATTATAATTCTTTGATCATATTAGATGAATAGTAATTATTAATAATTATTTAAGTCTTTCTTCAAACTCTTCTTTAATTTTAGCTTCATCGAAATCTTCAGATTCTCCTACTTATATTTTTTCAACTAAAAGTCCCTCTTCATTCATTAATTTCATAAAATAATCTGAAGGATTTGAAAAATTGGGACATTAAAATCCCATATTTCCATAATAATTAATAGCTTCTTCAGCATCTCCTTAATAGATAATGTTTCCTCTAACTAAAAGCATAAGTCTATCAAAATTATTAAATATTTCAGAAGATGGTTAATGAATAGTACTAACAATAGTTCTACCATTTTTTGCTAATCTTTTTAAAAGATCAATAACTTATAATGCAGTTGAAGAATCTAAACCAGTAGTAGGTTCATCAAGAAATATCAAACTTGGATTTGTAAGTAATTCTACACCAATACTTGCTCTTTTTCTTTCACCTCCTGATACACCTCTGATTTAAGTATTTCCTACTCTTGTATCTGCACATTTTGTAATACCCAACTCTCTAATTAAAGCTTCTACTCTTTAATGTTTTTCTTCTTCTGATATTGTTAAACGCATATTTGCTGAAAAATAAAGGCCTCTAATATACTTACAATTATTAATTACCTCTAAGTGAAAATGTTGCTAGCAATATATCATCTTACATAACATAAGCCATTTAATCATTAAATTTATCGATATCGTCTATCCTTTTNTAACATAATAAACAATTATAACACAAAGAGATGGATATATAATTTGGAAAGGAAATTCTGTCAAAGATCTTGCCCAAAAGAATGAATGTACACTATAAGTTTTATTTATTCTTTCTCTTAAAAATAAAGGTCTTTCCATTGAAAATGTATGAAGTGCACCTTAAATTCCACCAAAAGTATTAGCTGTTCAAATGAAAAATAGTGCTCCAAAACGATTTTATAATCCTTCATTATATTTTCCTAACTATCATAATATATAAAATAATATTTACATCAGAATAAACTAACATGAGCATTATTGCTTTAACAATTGATTAATATATTTTTAATTTTACATCCATAGGATTTCTAATTTCATTTAAAAATGATCTTTAGTAAATTAATACAAATTATTAAACAAATCCAATATGAAATTTAGAATCATTTTCTTTAATCATAGCAGTTTCATTTGATTATAATTCTTTGATCATATTAGATGAATAGTAATTATTAATAATTATTTAAGTCTTTCTTCAAACTCTTCTTTAATTTTAGCTTCATCGAAATCTTCAGATTCTCCTACTTATATTTTTTCAACTAAAAGTCCCTCTTCATTCATTAATTTCATAAAATAATCTGAAGGATTTGAAAAATTGGGACATTAAAATCCCATATTTCCATAATAATTAATAGCTTCTTCAGCATCTCCTTAATAGATAATGTTTCCTCTAACTAAAAGCATAAGTCTATCAAAATTATTAAATATTTCAGAAGATGGTTAATGAATAGTACTAACAATAGTTCTACCATTTTTTGCTAATCTTTTTAAAAGATCAATAACTTATAATGCAGTTGAAGAATCTAAACCAGTAGTAGGTTCATCAAGAAATATCAAACTTGGATTTGTAAGTAATTCTACACCAATACTTGCTCTTTTTCTTTCACCTCCTGATACACCTCTGATTTAAGTATTTCCTACTCTTGTATCTGCACATTTTGTAATACCCAACTCTCTAATTAAAGCTTCTACTCTTTAATGTTTTTCTTCTTCTGATATTGTTAAACGCATATTTGCTGAAAAATAAAGGCCTCTAATATACTTACAATTATTAATTACCTCTAAGTGAAAATGTTGCTAGCAATATATCATCTTACATAACATAAGCCATTTAATCATTAAATTTATCGATATCGTCTATCCTTTTTCCATTTAACATTAGTTCTCCTGATATTTCTAAATTACCAGATATTAAACGACCTGACAAAAAGTTTAACAGGGTTGTTTTCCCTGATCCTGAAGGACCAAGAATTGCAGTAAAATGTGCTGGTTTCATTACTCCTTTAAGATTATTTAACAAACACTTCTATGTATTAACCTAATTTATATTTAGTAAGAAATATACATTTCCAACTTTTATTGTTGCATTTATCATTAGTTTATCCCATTCTAATTCTATTGGAGTAAATTTTCCTAATGAAAATTCAGCTCGATTATCTGTATTTACAAGTTGTTCTTCTCTATTTGCTAATATTTAATACCATACGTTTAAAGCTTATCTGACATCAAACCTTTTTTTATTTATTTTTTATTATTATTCTTTTAAAAAAATAGAATTGATAAATTCTAGTATTAATATAATACTTCTATTTTTTAATATTTTAATATAATAATCTATCTTATTTTAAAATTAACTTTAAAAATTTTTATACTCTTAAAACATTCAAATATTTATTCATCAATTTTTTAGATCATAAATCCTGACTTTCATTAAAAAAATTTAAATTAATTTTAAATAAAGACTTTATTAATCTCTAATCTATTAGTTATCATAAATTTCATCTCTTTATTCTTTGTATGTATATATTTCTTACATAATTTTAATTTACATATAATAAATAAAAAGACAAAAAAATAACTCAGCAAAAGAATTCATAGTGTTAATGTTTAATAATCAAATTGAAGTAAATTAAATATTTAAGCAAACATAAAATATAGAATAATGACGAATACTTATTGATGTTATTAGTAGTATATACATTTTGAGTTTCTTTTTATTACAAATAGTTTTATATTAAATAAAATTTTAATATGAATAACAATACATTAGGTAAATCAAGAAGATTGTAAAGTGCTTATGATTCTAATTCATAATTAAGAACCATTCTATTAGCTTCATTAGCAAAATTACAGTAACTATAATAATGTTGTATTTTAGTTCTCAGAGTACAGCTTAGACTGGTTATTGTGAATTAAGGTCTTTAATAGCATAATTACAATAAAATTAATTTGTGATATTGACTAATTTACTTGATTCTAATGATATTTCTAAATAGGCAAAAAAAGATTATATCAAAGTATTTGGTGTTTTAGCAGAGATAAGAGGTAGTGACATTTAAGAGTAACTACCAAGGATTATATAAATAATAAATAAAAGAATATAAGAGGGTAAAATTAAGTTGATTTTTTAAGGTGATTCCACATTTATTTAAGTGATTTCAGATACTTTTGCAAATATCAACGAATTTACTATCTAAACATCGTCAAATAAATATGATTTATTTTAATAGATTACAGAAATACTCTAATCTAATTTTGTACATAATAATAGAGTTGCTCAATAAATAAGTGCCCAATCTTTATGTAGGATTATTTAAACAACAGATACTTAATTAATGGAGACTGTTTTTAAATCGTACACACAAAGAACTTTAGAAATTTTAAAGTAAGCCTTATAAATCAATTTATTATTAGATCTCCACACTGTAAAACTTAACAAGGATTATTAGAGAGCTTACTAAGTCTCATTTTAACAGTAGAAGCAATTTTTGAACCATGTTTAGAGGAATGCATACATACAATTAAAAATTGTTTGCATTCTGAAGAATGGAACTCTCGGTATTATTTATTATTTAAGTTATTTCTAGTAAATTTGCTTTAGATATAATATATTCATTAAGTGTGATATTTCCTTAATATTTTAGAGTAAATGAGCATTTGATTAATAAAATAGGAGAATTAAGATTTGATAAGATAAAGCATGTAAGGGATGCAGCTTTAGTAGCAATATAATCTCTTAAGGATTCTCGATCCTTATAATAATAATCAGCTAGAGAACATAAATCTGTTTTTAAATCTAATGCCAATAAAGGATTTTTTGAGAGAAATTCAGATATTCAAATTATTGAGAATAGACCAAGAGATGAAGAACTTTCTAAATAGAAATAGAATTTAGCAGATATACTTGTTAAGAATGAAACACATTCATTTACCCTTCCTAATTAATAGATTGGAACTGATAAAAGAGCATCACCTATATAAATGTTAACTGATTCTAATATTAATAATTCTCCCTAATGTTCTCCATTTATCTAAGCAGTTTAACCTAATTACAATTTTAGTATTTCTGGATCTAGTAATTAAAAAGACAGGAAATTCATCAATTAAAGTTAGGAGATCCCCAAATCCTAAATTTAAGTTGCTACTCCTCCTTAAAAGTAATCTTAAGATAAATAGGATCTTTTAAAATTATATGATTCAGCAAAAGCAAAATAAAATGCTATTTTTGAATAAATTCTAAATTAAAAATTGTAAATTTCAGAATAAAATACACGCTCAGAAATGAATTAATTAAACAGAAGAATAGATAAAATAGAATATCTTTTAGAAAGAATGTCAGAAACTGTAGAAAAAAAACTAAATTTATAATAGAATTCATAATTATAATAAATTTAATCTCAAAAATAAAAAGTAGGTCCTGTTGAACCTTTATAAAGTTAATTAGTTCCTTGCTAAATAAATTAAAATTTATAATCTCAGATTCCTTAAAATTAAAATATATTCGATTCTTTAACTGAACCTCCTTAAAAAACTAATACAAAAATTTAAGATATTTTTTTTATAGCTTAAAAATCTTAATTAAACACTGAATCAAAGCTTTAAGAATCTAATTTTGAATTAAATTCAGGAAAAATAAGTGATGTAGAAGGAAAATTTAGAGAGAATCAATAAAGATCAACCTCTGAAGCTTCTCCTATAAGACATAAGGATTAATCCATGTTATTATCTGATGGTAAATAGACATAATAATAAATATCCTCTCCAATAATTCAAAATCCTAAAGTTTGTGAATAATAAAAAATAATGAAAAGAGTAGAGGAATAAATTGATGTAAATTTATATTTGATTATTAGAAAAATAATATTAATGAAGCTTATAGTACAGCATTAACATCATTAGATGATTAAATAATTATTTCAACAATGATGAAAACTGGACCTTGTGCTGAACGATTAGATTCTACATAAGTTGAATACTTATTACATAAATTAAGAACACTAGATTGGATTGAAAATGCACTTTAACATCATCTAGCAAAAATGCCAGCAATTTTATTAAAATCAATATCAACTTAATTAAATAATGTTTAATAAACTGAACAAGTTAAAAGAATTTAAGAAATGATTGAAAAGAAGAAATTGTAATAATAAGAATGATATCATCATTTATTTTTTGCCTTTATTTAGATTTATCAGATATTATCTGATTTTTTAATTTATTTTGAAGAATACTAAAAATATTGATTTAAAAAAACAATAATTCAAAGATAAAGAATTTTTCAATTTAAACTTAAAATTGGATTAATATAAATATAATAATCAAGGTTATATTTGCGTAATAAGTTGAATTTTATTTAAAATGTTATTATTCTTATTTCTGTTATATGATTAGGCTTCTTCTTCTTTACATTTTGATGACTCATTTACTTCATTAACTTGATTTTAAGTATGAATCGGACTTGAATTTATGCGTTGACTTATTTAAGAATTAGTTTCATAAACAGGTTGTTTTAATTCTAAAAATTTAAGCTAAGAGATGAAAGTGAGTACATGTACAATATTTTTAAAAATATTTTATCTAAGTTTTAATTAATGAAATACCTTCTAAATGGGTTTTTACTTTGAATTATCCAATGTTTTTTGAGATATTCATTTGTAGTCATATTAGTTAATACTAAATATGAATGAAAGAACCATAATCCTACAACAAAACATTAAAACTAATTAATTAAAAAAATGAATTACTCCAAAAGAATAGATTACTAATATTATACTCACTGGATTTTAAGCTAAAGTTTGAGATACTGCATCAGAAGTATCCATATATATTGATCTTTTTTTAGATTCATCTATTATATAGGATAAACAAGTTCCAAAAACAAAAATCAACATAAAAGATACTGACATAATAAAGAAGTAAAAATAGACATAATTTCTACGACCTATACATTATCCAATCCAAGGACAATGATGATCAAATCTAACAACACAATTATCACATGAAGGACAATGAGATGCTCTTGCTGGTCTATATATTGCACCTAATATAATTTATAATTTGATGAATATTAAATACAAGTTGAACAATATTTTAATTTAAATTAATGACCCTTTATTATAAACATCTTAGAATCTACTATAAATCTGTAATCAATTTTAGAATATTTTTAAGGTGCTTCTAGGAGTTCTTGATCCATTTCATATTCTGATCTCTTTTATCGAAATAATCTATACAATTTTTGGAATTATTCCTGGGTCCATACAAACTGTAATCAATAATAGTATATAAATAGTAATTTAAATTATTACAAATATTACACTATACCCATTTTATCCATTTTTCTCAAATTCCTATTTTATGTTTAATTCTTACAGGAGACATAAATATATAATAGAGAATAGATGGAATTGTAATAAAACTAACACTTGCTAATAATTTATGGTTCTCAGAACTAATATTTATATAATTTGTCATAGATACCCAGTAAATATTTTTCCATTCCAAAATATTTTATTTGCTGTTTACCAAATCTAATATAATTCTTTTTTAACACCTGAGTCTTCATACTTTTTCATCAAATATTTTTTTTATATTATTAAAAATTATAATTAAAGTTTTCAAATAAAATGAACATTAATATTTTATGGCATGCTCATTCAAAAATTAGAATTTATCACTCTTAACTATTTAGAAATTTTTATTAACCTAAAAAATAAGTGTTATTCATATAAAATTATGTAAGTTATAAATTTTATAGGTGAATTAATATTAAAATTTTTAAATTATATCATCCTCAATTTCTTAATAATATAATAAATAGGATAATATTAAATTTATAGTAATTTATTATTTTAAAACCATTTATTTTAGTAAATAATATTTTAAATGATGTGAAATCTAAATTATATTATGATAATGATGTCTTTGTAATATTTATTGCCCTTGATTTTATCACATACAATAAGATCTATAAAAAACAAATTTAATACCTTTTTAAACTTAAGTTTAGGTATAAATCTTTTTATGAGGATTTTAAATAACAAGAAATTATTGAAAGATAATAAATAAATTGAATTTTATGAGAACAATTATTTAGATGTAGTTTATATCTTATAATGTAGAATATAAATAAGAAAATGTTCATTAATTTATTTAATAACCAAGGGAGATTGTAGAAAATTTTTTTAATTTCTCTAATATCTCTGCTGTACTATTTCTAATTTAATAAATTTATAATCATTATCTGATATTTTTTGAATATATGAGTGATATTAGTTTAGGAATACAGTAACATTTAATTACTAAAAAAGTCCACGTTAGTAAAGCGCTAGAAAATAGTTTACTTAATAATAAGTCAAATATTTTTACAATTCAAATATATTTGAAGATAGAAGATAGAATTATGATCCATCATTATTTGATAGAAACCAATAAATAAAGCAAGCCAAAACTCACTAATAAACATACAGTCCTCCAATTTGTTCAAAAGTTTAAAGAATCAATAGTTCCCCATAATCTTAAAAAGATTTAGATATTATAACTGGATTGCCAACAATTGAAAGAAAAATGTTTTTAAGCAAAAAACCTAATTCAAAGCCCTTACAAGAAAAAAAAGAAATTAATCAGGAAAATAAAATACAATCAAAAAAAGAATATGAAAGCTCCCCTGATAAGAAATTTGCTAGATTATATTTTGATAACAAAGTATATTCGAATTTTAAAAATAGAAATAATATGAATAATGGTTAATATAAAATAAAAAATATGATGATATCAATTATTTTAAAAAGAAAAACACAAATTAAAGCAATCATGAAGTTGAAGTAAATAGCTATTATAAAATTCATGGAAAGAATTGCAATCAAATTTAGAATAAATGAACTTTATTATTTAATATTAAAAAATAAGATTTACGAATTCTTTTTTTCTTAGCTTTTGTAATTTTTCATTTAAAACAAAATCCTTGAATCGTTGAAATAAAATTAATTTAAAATATATTTATTATAATAATAATCTATATTATTATGCTATTTTCATTTTATTTATAAGTTCAAATTCGGGGTATTCACTATATTGTATTTATTGCTTAAGGATTAATCTTCTACTAAGTTTAATTTTTTATTAGGCTAACTTAATAAAAAAAAGTCCTTTATACAAAATGTTGTGTTTTCTTCATTTAAATTTTCTTCACATTTGAAAAATTCTTATACCAAATCTATATTTGTATTTTTATTAGGAGATTTTAATAAAATTCCCAACTTATGACTTTCTTCTACCTTTTTACGGCCAAAATGATTTTAGAGAAACAATTATATTCTTGATAGTTCATAGATGATGTTTATATATATAAGTTTTTTTTAGGCTTGCTCTACTAAGATAGAACACAATTTTTTATTTTTTTTTTCTTTTGAATTTTTCAGTTAATTGTAATCAATGAAATAGAAGCTTAACACTTAATCTATAAAACTATTTTCCAATAATTTTTCATTATAGAATAAAATTATATACTTTAGAAGCATAAGAACATTAACTATTGATCCTACTTAAGCCAAAACCTCTCCCAGTTTAGGATATGAAATCTGTATATTTGAAGATATTGGATCAAGACGAAAAATCATATTGAAATAAGAATCATATCCTAAAATTTAGTTCCAAAGATTTAAAGATGAAGATGTGGTCAAAATTTAAATATCTTGCACAAATGTTTCTTTTACTATTGATCTTAATATAATTCCATTGTCAATAAATGCTTCTGCTTTCTTAAGCAAAATTTAACCTTATGTTGCTATTACTTTGTCTATTGAAAAATAGAAACTCTTTTTAACAAACTCAAATTATTCAGTTCTTGAATTAAATTATTTTAAACTTATCTAGAATGCTATATAATTAACAGCAGAAGTGAAAAATTCATCAATTTCTTTTTCACTTGCACATGTTTGGTTTCCAGATAAAAATGTTTGATTACATTTGATAAAGACAAGCATTAATTCTCTTTTATTTTTTTAGTGTAAATTTTTACTATTTTAAGAAAGATTCAATTCTTTCAAACCAAATTTTTTTGTACCATAAATGGAAGTTGCTTCTACATGATCTAGAAATGAAAAAGTTTCTTAAGGTTAACCATTAAAAAAGTAAACACCTAATGGAGTCAAAATGTTATTTTATTAATTAAAAGGATCAACTTAATGGCTCGAGTACTTCCAATAATAAAATTCAAATAAAGATTCATTTTCTAAATAAATTAATTCTGAACTATCATCAACCTGCATAGTATTACTTGATTTAGGAAGTAAATTATATTAAACCCATTCATTCATAATATATGCAAAATACCCTAAACTTGTAATCAAAATCAAAAGAGATGTTATTCCACCTATAGCAGATTTTTAGCTTTTAACATGTAGGCTAATTTGCTGCTTAAATTCCACACCAAAAATATCTATCAGAGATAAGTAATTCATATAAATTATAAATTTAAATATGTTATTAAACACTATCATAATATCTAAACATCAATTATAATATGGTTATTTTTTATATTTTAAAAAATTACATTTCAAATTATTAACATATTTAATTTAACTAAGAATTCTTTAGTTTTAGATTAGGATTATTTCGGTTGGAAAATATTTAGATAAATATTTTAATGATTAAATTTTCAATTATTAAAACTCATTAATAATTTTTAGATCGTTACGAGAAAACATATTTAATCAATTTTTTAATTTTATTTTATAATCTCTTTGAATTTATGATTGGCTAAATAAAACTACAATAATTATTTTTAATATATAAAAATTAAAAACTTTACCATAAATAATCTATGTATATTTTCTTTTCTTAATAGTCAAATAATTCAATAATCTAATTTTAGATTAGTTGTGAAAAAAAAATTAGTTGGAAATTCTAGAACGAAATGTTAAAGCTATTTATATGAATATATATAATTATTTTAAATCATTCGCTTTTTAGTTCGTTTAGTAATTGCTAATTAATTTTACTTTATTTCCTAAAAATGATAAATAAATATAATTTTTTACTTTCCTTAAAATAATTCAATCTTCAAAATAAATTCGCTAATTTTAATTTCAGCATTATTCTTTAGGACCACTAGATCTGATTCTGCTTTCTTATCCGCTTATTCTAATGTAGATAATGACACCCAAGTTCCATTTGCAGAATCTCTATCTTTAGATCCATCAAAAATTATCCATGATTTCAGGCTGAAATAATTGTAAATAATACCTTTTAGAGTATTTAAATCTGCTCTATTTTCTGGATATTGTATTTGAGTTGATTTTGACATGGTTTTCTTATCCTCTTCCTATTTAAAATTCCAAGGAATCCTAATTTTCAGTTTGAATAAAAATATTAAAATTTTTTCCACTTTCTACACCAGATCCATTAAATTTAATAGAAATAATAGAAGCTTTATATTCTTTTAATTTTTAATAGATTTCTTTAAAATCTTCAGGTTTAATTTTCAATTCTTCATTATCCTCTTCAAAAGTTAATATTTTAAAAAATCTTTATTATATCGATTATTCACTAAAATGAATTTCATGTTTAAATTGCTTTAAGGAAGTGATTTTTCTTAATAGTCTAAAAAAAAGATCATCAATATCAATTCCTGTTTCCTTATAAGTTTAACAAAATAACACATTAAAATTTGTGTCACTTCCAATACTATATTTTTAATCAAACTTCATGATACTAGGTTCATTTTTAAAAATTTTTAAATGTGTTCCACATAAACTACCTAAATCTTAAACATATGCATGTCTAGGGGATCTAAATATAAATGAAAATAGTATACTCTAAAAATTGTGATATAAGTATCATAGCTCTTTTAGGTAAAGGAGTATTAGAAGAAGTTTTAATATTTTAGATCGCGAATTTATAAATGAATTTTATTTTTTATTCTTTTCTAAAATAATGTTTGCAAACTAATTTACAATGAATTCTTGATATAATTCTATCTTCTGGAAGCACTTAAAATATTTTAATAATTATTACTTATATCATTAGGAATAACATCTGTTCTGTGTGATCTTCCAATAAGAATATCCTCAGAGTCAGCATTTTTATGAGAGCCAATAAGACTAAAATTCCTTGTAAAAATTACCCTTGTTAATTTATGAAGTATTCATTTGAATGATTAGAGTTTGGATAATTTATATTTCTTAACACAGTAACTTTAATATATGGTTCATTTTTGTTTAATTCTTCATTATGAATTGGAAAGGCTCGCTTTTACATATATTTATCTAGGTTAGAATTCTTTTATCTAAATAAATTGAAATTAAAACCTAGGTGATGAGGGTTCTCTTCTACTTTGATTTTAAAAATAGAGTAAAAATTCTTCATCTTAATTGAAAGACCTTGAAGTAAATGTATTCATTCTAAAAGGTTATCTTTAATGTTATTCTCCATTAGGATAGAAATTAAGAAATTAACTTAATTAAAATGAGGTACCAATTTCTAAAAATTGTTCTAAATCCAAAAAAGGATGTGAAAATGAGGAGAGAAAGTTGTTTTGGTTATTGTTGTTGTTTTGATTATTATTATTATTATCATTATTCATTATAATAATTAATGAACTACATAAATAATTAAATTTATTGAATCGGTAATTTATACTAAAAAGTGCAAAATCAAAATAGTTCTTATAGATCATCAATATAATATGAGTCAAGAAAAGGAAGCTGTATAAAAGAGAACTTTATTGATAGATATTAATTTGATCGGCATTAAACTCTTTTAATACCAAATTTGAGTAGATTGATAATAAAAGAAAAAACTTGATTAAGAGACAGGTACACCTAATTCTGGTTTAAGTATTATAAAGATAATTATTTTAGATCCAGTACATCAAATATAAGATAAATTTCTATAAGTAATAACATAATTTATTTAAAAAATGTGAATAGAATCTACACTTTCATGAAATTCGGTACCAAAATTCTCGTTTGAACGAAGTATTTTGCTATTAAGATTGTGGAAATAATGATGGAAATTTATAATTAGTCAGTTGAAAATATAAATGAGAATTAAATTAAAGTACTCATTTAGATTTATATAATAGACATATCATCCTTTAACTAAATGCTTATTAAATGATCAATTAAAGATTATGAATAGTTAAATTAAAAGCTTTAGGAAGTGAAAATGGTTATTTTTGGAGATTTATAAAATCAATGATAAAATGAGTAAACCTTACAATAATTGTTAGAAATTAGACACTTAGACACTGGTTATTATTTATAAACTAATATAAATTAGTATAAGTTTGAAGGCTTATTTACAGTTTCTTTACTTATATTGATTCTGGTAAGCCTAATGATACTAGAACTCTTTGGAAAGCAATTGAAATTTAATGATGATGATGTATTTATATCAAAGTTGATTTCAACTTCTTCTCATTCTTCTATCTCTTTTTGATGGATCCTATCCGTTTCCTACACAATTTTAATCTTAATATGTATAAATGTTTGGGTATGGTTATTTATCTTCAGCTTTTCTATTCTCCTCTGTCAAGTGATCAGCAAATTTCTATTTTATTAAAGAGTTCAAATTACTGTTAAATGCTTTCTAGCTTAATTAGCTGATGTTTCTTCTTTTTTCTATCCACTCAAATCTGTGCTTGGTAAACATGATTCACCTTACAGTTATATATATTATACCTGGCTTCATTGATAAATTGTGACCCAATTAATGTTTGCTATGTCTTAAGTGTTAATGTCTAGCTTGAATAACAAAAACAACTAATAATATGAGAATTATTTGTTTAATCATTAATATATATATATTATTATTCTTAATCAATTTAAAATGCAACTCTCATAAGTTGGTATCATATATTTTATATTTATGTAAGCATCCTATTTTACAATATACAATATTTTTACTTCTCCTCCTGTTTACTCAAATAATTCTAGTGTTTCTTAAATCAAATCCCCAATATTTACTCTTTTTCTTTAATTGTACTCTATTTTATCACCCAAATTAGAATTATTATTTTTATATAAGTTCATTATTGGTAAAAGTTATCTATAGTAAGGGACTAAGGAATCTTATAAAAATTGTTACCTAAAGCTTCACCCACCATTTCTCCACTTAATACAAGTTTTTACAACACTTTTAATTACACTTCCATAATACTTATATCTCTTGTATTTAAATTAGCTGTCAATCATAAAAATATGTAATTACTTTTAATTGGAATAATTAATTAAGGAATAACAGGTAATATTTTATTACCTCCACTTTCAAGCAAACCATATGTTCCTAAAATAGCTAAGAATCTATATGGATCCATTTTTTCCTTAATTGAATATATTTATAATAGATACTCTTAATCCATCAAAAAATATAGGTAAATAATGATGATAATCTAATTATTCTGGTGATATTTTCCATATAATTCTATTGACACTTCCTTAATGATCAACCTATTAACATAAATATTTTATGATACTTTAATAGGTAAATCTCCTCTATCATAATATCTCCTAAAATCTGAAACTGTAATTGTTCTTTAATCATAAGCTCCTGCTTTTGGTGGCGCTGGTTTATACTCTTCCTTCTTTTATAATTATGAACTTGTTCTTCCTCCTGTTCCCTAATGAGTCCCTTAATATTTATCTAATTATGCTTAACATCTATTCTTACTAGTAATTAGAGCATTTTATGATGTTTCATGAACTGGCTCAAACACTTTTTGCTAGTTAGCTTTCTCCTTAGGAATATATTCTTTTGGAAAATCACCAAATGGTGAATGAGGATTCTTTGGAGCATAGGGTGTCTTCCATGCTTTGTAATTCTAAAAAAGTATATGGTGTAATAAATACTTGATTTTCTTATTTTTTTAGTATATTTTTTAAATGATCTTCAACAATCTATTATGATGCTAAATTCTCTTTTCTTCCAACTGCCTATCCTTAAATTTTAGGTAGCATTTAATTATTTAATTTTTATTTATGCAATAATTATAAAACTCAGTTCTTGATAAAGACATGCTTTTATAAACTGATGGTTCTCTCTATCTAGGAACCATTATTAGATCTAATCTCTAAGGCTTTGGTTTACTCATAAACCCTGATGGATGTAAATACAAAACCCAATAATCTTAGCTTATTATTATGGGGAATTCAAAGACTCTAACCCTATTAATATAGGAATCTATAAGTTATAAAATTCTTGTATTAAACTACATTTTGATGGCTCCTCCAATTTGATTGACTCTGAGAACATTCATAATAAAAGTTTTCTATATAAAGTAATCCCTTTTAAAAATAATTCCTATGGAGACAGAATCTTAATTAAAAGATATACTAATATGATAATGTATGGACTTACAAAAAAAGGACAATATCATGGATTTTGTGTTTAGCATTATAAAAATGGAGATACATTCTATGGATAAATTATCAAAGGCAAGAAAGAAGGTGATGCTATTGAATTCAAAAATAATAAATAATAATGGTTCTGGTTGATCTATAAAGATGATATTATTTAATAATAGAAATTTTATGGTGATAATTTTGTTCCAAGAGAACTTATTAGTAATTATATCAATAATACTATTTTAGTTGAATTATTTAGTTCCATACATCTAAAATTACCAAATTAATCCAAAGCTGTATCATTAGCTAATATTCAATTTAGCATCAATAATACACTATTAGACATGAATCTAGACAACTCAATTAATAAAAATCTTTAATATATTGAAAATGAAAAACCTCGACAGTTTTAAAATTTGGTTGATGAAGAATAAATTGAATTTGAAGATAACTTATAATACAAAGAACTTTAAGATTTTAGCAATGATAATCTCAACAATTTAACTAAAACAGAAGTTGAATAAACTAAAATTAGAATTGGCAGAAGCTCAAGCTGTTTAGTTGGCTCCTCTTTAAATCCTTCTTCTACATCCAACATTAGAGACATTAGAGACATGGTCAAAACTAAAATCATAATTAAAAGATCCACTTCTCCTGTATTAACCACAATAAGACCTTTATTTTCTGTGATAAGAGTTTGAGTATCAATATTTTTCTTATTTTATATATATTTGCTTATAACGAACAAAGGTATTTTCTTTCAGATTAAAATTACATAAATAATTATGTTCAAAGTCAAGATTCTCCAATTATTTGATTCCTTTGTATTAAATACTGTCGGCCCATATTATAGGAGAATTGGGAAAAGCTTCCTATCATAAGGAAATGATATGCTTGGAAGCGAAGCTAGCGATGATCGTTTAGTGTAATGTTTAAGACAAGTCTAATCTAATGGTCAAACTCCCTAAATCAGCGAAGCATTATTTACTGCTCCTAATTCAGTTTTAATTGGGAATGTTATATTAAAGCAGAAGTATTTTTTAGATTTCATTATTAGCTCGTCTGTTTGGTATGGTGCCACTTTGCGTGCTGATCAAAATTCAATAACAGTGGGCAAAAATGCTTTAATTTAAGACAATGTATATGTCAAAGCAACATAACCAGTGTCCTTAGGAAATAACTCTTATGTAGGACCAAACTCTAATTTATAAGGATGCTTAATTGGAGAGGATGCATTTATTGGAATGGGATCTACAATTAAATAAGGTGCTACTGTTTAAGGAATTGTTGCTGCAGGGTCTCTTGTCTCAGAAGGCACTCAAATTAAATAAGGAGAAGTCTGGGCTGGATCTCCTGCCAAATATTTAAGAGACATCACTCCTTAAGAAATATAAATCCTTAGAGAATATAAATAAGAATTATTAGAATTAGCTTAAGTTCATGGTGAAGAAACATCTAAGGGTTTCAGACAAGTATTTTCATTATATATTTTAGATTATTGATGATACAGATGAAAGATTAATAAAATAACAAAGAGGAAGTGAAGAAGAGGCACTTTAAAAAATTGCTGAATTGAACTTCCCTTTAGAATATGAAGACGAAGAATTTATTGAATAAAGAGTCTTTATGAAACAATAACCACCTATGTTTATGGACTCTGAAAATCTTTAAAGTCAACAAGATTAATATGAATAAGATCTAAATTCATTTTCTGAAAGTATTATATCCAATCATTTTAGATATGTAAAAATATAATGAGGATTATTAAATTTATGAAGAGGCAAAAAAATACTTTGAGTAAAACCCACAAGCCAAAGCCAATCAATTCCAACCAAAATCTGAAATTCCTGATGATTAACCATGGAGCAGAAAATATTGATCTATCAAACATCAAATAAAAAATTACATTAAAACTATTTACCATATTATGATACCTCTAATTATTAAAAATAATCATACACTCTAAGTGATAATATTTAATTAATGATTATTTTTTAATAAATTCAAACTTGCTTATTTATAATAATTGGCCTTTAAATACAATATTTTTGCTCTTTTTTTTTAATAATTTATTTATTAAACAAATGATGAATATAAAAGGCCGAGTTTTAATTTTAAATAATGGTAGAAGCAATTCTCTGTTATTTAGAATATGACATAAATATTCGGAGGGTATAACAATTATCGCTGAGTAATTTAATAATATTATCATTAAATGCTTCATTTTGAATGATCTTCTTTTTTTTTTGAATCACAATTCTAAGCTTATCTTGATTTCCCATTCTATTGATGTTAATCAATCTAATAAAATAAGAGAATAGAACTACATTTGTCCAATTTAACTTAATATGTCAAAAAAATGTTTAGAAATAAACATTAATGAAAAAAGGTATTAAAAACTAAAAGATATTAATATTAAAATAATATAAAGGTTTTAAGTATTCTGATTGTGAACTTACTATGTTCTATTTCTTATAATTAAATAAATACATATTAATATAGTTTTAATTTACTTTACAATAGTTAGAATCATGAATGCTTTGAAAAAAAACATTGAAATAACCCAAGCACTTCCTTTTCTATTATAGAAAATGATATGAATGATTTCTGTTACTTATAATTAATTTTTTTGAAAAGAAAACAAAGAAAATAATTTTTTCTAACAAACATGATATAGATGAAAAAAAGAGTAAGAATAGGCAACAGATATAATAAAAAAATAGAAAGAATTAATCAAATTTTGCATTTTCTAAAGAAAAAAAAAATCATCAGATTGTTTGATTATATTATCAGAAACTTAGTATTATATCAGAGAGCAGTCAGTTTTTAGTAACAGAAAGAGAATTTTTATACCTTAATAATGAAAATAAATGTAAAAAAGTGTTAAAATAAATGAAAAAGCTGATGAATAGAAGCATATTATATTCGTTTGAATAAATTATACATTAAAAACAAATATGGTTATTATAATGAATACAATAAAATAACCACAACTAAGGCAGGATGTTATGTCATGGCAAAATTTCAATAATAAATGAATTTTAAATTTATAAATTTGTTTTTTTACATGGCCAAAAGGTTTTAGTTATATCTAATTATCATGATTTGAATTAGTTGAAAAATTTTTTTAATTTTCTTTATTGTTAGAATGTAATCAGAAAAGGAAAATTATTTTTAAAACTGAAAAGGCTTCTTTTGTATAATAAGAAGAAGAAAAAAGAGTAGGAAAATAGCATAATGATTGCTTTTTTATAGGTATATTAATTGTAAACGATAATAAGCTTAAATTTATTTATTAAGTAGTTTATTTATATTAATTTGATACCATTGATTAACTCAATTTAAGTTCATTCCTATATATTTTGATTTATTTTAAGATGAGTAAAATTTTGCCAAATTTTAGATGAGATTAACAATATTAATTCAATTTAAATATTTTTGATTCACTATCCCTAAGTTGAAGTTTATAATGTAAGAATTTAAATAATAAAAGACATATATAAAGAATTAACTAATAGAATAGAATATAGAACTAGTTCAAATCTTCACATCATAACTTTATATGTATGATAAAAGATGAAAACTAAACAGACACATATGAAAAATTTTACACTGAAACTCTATGATAAAATTTGATATTATGAAGTATTTAAAAATATTAATTATAGTTTATTTGAGCAAAAAAAACAAAGGCTTAAAAAATGGAAGGAGAGAAAAATTAATTTACTTTGTATATTTAGTTAAATGTAAAAATGTGAAATATAATATGATTAGCAATGATTATGAATTTATAGAAATAATTGAATTTGCTATTATCATTTTAAGCTTCTAAATTATTAAGCAATTTTTTCCATTTCTTAGTTATTTAATGATTTTCCTACTAAATCAATTTTCAAAGGAGCCAAGCATGAATCAACAACATCTTATAAATCAATAGAAGAATCAACTTTGAATTCATTAAATAATTATCCAACAAATGAATTTTAAGGAACAAATCTAGAAGCATTGTCATGTACACATTTCCATAAAGCCAAATCATATTTTAATGGAACACTCCACCATCTTTGAGTTAGACTGTAAATGAATCCTGGTCTAACTATTATAGGATTAAGTTATTATTGCTAAGAAATTTTTAAATTGAAAAATACTTAATGAAGACTTAAAATATGTTATTCTACTTCTTGTTTTGTAGTCAAATATCTTTTTAAAAAGGGGGGATGAGCTGAACCACTTACATATACAAACTTTACATTTGTATTCATCAATTCTTTAACAACATTAAGAGCGGTGTCTCTATTCATTTGTTCATAAGTGCCTTGCTCACCTCTAAATTATTCAATATTAAATACGGTTTCTTATTTTTTAAAACTGACGAATCGATTAGTGTTCCAATTGTATGTATCACCATATCACTTTTTTATAAAATATCTTTGAATTCATGAGCTTTCATTGCATCACCTTTAATCCAATTTACCTCTCTAGTCCAATTTTATTATGTTGTTGGCTATCCACTTCGAGAAACTCCATTCACTATTGCACCATATTAAATGGCACTTTTTATTACGTTAGAACCTACATATCCAGATGATCCAATTACTGTGATTATTTTACCACTTAAAGGTTTAAACATTTAGTAATTATATTAATATTCATTATTTATCTATCATTCAGAATTATATTATTCTCAAACTATTATAACTTTTATAAATTAATTCTGGTTATAAGCTCAATAAGAGTTGTAATTTATTCATTTTATTTAAAGTCTTTACTACCATCAGATGATTAAGCTAATTCTATAACTTAATTGATAAATATATTCTAGTAAATATAACTAATAATATGATAATAATAAAAATAATTTTATAAATGGATATTATTTGAAAACATTATTAAATTGCTACATCATTTATAATTATGAGGTGTAACCATGAAATTAACTAAGCCAGTTTCCTAATCTTTTTTATATTTTCTAAAAGCACTTGGACTATAGCCTCCAATACCAAATTTACTGGTAGGTGATTTATAATCTTTTTAACTTTCAAATGGATCTCCTATATTGATTTCCAAATCTGAATCTTAAGTAGCTTATTAATTATAGATATATTTATCAGCATTGGCATCTAAAATTGATATAATTCATACTAATTCTTTGTTGTAGTTGTTAAGCAATAGTATCTAATGTTTTTTCTCTGCATTAAGAACAAGGTTTTGTTATAACTATAGGAACAAAATTAGATTTGCTCAAGACATTGTCATCTTAAAGACCTTATTCTTCTTAATATTAGTTGATAGGTTTTTGAAAGAATATTTGTCTAGGAGTCAACACAGGAAAAGCTGGTGTCATTTAATTATTATTAGGACTATTTGTTCCTTAATAATCATAGATATATTATTAGTTATAATTGTTAGAAGATTATTACTAGATAATATATTAATAAAGGATTTACTTCTTCATTATCCTATTAGATTTCAAATTCATCTCTAATGATATTAAATAATGGTCCTTTTTTGGTTCTAATACATATATCAATATAGTCCTCTTTATCAATATGCTAAAATTAAATAAAAACATGATACCACTTTCTTTCTGGCATTGAGTCTAGAAGATCTCTTTAAGGGAACATAATTACTTGCTTCTTCATATTTATAATCACTAGTATAATCATCATCATCATCATCATCATCAATTCTACTTTTTCTTTTCTTATGATTTTTTTTCTTTAATTTTAATCTGCTTTCTCTTTGTTTAGTATAAAGTGCACTTAGTTTAATATCATAATAATACTTGAATTCCATTATTTTATCAATAAGTTATTTAAACTTGTCTTCATTGAATTAATTAATTTAGGATTTTTATTTAGATTAAGCAAATTCTAATATAGAGTCTNTAATAATAAAAATAATTTTATAAATGGATATTATTTGAAAACATTATTAAATTGCTACATCATTTATAATTATGAGGTGTAACCATGAAATTAACTAAGCCAGTTTCCTAATCTTTTTTATATTTTCTAAAAGCACTTGGACTATAGCCTCCAATACCAAATTTACTGGTAGGTGATTTATAATCTTTTTAACTTTCAAATGGATCTCCTATATTGATTTCCAAATCTGAATCTTAAGTAGCTTATTAATTATAGATATATTTATCAGCATTGGCATCTAAAATTGATATAATTCATACTAATTCTTTGTTGTAGTTGTTAAGCAATAGTATCTAATGTTTTTTCTCTGCATTAAGAACAAGGTTTTGTTATAACTATAGGAACAAAATTAGATTTGCTCAAGACATTGTCATCTTAAAGACCTTATTCTTCTTAATATTAGTTGATAGGTTTTTGAAAGAATATTTGTCTAGGAGTCAACACAGGAAAAGCTGGTGTCATTTAATTATTATTAGGACTATTTGTTCCTTAATAATCATAGATATATTATTAGTTATAATTGTTAGAAGATTATTACTAGATAATATATTAATAAAGGATTTACTTCTTCATTATCCTATTAGATTTCAAATTCATCTCTAATGATATTAAATAATGGTCCTTTTTTGGTTCTAATACATATATCAATATAGTCCTCTTTATCAATATGCTAAAATTAAATAAAAACATGATACCACTTTCTTTCTGGCATTGAGTCTAGAAGATCTCTTTAAGGGAACATAATTACTTGCTTCTTCATATTTATAATCACTAGTATAATCATCATCATCATCATCATCATCAATTCTACTTTTTCTTTTCTTATGATTTTTTTTCTTTAATTTTAATCTGCTTTCTCTTTGTTTAGTATAAAGTGCACTTAGTTTAATATCATAATAATACTTGAATTCCATTATTTTATCAATAAGTTATTTAAACTTGTCTTCATTGAATTAATTAATTTAGGATTTTTATTTAGATTAAGCAAATTCTAATATAGAGTCTTACAATCCTTTACAAGCTTAACATAACTTTTTCATATGATCATCTTTAAGTTCAGATGGGTTTTTTTCAGCAAGAATAAATATTTTAGATAAGACTCCTGGTTTAATATCCTTAATCTGTTGGGTACCCTTTTCTTTGCTAAATATATATTCATGCGGATTACTGTTCTTGTCTCCAATAAGTTTATTGATTCTTCTTAGACTTCTTCTTAAAGTAGAGTAAAAATGATTTTTAATTGCATTATCAGTTCGACCTGGTAACAGTTTCGCAATTTCTGCCTAAAAATATTTATTTAATTATTTTCTCATACCCACTTATTACCATGTTCTTTATGTGCTACAAAAATTACTCTTTCTTCATTTTCACTCCAAGGCTCTTTGTTAATTGCTGGATCCAAATGATTATGATAACGTTCTCTACATTATTTGCCAGACCTTCCAAATAATCCATAAATTTCTTTCATCTTTTCAGCAACAATAGTCCACTTCTTTATTCCATACTACTTCACTAATTAAAGAATTGCCATGTCTTCCTAATTTAAAGCTATCTTAATTTTAAATACTTTTTAATTCCAAGCCTTTCTATCAGTCATATTTAAATAATTAATTAATTAACTTCATCCATTATTTCACTTAAAAATCAAAAAGAAAATTCAAAACTATCAGTATTTGATACTTACTAATTCAATTTACTATTAAATAACTTACATTTTTTCAAGATTCTCTTTAAATATTTTTATTTTTTTTTGAGAACTTTATATTCAATACTCGTTTATGTGATCCAAAAATAACATTAATAACAATTTTACATCTAATAAATAAAAAAATCATCTTTAATTATATCTTAAATAAATTCGACAACAACTCTCATTAGATCCATGTATAAAATTCAATTCGCTACTTTAAGATTTTATTTCTCTTAAAATATGAGGATTTTTTTTATAAATTTAAACCAATTGATTTTGAATACCTATCCCATCCTTGAATGCGCTATTTATATTTTTTAATTTTTATGAACTTTTTAATTTACTGATAATTAACTATCTTAATTAGCCTTTGCCCTTAATTCTAATGAAGTCTGAAAAGCCTCATTTATAACATCCCTTTTTCTTAAACATAAGAAAAACGATATTAATTTATGTTTAAATGCTATTTAAATTAATAATAGTTATTCATAAATGTATTTTTGTGGTAGATTCTTTTTAGTCGCAATTGTAGTCTTTTTAATATATTATAATATCATCTTCTCTTAATTAATAAATCCAACCAGTCAAACTATTTAAGTATTCGAATTGCTCAAATAAAATAAATAATAAACTTATCTTTTTCTATATTTTTATCTTTTTTTCAAATCTAAATTTATATGTTTTTTTTAAATATATTCTAAATAAATATAATAAAGTCATTTCATTAAGAATTAATTCTTTGAAAATTACTCATTCAATAAATCAGGATAACATTTAGATTTTGATTTTCTATCATTTTAGTTTATAAATAATTAAATATACACTTTTCAATCATAATCTAATTTACGGATAATTCCATTTAGTGGTTTAGTATCAACTTCTGATGTATCATCACTCATTGAACTTACATTTCCTGAAGATGAAGAACTAGTTACTTATTATTTACAAATCACAATTGATAATCCTCCAAATTTTTTTTGGAATTAATTTTATTAAGTAATAGAATTTTAAGTTCCTTCTTACCTTTCTTATATTGCAGGTAATTAATGTGAAATTGTATTTTTACTAGTAGGAAATGCAAAATGTTTCATTGTAAATTTTCCTTATCTCTCAGGAGATACAGCATCTATGATTGACTCTTATTTCTTTGTTTATTAAATAAATGCCATATCACCTACACTTCCTGCATGTTTTAATTTACTAATTCCAATAGGACTTGTTGAGGTACTATTTCTCTTTATAGGCTTAAGTAAATGGATCCAATCAAATTATAATTGTAAATCATTTTGTCCTAATAATTAAAAAAATGGTTGTTTCAATAGATCATAATTAGGAAATTCATGAGGAGACAATAATCTTATGGCATGATACAATTATAAAAATTATTCTGGATACCCCTTCAATTCTCTTTCAGGTACGAATCTTTGCTTTATCTCATAATAATATTTGAGTTTTTCTTAACGTTTTACATTAGGTTGAAAAGGTAAAAATTTACCAGAGGTGATTATATGTAACAAAATATAAAATAACGATTCTAAATCATCTCTTGGACAAGGAACTTTTATATTCTGATATTAAAGTACATTGTTTTAAATGGGTTCCTATGGATGAGAATTTATTTATATACAAGTTGAGTTTATTTTTGTTTCTGAGTAAAATTTTTCCGTTTTTATCCATATATTTTGTGGAATATTCGAAATGAGTGAAATATATTTCAGATGAGAGAGTAGTAATCAAATTTGATAATTTTAAACATCGATGAATTATATTCAATGAATGTAATTATGAGAGGTGAGTGATCTTAATTTAGTTAATACATAGTTACCATTTTTAATGCAATTAAAGCAATAGTCTAAATTGAAAATTTACGTTTCATCAATTAAAAGCACAATTTCAATGATGGTCCTGCCTTCTATTGTACAATGTAATGATAAGATGTTTCTTCTACTTTAAGAATTCCAAATTGATGAATGATAGGAGTGATACCATCTTATTTAGGGTATTAATTATACTGTCACTGGTCTTTTTATATAATCTGCAATAACATTAGGCCTGATTAGTCACCTATTTTAATGTGTTCCAAAGTATACTATTTATACTAGTATGTCAGCAGTTTTTTGATGATCTTTGACTAGTACTGCATTGTAGTAAACAGAGTTTCTACCAGTATAATAGATAGATGTCAGCAAATATTAACCATCTATAATTACAGGTTTATCATTTTTAAGCATTTAGAAAGTTTATTAATGTATAATAATTTAATTAACTATTTTAAAAATGGACATAGATAGACATATAGCAACATTATTAGGAGGAGGTTGTTTACCAGAAAGAGATCTTAAATTGATATGTGATAGAGCAAAAGAAATCTTTCTTGAAGAATCTAATGTATAGCCAGTACGAGCACCAGTGAATGTATGTGGAGATATTCATGGTATCTAGTATATATTAAGATTCAGGTTAATTTTATGATTTGTAAGCATTAATGAAAGAAGGAGGAGATATATTATCTGCTAATTATATCTTTATAGGAGATTTTGTTGATAGAGGTTATAATTCTGTAGAGACAATGGAATATTTATTATGTTTAAAAGGTAATCAAAAAATAAATGTTAGTTAAATATCCTGGAAAAATAATGTTATTACGTGGTAATCATGAATCAAGATAATGTACACAGGTTTATGGTTTCTATGAAGAATTACTTCGTAAATATGGTAATAGTAGTCCATGGAGATTATTTATGGATGTTTTTGATTGTCTTCCATTAGCAGCATTGATTGAAGGTTCAATATTATGTGTTCATGGTGGTTTATCACCAGATATGAGAACTATTGATCAAATAAGAACTATTGATAGAAAAGTAAAGTTTAATATTATTATTAAATCTATTTAAGATTGAAATACCACATGAAGGACCATTTTGTGATTTAATGTGGTCTGATCCAGAAGAAGTTGAATATTGGGCTGTGAATTCAAGGGGAGCTGGTTATCTATTTGGAGCTAAAGTTACTAAAGAATTTTGTAGAATTAATGATCTAACACTTATATGTAGAGCACATCAATTAGTTATGGAAGGATATAAATATTGGTTCCCAGTAATTCTTTAATCCAATTTTAGGAATAAAATTTAGTAACTGTCTGGTCTGCTCCAAATTATTGTTATAGATGTGGCAATATTGCTTCCATTTTATGTTTAGATGATAATTTGAATCAAACTTGGAAAACTTTTAAAGAAGTTCCTGAAAGTTCTAAAAGCATTAATCCAAAAAGTGTATTACCATACTTCTTATGAAGTATATAATATATTTTGATACTTCTTAAGAAGTATAATAATAATAAAAATAAAGTTTTATATAATTTTTTCATAAATCATTAGCTCTAAAGAAGAACTCTCAATTTTAATTAGTATGAAATGAAAGAGAATAAATATCATTTTCATAAAGATTAAATAAGACTTTAAAAAGGACAGTTTTTAAAAAAATCCTTAAAAAATTCAAATGATAAAATCTGCATTTTTATTATGAATAGTCTAGAAATAGTTAATTTAATAATGTTATAAAATATTGTTTATTCTGTTGGATGGCTTGGATCACAACCAATAATTTCAATATCACTTTTACGGTATCTAATTAAAACAGATGTTGCTGCTCTTTATGCTTCTTAATTTTTTTTAAGATTGTGGTGCATAGCTGCCTTCTTTATAGCTTTTATTTAGTAAATATATGGTTTTTATATAATAGCAAGATTGTGATTTTACAACATCCAACTAAGAATTCACCTCATGAATTAGCTTAACCATTCCGTTTTTCATTTTCTCTTGTTTTCACTTGTGCAATATTCGAATTTATTCAATTAGCATTAACTATTCATGCAGTAATAATAGAATAAAATATAAGTTAGCCTATTACAGTATAGTCCACTATTTAGCCCTCTATTAGTTATTCAGAGCCTTTTTTCGAAGTTGGATTAACAATGTGACACCTAATACAATATTTTGTTCATTTTTGCTTATGGGTTTAGTCTATTTATTAGAAGATTGGATAGTACTCATTCCTGGTACAGCTTTCTAGAACAAATATCTTTCTATTTAAAAAACTTTTGATTGGTAACCTCTTTTAATGGTTATTGGTGCAGCAGCTTCTCATACTCTAGGAATTTGGATGTTTAAAGTTTTGTCAATGAAAATGCATTAAACATAAAAAGCTTTTATTGATAGAGTTTCTTGGTCTAATTATATAGCTGATGAACCTGATAAAATCACTTACAGTTTATGTGTAGTCAACAGTTTATTCAGCAAATATTTAGAGGCTTAATTAAGGATACATTGTGAGACTAATTCTATGTAAATTGATGGTCTGTCATAAAAAGAACTTAGAGCTTTAATTAAGGATTATTTTGATAACCATCTAACATACAGTTTTTAATATATGGAGTAATTCAAAATATTTAATTTTAATAAAGAAGGTAATTTTAATAGAATATTCTGATAAGCTGTTGATGATCCTGCCATTTATAAAGAAGAAGATACTTTACTTAGGAGATTAATTAAAGAGAAGATTTATGAAATCTAACTATAACATCAATAATATAAAGAATTATTTGGTACTGATAAGTATCTGAATCTTTAATTTGAAATTCTTTTTGAAGATTATGGAATTCATGAATATATTTGGGATGATGAAACTCCATATATTCAATTAATTATTTCATTTTTTGAAGGAATATTTTGTTTCTGTGGTGCTTTTTATAATCATGAATATGACAATTTATTTTCTTAAGGCTATAAATTAGAAATGTCGCATGTATCCTATTATGTATGGATAACTATATTTTTGGGAATGTTTCAATTACTTAAAATATTGTAATTTATATGAATAACTACATAGTTCATTTAAATTAATGTTCTTATGGAACGTACAAACTTATTTTTTTAGTGGCATTTTTACAGAATTAATAATTGTATATCTAACAATGATTTGGATTGAACCTGTAGGATATTTATAAGTCTTAGGCTTAGTTTTATCTTATTGTATAATGTGTGTATTGTATAGATCAGCTGAAAAAGTGAGAGATTAAAGTATCCTCTTTTATTTTATAATTAGAAAATAAACTCTTCTATTTGAGTTTTATTACTTTTTTAATAAGGGTATAAAAATTTACTGTGAGAGAAGGATCTTAAATTATTTAAATGATGTCTCTTTGTGCAGAAAGATTAAGTCTTAATGAATTTTTAAAAGTATTGGCTTAAATTCTTTGTACTCATGGGATCGTCAGTTATGATTAATTGAGATAAATTAAATTTAGTCATTTTGGAAAGAGTCCTTTTTTCTAATTTTAGATTCCTTTTATTTTTCAATCTCAATTAAGATATGAGAATAATATCGAAGATCCATATCTTCCTGAATTTGATGAAGAACATCTTATTAGAGAAGAGGATAAACAAACAAAGTTTGAAAGGTAATTATAATTTCTATTATATAATAGATATATTATAGATAGTAAATTTGATAATGAAAAATAATAAGTCAAAGACGAAGTCAAATAAACAGTATTAGAAATTAGAAGATTGAATTAATCAAAAATATTCTAAAGCAATATTTAATAATCAAGAATTGTTTAAAATAATGAACATCAAGAATGAATTTCATGAAATAAAATTTGATCGTTTTTAATGAATATTATCATTAGTCTATGAATATATCACCATTTCCAAATGATTATTAAATTGCTCCTTAAACAAAAAGGAATTCAATAGGTTTACTTCTCATACATTTATTAGTAACTGTATAAGCAGTTGTTCCATTTTCTTAAATTAAACTCAAAGATCCTCCTTCTGGTATATGAATTGATAAAACTTCAAATGGGAATCCAAAAAATGTAACATTTTATCCTGGACATGATTTTGCATGTTCACCTTTAAAATTGCATTCACTAAAAACATAAATACAACCATCTTAAAATGTATTAACTTTTTCATTGCTGTATACTTTTTTTTATGGTTTATTAGTCTCAAGAAGATTATAATCTGGTTTTTCTGTAGCTCTAACTGCATTTTAATTTGGTTAATCAATAATAAACATTGATTCCACAAATTTAATTGTATGTTCACTTGTTTCAGAAGGACTCAATTTAAGAGCTTCTTCATAATTCAAGAGAGATGATAATTATTCTTTTATTGAGTCATCTGAACTTCTTCCTAAAAATGTTGGTAATCCTTTTTTTTTTATTGTATATATTTCTGTTGATAAATCCTTCTATTATTTCACATGCTTTTATTTTTCAAGAAAACTCTCTTAAGCTATCACAATCGCCAATAGCAGCGCTAATATGTATAATTTTTACATATTAATAAAAACGGATTTATAATATATATAAAATAAATCTCTTCTTGAAAAATATGTATACAATGAATGTATACCCTTTGATATTATTATCTTTAGGAAAAAAAAAAATATATATATAAAAATAAAGGATGCCAAAAATTTGATTTAGGCATAAAATAATTTTCCAAAAATTGTATTCTAAATGTATAGATGATGAAAATAAGAAATTAATTTTATCTACTATCATGTCTGCTCGGACTCAATATAATGAAGATATTTAGAAACAATTAATTGAAGTAGTAGAAACATATGGAGGAAAAAACTGTAAAAGTTGGACTTAAGTTGCTCGTATTTTTGAATTAACAACTGGAATAAAAGTGTAAAATACTTTTGATTTAAAAAAAAAGTTATTAAATTTAACTATTTTAGATGGGAAATGTTTACTAATTATAAAGAAGAGTTATCCTAAGATGAACTAAAAGCTTTATATGCAACAGGAGTAAGATGTAGAGGACGACATAAAGCTGGAAATGAAGAATTCTTTAAATTGACAGGAAAAAAGTATACTTATCTATAAATTTATTTTTTAGATTGTATGTCAATCAATATAGCAAATTGGTTGGTAATTTCTTATTATAAGCAATTAAACTATTATGCTAATCTTTTTTTAATCAAATTAAAGTTAAATATAGATAATTAGGATAAGAAAGATTTCATAGCAGAATAAGTTATGTCTCTATACATATTCTATTAAGAGCTGTAGAAATTACTAAACATCTAGATGATTATTTAGTTTAAGAGTTGAAACGATCAGCTGAAAAGTTTGAATAATTATTATTAATACAGGCAGAACATCATGAAGATGAAAGAATTGATAGATTTTAACATTATAGAAAAGTTATTAATAGAAGAGAATTTAAAAAAATTGCATTTTTTCTTGATTATGTTAATGAATTAAAATAAATTAGCATAAATTTGTATTAAGAATAAATTGGTAGACATCCATTATTATCTCCTTAAATTGATAAAAATAAATCATCAAAAATCTATTAATTATTAATTTGGGAAAATGATTGGTAATCAAAATATAACTTATTCTAAGAATGTGCAGCCAAATCTGATTGGGAAGAATATTCAATGTTAATTAAGAAAACAAAAAAAAATGAAGAAAAAAAACAAGTGAAAAAAAAATCAAATTAACTTTAACAATAAGAATAATAAAAAATGTAATCTGAAGAGATTATTAATACAGAAACAATTGAATCTGAAACTAATAAATTAAAATTAAATTCTTATGATTTAATATCAACAGCTACACATAAAGTTTGTAATAATGCTTCTAAATAATAAATAAAATAATTGGATAAATAGGAATTAAAATCATTTAGAGGTCACTATTATAGAGAAGGTTAAATTAGAACAAAAGGATTAACAACAATCTTATTTGATACAGATATGAGATCAGATGAAGAGGAAGTGGATTAATATTAAAATATTGAAGAGAACAGAAAAGAATTTTTTGATAAAATGGAAGAATTATATGATTATGTTTTTGGAGGAAAAGCTAGTTTAGTCTCGTTTGAAAAAAATTAACCAATTCCCAATTGAATTTCAGCCATTTTCAAAATTTTTATCATTTTTATTTTAATACAAAATAATATTCATCATTAAGATTTTGATATGGAAATAAAATATCTAAAATTTATGTAATATCTTTTGAAATAACATTTCAACTATATATTATAAGTTATTTTCAACAAATTAATCAAAATTAGTATATAAAAAGTAAAAAGATCTTTAGTTAAAGATAATGGTAATTTTTGAATAAAGCTATATGATTTAATTAAATGATTTTATATGTTAAATTGTATTTATAAGATATAAACTAAATTATTGAGATATATTGAAGAAACTTATTTTTTGGAAAATAGTAAATTCTTCATTTAAGTTAAAAGTTATATGAGATTATATAATGTGTAATGTAATTTATTAAAAAATGATATTGAATTAAATAAAAATCATACGTCATTATTAATAATTCATCATATATATATGCCACATAAATTTATATCATAAGATATATTAAAAATATTGAAAGACAATGGCTGATTAACTTAAACAAAGACCTGAAGGAGGAAAATTCTATGGATTCGATCATATTCATTTTTGGGTTGGAAATGCTCTTTAAGCAGCATCTTTTTATGTGACACGCTTTGGATTTCAATATTATGCTTATAGGTATTTCAATATGTATAATTTAATAGAGGACTTGAAACAGGAGTAAGAGATGTAGTAACACATGTTCTAAGAAATGGAGAAGGAGTCTTCTTTGCTTTTTCCAGTCCATATGGTCCATAAAATGAAATAATGAATACACATTAATCTAAACATGGGGATGGTGTTAGAGATGTAGCATTTAGAGTAGAAGATACTAGAGCTCTTTATGATAAAGCAATGGCTAAAGGAGCGAAATCAATTAGACCACCTACAGAAGATAAAGATGAACATGGAAGTGTTATATTAGCTTCCATTTAGACATATGGTGATACTATTCATACTTTTGTCTAAAGAAATGATTATAAGGGTTTCTTTTTACCTGGATTTACAAGACATCCTAAAATCGATCCTATTAATACACTTTTACCACCTGTTGAGTTTTTATTAGTAGATCATGTTGTTGGTAATCAACCTGAACATGAAATGGTTCCTGTTGCTGAATGGTATGAAAAAACTTTAGATTTCCACAGATTTTGGTCAGTTGATGATTCTATTCTTCACACTGATTATTCATCACTTTAATCTATTGTTGTTTCAGATTTTGATGAAGTCATCAAAATGCCTATTAATGAACCTGCTCATGGCAAAAAAGTATCTTAAATTTAAGAATATGTTGATTATTACAGTGGACCTGGAGTAATTATATTTTTTATTTTAGGTTTAACATATTGCATTAAAAACAGATAACATTTTAAAAGAAGTTGAAGCTATGAGAGCTAGAGGACTTGATTTTCTATCTATTCCTGATACTTATTATGATAATTTAAGAAAAAACATTCCTCATATGAATTTCAAGATTTCTGAAGATATTGATCTCATTTAAAAGAATAAGATTTTAGTTGATTATGATGATAAAGGTATTATACTTTTTTATTATTTTTAGGATATCTTTTATAAATATTTACTAAACCATTAGAAGATAGACCAACATTATTTATAGAAATCATTTAAAGAAGAAATCATTCAGGTTTTGGTGCTGGTAATTTCAAATCTCTCTTCTAATCAATTGAATTAGAATAATCCATTAGAGGAAATTTAACAGATAACCCTAAATACAAAGCTCCATATTGAAAATTTACACAATATTATATGTAAATTTATGTAAATATATTTATATATATATTTCAATAAATTAATAAATTGATCCGCAATACTATATCAATTTATATCTGACAACTCCTACAGCATTCTCACTATCATCTATATATTAAGTTAATTTTAAATTGAAGTTTTCTTAACAAAAGGAGAAACACGAAATCCTAAAAATTGATAAATTCTTTGCTTATGTTTATTGTATTTCAATCTTTTATTCTTTAATAGAGATGCTGTACAATTTTATTCAACGAAAGGTTATTCTTTTATACATTATTATTAGCATCTTAATTAATAGACCTTTGATCTATATTACCACATAAAACATTATCATCTTTTTTAGGCTGTTATTCAGATCTTTATTAAATTATTATTTATTCTTAAAATTCTTCAGCAGGCTTTTTTAGCAGAACAATAGTTATCGGCTCATTTTTTTATTATTTATCTTTCTTTAAAAAAGAATTATCAACTAATCTCTCTCTATTATCATTTTTTATGATTCAATTTATTTTACTCATTTTAAGATGTTCAATTAGATTAAAATTATTATTATTTTTTCAAATTTGTTTAATTTTAATTGAGGTTGGATTAGTTAGTATTTTCATGAGAACTTATTTAACTTTGAATCATTCTTATTGGAATATTCATTAAATCTGATTAATTTTATGTCTAATTATTTTATGTTATCTAAGGTGGAATTCTAGTCTTCCTATTTTAAATTATATGCTTTATTTGGCATCTCTTCAGAACCTATCTTAATACTTTATTTGAATTTATTTAAGTAATAATTATATTTTAAATCAACAATTATAATTAATGATTGATATTGAAATAATCAAGTTATTGATTTATCTTAAATTAATTATTATTGATAAATTAGTGTATAAATATATAATATTTTATTAATTTTCCTTTTGAATTTCTTAGTAAGAAATAAAATGTACTTGTCGTGTTTTCCTTGCTATTTGAATTTTAAATCGGAAATTAATAATTTAATATTCAAAAGACATAGAAAAATAAAATCAATAAATTTGAATATAAATTCTTTAATAAATAAATATACAAAAAAATATGACAGAATCAGATTTCTCGCAATTTCTGTTTGAATAACATGATCCAAAGAAATTCTATAAATATGAGGAAATTAAAAATCATAAAGGATTTAGGCTTCCAAATGAAAAGGAAAGTACAATTTATTTATAGGATGATGACGGAGGGTAAATAAAATGTTTGAATTTAGTTGGTGTGATTTAAATGGTTGCTATTATAATTCTGAAGGTTAACCAAGTGGTTGGATTGTATTATCAAAGGATGGGAAAAAATATATGAAATTTAATATGAATACTTGTTTGATTTAAGAGAATTAGAATATTTATTATTCTAATAATTCATATGATGCAGCAATTTCTGAATAATATTTAAAGCAATATAGAAAAAATTAAGAATAACAATAACAATAATAAAAAAATTAAAAAGAATTTAGAAAATAATAAAATCGTAACTAAGATCCAAATAAGAAATAACAGAACAAAAATGACGAATAACAAGTTTTAGATTGTGAAAAAGTTAAATCCGTAAAAGAAAAAGCAAAAGGTTAAGCTTAGATTTATAATGAAGAAAAAATAAATTAAAAAGACAATCCAAAGAAGGATTAAACAGATAAACAACAAAACTAAAGGAATATGAAAAAAAATAATAAAAAAAATAAATAAAAGAAGGATGAGAATTAAAACAACTCTGAATTAAATAAATATTACATATTGAATATTAATGAAAATGCTTTGAGCAAAGATTAGTTTATAAAATATTTAATTGAAGAGTACAAAATTAAAGAAAAGGATATATTAGAATACAATGAAGAAAATATAAAGCTAGCTTAAGAAAAAGATGCTATAACATTATATAGAATTAATCAAAAAGAACAAGTTAATAAAGTTTAAAAATTTATTGTCTCCACATGAAATTATAAATCTATAATCAAAAATTAATTTTTTACATTTATTTATTCGGACATATATATTAACAAAGATTTCTTCTGATTTATTATTTTATTTTTTGGCTTCAGTTAATAAACTCTTCATCATTAATAAATGAACTATTAGATGCAGTTTTTTTATAACTGGAGTGATATTTTAAAAGGAACCTTATTTGTAAAGTATAGAAATGAAAATTAATAAAGATTGTTTATGTATTAGGTAGTGATGTTTGATATGAATATTTATAAAAATGAAAAATAAATTGGCCTCAAAGATATTCTTGTATTTAAAATACTAAGTTAATAAGATTTGAGTTATAAATAACTAAAAGAGAATCAACATTTATGTATACCTGAAACTATTGGTTTATTGAGGAGATTATTCATTTTTGATAATTTAGAAAGAGTATTGTGAAATGCTGCAGTTAAATAAGAATTGTAGAGTAGACTAAGATTTGTGTTATAAAATAAAATGATTAAAATATATTGATCTGCTTAATTCTTATATTATAAAAATAATGAAATAGTCAAAACAACCTTAAAACTAAGTTCATGATGATTAATTTTCAGGATCCAATACTCCTAATGTTCATGGATTATTCTTACCATAAACGATGACTATGGGTGTAATATAATTAATAAAATGAAAGCAAATGTCTGAAGACAGAAAAGGAGAAGATCAACGATTGAAATTAATAAGAGCTTCTACTGACCCTTATGAAGCATTTAAGGATGATGATTTTTTATATCCAACAAAAGAAGATGAAATGAATCTTTGGCAAAAATATTCTGGAGATTATATATAAGGAATGCCTGTATTACCAACAGGAAAATGTAGTTTATTTTGTAACATTGTCTGCTGTTTTTACTTTCTAATATTTGGTTTAGTTTTTGTTGGAATAGCTGGCAGTATTACAGAAGTAAGAAGTGAATGTATATTTATATAGATTAGATTAAATTATGGAAAAGAATGTGAAGGTAAACAATAGTGTATTGTTCAGTTCTTTATTGAAAAAAATACTTATGGACCCTTTTTTTTATATTATGAATTAAATGAGTTTTACACTAGTCATTCTGAGTAAAATTAGAAATTGAATAAATTTAGTTTTGCATAGTCAATTAGTCCAAAATAAATGAAGGGTCAAGAATTAACAGATGAAGAATATGATGTTTATTGTCCTGATACATAATCATTTGAATCTCTTTAAAGACCTTTAGAATTTAATAGAAGTTATGCTGGTTTTATGGTAGATTTAAATAAAAAAGTTAATCCTTGTGGCATAGCTTCTAAATATATTTTTAATGGTATTTATATTATTTGATATTTAGATTCCTTTTTACTCTTTGAAGTTAAGGGTAATGAGGCTACATCTTTAGCTCTCAATTCAACAGCAATAGCATTTTCGGTTGATTTAGAATACAAATATTCAAGAACCTAAAATTCATAATTTAGATAATGGTTAGATCTAGATGATGGTAATCATATTCTTATTTAAAATATAGAAAAAATAATAAATTGGTTTAATATTCAATCATTACCTTTAGTGAGAAAATTATACGCGAGATATGATAATGATTTATCAGCTGGAAATTATAGTGTTGTTATTTAAAATAGTAATTTCTTGAATAATCTCCTTTAGATTATCCAACCTAGATTTTTGGGGGAGAAAAGTATCTTATAGTTACTACACTATCTTCTTTCGGTAGTAAGAATTTTTCTTTTGGATATTTACTTATTGCTACTGCAGGGGTCTAATTCTTAAGTGCTCTCATTATTTATATTAAACATAGAATTGTAGAAAAAAGAGAAAAACATGAATAAAAAATACATGCTGATTTAAAACTTAAAGAAAAATCCGATTGATAGTTTTTAGAAATATAAAAGTTATTATTAAAAATAAATCATTTTTATTTAATTCATTTTTCTATATAACATATCTCTATATAAAAGAAATTAATTAATCTATCAATAAAATCTTCTATATATTTATCTTAATGAGTTATATATATATAATTTAATTTTGAGAAATGATTAAAACAAGAAAATCAATGAGGACAATGGAATAATAAACAAATGAGTTTAATGAATTTTTCATCGATTTACAACCTAAAAAATATAGCTCACAGAGATAAAATAGAAAGTCTCAAAAATCTTAAAATATACATTTCCCTAAAATTGATTATTCCCTCAGCAAAGATCCCTTTCTGAATACTTTAAAAGTTACAACATTAGACCTTGTACAAAATTTTGATTATATGGATCCTAATGATGTTACTTTTCAACTCAATTAGATGGTTTAATAAAAGTGCTTCATTCAATAAACAAAACCTTGCTATCGAATACATTAAAGATCATTGCCTAAACAGAGAAATACTAATAAATAACTATTTGATCTTTCTAAAACAACTAGAGTTAATTGATTTATATTCTTATATTGTAAAACATGATTCTATATTTAACTCACTATTTTACAGTATTTATTTTTTTATAGATTCAATCAGCCTTTAATAAACTTTTTTCAATTCCAAATTCTGTCTTACTTTAAAATGACCCTTTTGTTAAAAAAAGAGTATAGAATAAAATCCAGTAAATTTATGTACTTTTAATAAAATGGTTAAGGGACCTTAAAAAATAAAAAAAAAATTTAGTAAAGTAAAAATAAAAAAATCAACCACTTAACGAATGGGATAGTTGCCTTCATAATAACACTGGTATATTTATATCATTTAAATTCCCTTTAATTTACATATAGTTAGAATAGTCTTTTAATAAAATTTTTTAAATATTTACTTGATATCATAGAGATTCGATTGCATTCTATAAGCTATGTTATTTAGTTTATTTAATAATGATAGTAGATTTTTTGATAAAAGAAAATGAGCATAATTTTATTATTCCTCAATTAAATAGTTTGAGTTAATTATCAATCTTTTAAAAGAATATAAAAGAGCAAGCTTGACAAAAATAAAGATTTAAGAATTCAAATTATTTTCTAGATACCTTTAATTAATTTAAAACTTCTTTTTTTATTTTTAAATTATTATTCAAAATTCTCATAATTTCAATGACAAAAATTTATTTCCTTTTTTAAGCATTTTTAATAAGTCTATGACTAGAATGATTATTAATATGTAAATAAAGTTCTTTTTTCCTTTAAATCTGCTATTTTTCTAATCACATCTATTACTTGTTTTTGAATTTAGATAAAAAGAAAAAAATTCTATAGTTTTCCAAAATATAGAAATTAATACATAAATTTAAAAAATTGTAAAAATCTATTTTTAAATATAGAAGTACAAGTAAAATGAAATTGATAAGTTTAATATTTAAATGAAGAAATATTTATTATTAATAAATCCATATAAAATGAAAAAGAATAGAAAATCAAAATATTACTAATTTGATATAAGAATTACCCTAAAAGGTTTTCTAAATTTCAAGAATCAATATTAATCATAGAAAAGCAAAATTATTGATAAAAACGTTTTCTCAGAGAAGAAACCAATGAACTCAAATAAGAAAGCTTCAAAGAAGGATGAAAAACACATTAAAAAATAACCTGAATATGTTGAAAATAACAATAAAATTTGTGTGCCTGAGTATGAAATTAAACTGTTAACCACTCTAAATCAGCTAGAAACCCTTTTTGATAAATTTGAAAAAGAAGAAACATCTCTAATTTCAACAAAGGAAGAGGAAAAAAACTTAAAATAAACCACAAAAATTAAAGAAAATAAATTTAAAAAAGAATAAATATGAAAATTATTAGTTTGTAAATTTGATTATTTTAAATCCATTTTAACACTTGTTAGCAGGATTGCATTTTACGCTATTTAGCGCTAAAAATTATAAATAAGGATTTTGAATAAACCCATTTTAATTTGTCTAATTAATTAATTCTAATTTTTATTTAATTAGTTAATTGATATTAAGCAGTTAAGTATTTAAATATTCTAAAATATTTATTAAGAATCATTATAATTAGTTAATATATTTTCAATAAACAATCTTTATAATTCATATGATTGAGAATAATTTTCAAATTTAAATTATAAATTTATTTTACATAACAAAATTTCGTAGATATAAATTTTTTTTCTTATATAAATAGACATAAAAAGGAAATTAAAAAATTATATTAAAATACTATTGGAATGATATTCGATTGATTTGATAAAAGTCAATAATTTATTAGAATAATTAAATTGAATGTTTTCTCCGCCAAAAGTTCATCCCTTTGAAGAAAATTATATACAAAAAGTGCAAATTGATATTGAACGCAGTCCATTATTGTAATATGAATTGCCTTCAGATCTTTAATTATTGTATGTTATTCTGATATGATATTTAGTAAATCTTAAAGTTAATTATGCGATGATGATTAACAATCTCCTTTTTAAGCTGCTAGGAATCTACCTCTTTAAAGATTTAATTCAGAAGTTTTTCATGATTTTTAAGGATGTCAATAGTAAATAATAGGAGATAATAATAAATTTTTAAAATCAAGAAAATTTAGAGCTGACTTATCGAAATTTACAGGAGATTTTGAAGTTCTACATTAAATAGGAAGAGGTTCAAAAGGAGTGGTTTATAAAGTATTATCAAAAGTTGATGGATTGTATTATGCAGCAAAGAAGGTGCCTAAGGAAGATAATATTTAAACTTTAACATTAGATGGATAAGTTCAATTTAATTGCTGTTATTAACATTAAGGATTTTTGTATATAATAATGGAACACTGTGAGTATTCATTAAAGTAAAGACTTATGTATAGAGTTTATGAATCAGAAATTCGATAGATAATAGTTGATGTTTGTGAAGCTTTGTAGAACTTCCCTTAACCACATTTACACATACATGGTGGAAATGTATTGCTAAGCAAATAAATGAAGTATAAATTAAGTGATTATGGATATTCAAATCATACAATTCATTCTGCTCCTGAAAAAATAAAGAGCAAATTATCAGATATTTATTAATTAGGTTTTTTGTTGATGGAATTAATGCTTGAAAAAGAGTTAAGTTAGATAAATTCTTTGGTTTTACAAAAGTTCGATAATTTATCATATTATTCAGTATCGTTAAAATAATAAATCAAAAAAATGGTATCAGTAATTCCAGATTAAAGACCTGATATTTAATAATTAATTAATTTTGCAAAAGTGAATTTAGATTAAGAGCTAACCTTACTTTAAGAGTAGAACGCTGAATTGCAAAAATAGATAGACGAAGTATAACCGAAAACCAGAAGAAGGATTTAAAGCGAATGATTTTAATTAATATTTAATCTATATTCATAGTTTTTAAAATATTAAGTTAAATGTTTAAATCTGATAGATAGAAGTACAATAAGGAAAGAATATTTGATATAGATGTAACAGGAAATGCAGAAAAGGAATTGTTTCCAACAAATTTCATTAAGACTTCAAAGTATAATATTGTAACATTCTTGCCTTTGTCTTTGCTGGGTTAATTTAGGAGATATGCAAATATTTATTTTTTGTTTATTGCCATAATTCAAAGTTTTCCAATTATATCACCATTAAATCCAATATCAGCAATAGCTCCATTAGTATTTGTATTAGGATTATCAATGATAAGAGAAGGTAATTAATGAATTTGATAAAAAGCTATGGAGGATATAAGTAGACATAAATCTGATAATGAAGTAAATGCAATGGAGTGTACAAAAATAGTGAATAATAAAAAAGTGAAAACAACTTGGGCAGATGTGAAAGTCGGTGATTTATTATTTATCTCTGAAAATGAGATGTTTCCAGCAGATCTAATAGTGTTAAGCAGTTAATTTGAGAGTGGTGCTTGTTATATTGAAACATCATCATTAGATGGTGAAAAGAACCTCAAACCAAAATCATCAATAAAAGAGACCTAAACATTATTTTAGTATAAGGAGAAGGATAAGAAGTTTTAAATGAATTTGAACAACAATTAATAACTAAAAGCTTAAGGTAATCCTCCAACATCTGTACTAGGAGATTTTGAAGGTTCAATTCATTTTCCAAATGGATAAAAAAAGTATAGTGTCTATAATTATCAAGAGTTTTGAATGGTAAATAATTGCTATTGAGAGGAGCGTTTTTAAGGAACACTAAATTTATTATAGGTGTAATAACATATACAGGTGAAGACACTAAAATAATGAGAAATGCAGAACCCTCCAGAATAAAATAGAGTACTATAGAAAATACTATGAATAAATTGATATTGGGAATATTAGGTGTATAAATCATAGCATGTGCTTTATCAGCGATATTGTCTTCATGGTGGTTAAATAAATCATTCAGCAAACATTTATATATAATTATAAGAGAAAATAATTATACTTTGTTATCAACAATATCCTTCTTTTCATTCTTTTTACTTTACAATACTATGATACCAATATCCTTAGTAGTTTCAATGGAATTTGTTAAAGTTTTTCAATGTTATTTTATAAATAAGGATTAAGATATGTATACATAGAAAAGAGACAAATTTGCTAAGGCTTAAACATCAACAATTAATGAAGAATTAGGTTAAGTTGAATATGTTTTCTCTGATAAAACAGGAACATTAACATGCAATTAAATGGAATTTAAATATTGTATAATTGGAGACATTTTGTATGGAAAAAATGAAAAAACTAACAATTAAACTTCTACAAATAATGTACAGCATGATCCTACATAATTTAAACATTCAGTATTCAATTTTCAAGATTAGATTTTAACTGGAATAATTGAAGGCAATGCCGATTGTTAAAGATAATCTGATTAATAAAGACAACTAATTATTTAATCAAATGATAAAAATGCAAGTCTAGAAATTAAAACATAAAAATAGTTAATTCATGAATACCTAATGTTACTTAGTAGTGCTCATGAATGTATAGCATAGAAAGATTAAAATTCTTAAATTACATATTAAGGACCTTCTCCAGATGAAATTACTTTAGTTGATGCTGCTATGAATTTAGGTTATAGATTTGAAGGATAATCTGCAAATGAATAGGAAGTAAGGATATAAAATAAATATATAGTTTACAATCTTAGGAAAATAAAAAAGAGTTGAACTTTTATAATAATTTGAATTTGATTCTAATAGAAAAAGAATGAGTGTAATAATAAAAGATAATGGAGTTTATAAATTGTATATAAAAGGAGCAGATAGTATTATTAAAGCTAGATTAAGACAAGATTAACCATTTTTAGGATTTATTTAAAATAAATTGTAAGAATTTAGCACTATTGGACTGAGAACTTTATTGATGGCAATGAAAATATTATCAGAATAAGAGTATTAAGCATTTGAGAGACAAAAAGAAGCTTTGGCTTCATCTGATAAAAGAGAATAGGAGAAAGAAGAGTTAGCAAATAACTTAGAAAAAGATTTATATTTATTAGGAGCAACAGCAGTAGAAGATAAATTATAGGATGAAGTTCCTGAAACGATTGCAGATTTATTAAAAGCAAATATTAAAGTTTGGATGCTTACAGGAGATAAATTGGAGACTGCTGAAAATATTGCTAAAAGTTGTAGGTTAATATAAAGTGATTTTATGATAATGAAATATTCAGAAACAGACCTTAATAAATTAAGAGTTTAATTATCAGAGAATAAAATAACATATTAAGGTTGTATAAAGGAAAAGAAAAAGAAATCAATTTTAGTTGAAGGTGAATCCTTACTTGTTTTGACTGGGAATTAATAATTAAAGAGAGAATTTACTAAAATGGCTATGGGTTGTGATAGTGTTGTATGTTGTAGAGTCACTCCTAAATAAAAAGCAGAAGTAGTTCATTTAGTTAAAGAGTTGAATAAAATTACATTAGCTATAGGCGATGGTGCTAATGATGTAAATATGATATAAGAAGCACATATTGGAATTGGTTTATATGGTAATGAAGGTATGAGAGCTGTTTAAAGTAGTGATTATGCTTTAGGAGAATTTAGATTTTTATGGAAACTTTTATTAATTCATGGGAATTGGTCATATATTAGAATTTCAGAAATGATTCTCTACTTTTTCTATAAGAATATGATATTCACTGTACCTTAATTTTTATATTCTTTTTACAGTGCTTATAGTGGTTAAACTTATTTTGATGATTGGTATATTACATTTTATAATCTCTTTTTTACTTCTCTTCCATTAATTGCCAGAGCAACCTTGGATAGAAGTGTTTATTATAAAATTAATATAAGAAATGAAGAATATTCAGATATCTATAAAAAATCAACTCAATATCTCAAAAGCAAATTTCCATATCTTTATTTAGTTGGTTAAAAATAAACCATCTTTACATTATCAAATTTTATATTTTGGTGGGGTTAAGGATTTGTTCATGGTTTATTAGTTTTCTTTATTACATATGCATGTTTTGATACAGAATTAGTTAATTAAAATGGATAAAATGCTGGTTTTGCCACCCTCTCTATCACAACTTATACTGCTATTATATTTGTATCTTATTTCATTTATTTATTAGATTGTTGATATTAAAATTGCTATCTATACTAAATTTTGGACTTGTATAAATATAGTCACACTTTTATTTTTATCCATTGGAATTTATATTGCTTACTTCTTTATCTCTAACTTTTTTAGAGGTACTTACTCAGAATTTACTCCTATTTATTTAATTTAATCTCCCAATTTTTATCTAATTGTTACCTTACTTAATTCTGTCGTATTTATATTTGATTTGGTTATTAATGCCATATTACATGAATTTTATTCAACTGATACCGATAAAATTATTTAATGGAGAAAAGAATTTAAAGAAATAGCAAGAGAAGGTAATGTCTTGTAAAAAATTGAAATGTTATAATAAGGCAAAAGAGAAAATGGATAGCGAGATTGGGGGGATACATTTTATGAATAAATTTTAGAAGAAAGATTAAAATCAGAAAGAGACTAAAATATTTTCGATGAACAATAAGCTATCTTAGATTCTAAAGCTAAAATAAATGCAACCTCACCAGTTAATTTAGATAATAGTGAATAATAGAGTAATAGACAATTTCATCAAAGAACTGAATTATAGCAAATTCCTCATCCTCTCTAAAATAATAATTCTAAAACTGTCAATTATCAAATGACTTAGTAATAATAATAAAATTTTAATAATGTAAATGAAGATAGTAAAATAAACCATCCATAATAAAAACGAATCTATGTAAGATGATATTAAATGAATTTTTTATTAGATATCTTCATACCATCACTATATATATTAAATTGTTATTCTTCATTTAATTATTATTATCAATTCTATTTATATTGAGAAGATAATTTAAAGTCATAATTAATCATCTTATACTCAATAAAAATATAAATATCTTTCTCTATCTGTTATCTGTGTAAATATAAAATTACAACTATTTTTTCTAAATAGTTTTTAAAATTTTTAAATTTTCTAAATTATATAATTAATCATATTTTGATTTTTTGAGATTATTTTTGATAATGATTAATTTAATCAGGATTACTCTCTTATTTTGGCTTGTATAAGCATAATATAAATTAATACTTTAAGGACCAAACTCAAAAAAGATGAACTGTAAAGCTATTGACAAAGGTTTAACTATTATTATTACTACTAGATTTAAATGGCTTTACAGGATAACAATATTTTTATGAAAAACTCTCCAATTATGGTTAATATACTAACTTAGATAAAGTTACTTTTCGACTTTGGTTTATGGTCTATTCTAAAATGAGAATGCCAGGAAAATAAATTTTATTTGCATTTTTAGATGGTTATGATAGTGATTCTGTAAGGAAATTCATATATTTTAGTATATAAACCTGTTGGTATACTATAAGTTGGAATAATCAAAATATTAATTATATGTGTTAAATGAGAAAATGAATCCAGAGTTGATGAACTTATAGATAGAGGAGTAAATATAATTACTATTTTAGAGAAAACAATTTTTTTATTGGGTATTGGAATTTTCTTTTAATCTCTATTGATTAAACTAGTGGAGACACATTTTTAAATTTGAAATTATTTAGTACATACAATTATTAACTGCTTCAAGTGTAGGATGCTTTGCCATCATAGAAGTAAAAAAATACACATAAATTATAGATTAAGATTTAAATTTGGTACTCACTCTCGAATTACAAATGAATAATTATTTGAAAAGATTGATGATTATAAAGGATGTGTGTATATCGCAAATTTTGAATATCTAAATGGATGGGCTACAATGGACAGATAAATATATTTTTAAGATCAAATAGATTTAAAGTACTCTTTGAAACCCTATTAAAACATAGGATTAAATGTCGACTAATAATTTTAAAAAGTAAAATTAAGAAGTGAAAAGAACATAGAATATAGTGGAAATATAGGTCTAAATATATATAGGGATAGTAGAATTCTTTATGATTTTGATGAAAAGACAGATTTAACTATTATATTTTGGATGAAACCTTAGTCAATTATCTCTATTTTTTAAATAATTTCATTTACTGATGAATATGTAAAATAGATAAGTTTAGGATTTGGTATTAATTAAGATTATCAATTATTGATGTTTTAGAATAAAAATTAAATTTAAACAGGCATTTTAAATCCTAATTAATGGTAACATATTACAGTAGAAATGTTAGAAATATCAAGAGATTAGTATTTTAAGGTAACAAATGCTGTGAAAATGGTGAATATATATATTGATGCTTAATAAGTATATTTGTAGTAAATTTAAGGTTTTAAATAATTTAAAAGATTATTAATAGGTTCTTTAAAATTATAAAATAAAGGTTAAGAGGTTATTGATATTTAAGATATTAAGATTTTTAATGGATATGGAATCTAAGAATCAAAAGGAGATTGTCAATTATTTGTTGGACTTTATTGTGCATATTGCAAAGCTTTAACACATTATTGTAAAGAATAGGATCCATTAGATGATGTAAATGTTTATGATTGTCCAGCAGGATATAAATTAGAAAATGGAATTTGTAAACCAAATACAATAGCTAATTGTTTAAGATAAAAAGGAGGAGCTTGTATTGAATGTGAATAAAATACTATTCTTTATTAAGGAATATGTTAAACATAAATTAATTAAAATAGAGTAACACTTTATCCCTGTACTGGAACAGGAGTAGTTTTATGTTAGATTACGAATGTGATAAAAAAATCAGAAAAAACATTATTATAAAAAGCTAAATTATGTAGTTCTAATTTATACAATAGTAAATATGAATGTGCAGGTAATTAAGTATAAGGATGCAAATATTCATAATATTAAGGATTTTGTTAATAGTGTAAAGAATCATATTATATGACAGAATTAAAAACTTGTGTATAAACATGTTTCAAAAATAAAATTGATAGATTTGCATATATAAATAAATGTGTTAAAGAATGTCCATATAAATATACTTTTACTCATCCATGTCCAACATATGGAGGATAAGAACCTATATTGGGATGTTCTCTTACTCCTAATTGTTAATTAGATGAAATAGATCTTGGATATACTTGTCTATCTGGCAGTTAAAAAGAGATAGGTAAATCAGTAGGTTGCAGACCAATATTAGTTGAATCCTATGCTCCTAATTAAGAATTAAGATGCCATCATTCATGTAAATATTGTTTTGGAACAACTGATAGACAATGTTTAGGCTGTTATGAAGAAATATATTTTACTCCTTATCTTGGAATGTGTTTGTTAAATTGTTCAGATGAAAAAGAAAATTTATTTATTTACCATAATTAATATATTTGGAAATGTGAACTCAAATGTCCATCTAATTTATTAACCCAAGATGACTAATGTGTAGAATAATGCATTAATGGATATTAAGCTCTTGATGGTATATGTATAAGTGTTAGTACAATACATGAATATTATTTATCAACTGAAATTATTGAAATAAATGGAATTACTTCTTATAAATATACATATAAATACTGTCCTGTATTATGCAAGACTTGTGAGAATGATTCAAAATGCAATAGTTGTATTAACAAATATCCTTTTGAAAATGATATTTGTAAATTCACTTGTTTTCCAAGATATTTGCTAATAGCAAATCCTCTTAATTCATGTAAAGATTAATGTGACCCAGGAGAACTTATCTTTTGGAATGATAATTTATTTGGATATTAAATTGCATAATGTTTTTAGAAGAAATGTGGTGAAATAGAAGCTGATTAGATCTATTAATCTTTCCTACATTAAAATGATTAAACAAGATGTGTGTATCCATGTGATGATGGATATTATGGTAATAGAGAATTTCTTGAATGTAAACCATGTTATTCTTCTTGTGCAACTTGTTTAGATTAATCTTAAATTTGTACTTCTTGCATTACTATGTTATTTTTAAAAGGATCAACTTGCTTAACAACTTGTGGCAAAAACTTTAAAAACTTTATGAATTGGATATGTGAATCAGAATGTTCTTCAGGATACACAATAAAAGATAATATAAACAATATATATGTTTGTGTTGAGGAATGTGGATAGTTATATGCAACTTATTTATACAAATGGAATTAATAATGTTATGAAAATATTCCTAACATAAATGTCTTTTGCTTAAATTATGAATGTGAAGATTGTCATTCTTCATGTTAATAATGTTAAGGACCTACTAGTAATGATTGTCTAGTTTGTAATTAAGATTCTTATTTACTTAATAATCAGTGTGTAATTGATTGTTAAATGTTTAAATATGATTAGAAAAATTGGAAATGTGTTGAAGAATGTCCAATAGAATCCTTATAATCTTCTGGCATTTCATTATTATTAAATAAATCAATAATTGTTTGTGGATTAACTTGTAAATTTGAAACATTTTAATTTAGAAATTAATGTTATGATCAATAACCTGATGAAACATTTTGTATATTTAGAACAGATTATTATTTTTGTGAGTTATGCTCTTCACTTTGTACTAAATGTTCCTCCACTTCATCAACAGATTGTTAAGAATGTATTCCTACAGCATTTTAATATGGTACTAGTTGTTTTATGGAATGTCCAGAAGAGGCACCACTAAAAAATACAGAAAATAAATAATGTGTTTAATCATGTTCAACAGCATTTTCAGAAGATGGTTATTGTGTTGAATAATGTTAAAGTATTTCATTCATTTAAATAACCTAAAACGCCTGTTACACTGATGGATGTCCAATTAGTACATTTAATTAAGCAGGTTCAAAAATTTGTTAAGATTGTTATTTTGGATGTGCTACTTGTTTTGGAAGTAGTTAGAATGAATGTTTAAGCTGTATTCCAGGATTCTTTCTAGATTAATAAAATTCATGTAGTGATTCTTGCCATATAGAACCAAATGTAATTGAAGATTGGATCAATGGAAGATGTGTTTAATTTTGTCCTCTAGATTCTTTTTTATAATTATTAAACAATGGTCACTTTGCTTGTAAAGAAACTTGTCCAGAATATTATTATTCTAATATTTGTGTTTCACATTGTCCATCTTAGACTTATTAAAATGGATATGCTTGTATTAGCTGTGCTGCCCCTTGTTCAATTTGTTTTGGAAATACTATTAACTAATGCAATTAATGTGATACTGGATATTATCTATACTAAACAACTTGTTATTCTGTATGTCCAGATGAAAATCCTTATGGAAATATTATTGATCATACTTGTGTTCCAATTTGTCCAGATTTTCTATATTTACCTAAAAAGTTATGCTTTAATTTTTGTCCATACTTTTTATATAGATATGAAATTACAAATTTAAAATTATGTGTTGATGAATGTCTTTCAAAATCTTATTTATAAGATCAATAATGTTTTGAATGTGATCCAATTTGTACAGAATGTTTTGGACCTGCTAATGGAAATTGTTTATAATGTGAACTTCCTTATTTTCTTAATGGATAAACTTGTGAACTTATTTGTCCAACATTTTATGATTTAACAGACCATATCTGTAAAGCAGCTTGTCCTGTTAATTTAGTAATCTAAGATTTATACTGTTAACCTTAATGTGATTAAGATTATCTATTATATGGATAAAATTGTATAACTGAATGTCCTTAATTTACTTACTTAGAAAACAATTCATGTAATGATTGTAATCTATATTGTTTATCATGTTTTGGGCCAACCATTTCACAGTGCTACACTTGTATAGAAGGATTTTATCTTAATGGTCAAACTTGTTAGTAAAAATGTGATGATTTTTATAACTAAGATGAAAAAATTTGTATTAAAAATTGTGGGTCTATGTTAATAATTAAAGATCTTAAATTCTGTGTTCAATAATGTCCTATTGGTTACATAACTTGTGAATAAGAATGTTTTATCACAATTAAGGATGGATTTTACTTAGATAATAACTTATGCTATAAATGTGATTCAAAATGCACAAAATGTACATCATCTCATTCATGCTCAGAATGTTACTAAAACTTTTATCTAGAATTAGATTCTTGTGTCAATTTTTGTTAAAATTAATTTTTATATATGGACCCTATTTCTAGAAGTTGTGTTTCTAAATGTCCAATAGGTTTATATCATTAAGAATCATTTAATAAAAGATTTTGTATGTTTGATTGTTCTCTTAAATTGAATGATTAATGTGTTTAATCTTGTCCAACAGGCTTTTACAATGATTTTACAATTTGTAAATAATGTCCTTTTGAATGCTATGAATGCTACTCTATAACAAAATGTACAACATGTAAGCCAGGCTTATTTTTAGAAAATAATTGGTGCTATCCCTAATGTAATATTAAAAAAACTGATAGAAAAAGTTTAATTTGTGTTGATCAATGTGATAGTAATTTATTTGAGTTCGAAAATCAATGTGTTGAAATTTGTCCTTCTGATCCAATTTATTTTCATTATAATTCTAAATGTGTTAATACCTGTCCTACTTAAACATTTTAATCAGAACAATCATGTATTGATTGTCATATACAATGTTCCTCTTGTTTTGGTGCAAATTATGATTAATGTTACTCATGTTCTTTTGGTTACTATTTAGAGGATAATCAAATATGTACTTAAACATGTTCTCATTTTTATGATCTTCTAAACTTAAAGTGTGTTCTATAATGTTAAAGTGATCTATTTTAGGAAGAAGATAAATGTGTGCAAAAATGTATTCACTTTGTATATAAAAAACAATGTGTTGATATATGTCCATATGAAACTTATGAATAAAATTCTGAGTGTTTCAATTGTCCAAATAATTGTTTGGAATGCAATTCTTTTGGTTGTATTAAATGTCAAGTGGGAACTTATCTAAACGATGGACTTTGTGATTCCTATTGTTTGATTATGTATAATGATGTTAAGAATGAATGTGTAGAAATTTGTACAAATGAAGAATATTAATATATAGATCATTGTTATTCTGAATGTCCAATAAATACTTTATAATATAAATAAAACTGCTTATTAAATTGTCCTTAAAAAACAGTTTAATTTTAAAATCTGTGTTTTAATTGTCCTGAAAGATGTGATATTTGTTTAAATGAATATGAATGCTTGAAATGCAACTCTTTGTATTTTCTTTTTGAAGGATCTTGTGTATTAAAATGTCCTTTATCATTACCATATGAAGATACTGTAAATTCTATTTGTTCATATGATTGTCCACCTAATACATTTACTAAAAAACATACTTGCGTACTTACATGTGATTTAATTATTCATTAAAAAATGTGCTTAGATTAATGTCCAAAGGGATATTATGAAAATATCATATGTAAACCTTGTAAATTAGAGTGTCTAGCTTGTAATGATTTTGACTATTGTACAGAATGCAATATTAATTATTATTTAGAAGATAATTAATGTGACATGTAATGTACAAAAATTAAAGATTTGAAAACAAAATAATGTGTTGAAACTTGCAATTAATTTTTATACTAAAATATTTGTTATGAATAATGTCCAAAAATGACATTTGAGTTTAAATCTATATGTATTTTATAATGTCCTGATGGTTTTTATGGTTCAACAAATTTCATATGTGAATAATGTCCATTTTAATGTCTTTAATGTTCATCTTAAAATAAATGTGAATAATGTAAGATAGGATATTTTCTATTTTAAAATTTTTGTTTGGAAATATGTCCATATAATACTTTTTCAAATTCTCTTACAAATTAATGTTCAAATATATGTCCACCTAAAACATATACTTACTAAAATGAATGTTTATTTTAATGTCCAAATGAATATATACATGATATTAAGAATTATTAATGTGTTTTAAAATGTGAAGATTAATAATATTTAGATGATAATAAATGTTTACCTTGTTCAATAGAATGCAATAGATGTTATAATTATGGGAATAATAATTGTATTGAATGCGCACTTTAATTCAATTTAAATGAAAAAGGATTTTGTTAAGGGGAATGTTCTTAAGGTTATTATTTGAATGAATAATAATGTGAAAAATGTCCATATAAATGTTTAACTTGTAAAAATTAAACATAATGTTTAATGTGTAGAGGAACTAATCGAAATCCAATTGATTGTTCATGTTAAAAAGGTTATTATGATGATGAATTTTATGAGAATTGTCAGTAATGTCCATGTGAAGAATGCATTTCAAATTAAAATTGTTTGGTTTGCAAAAATAATCTTTAGATTCCTAAATGTAATTGTGATAGAAAACTAAATGATGATTGGTGCATTACATGTTAAGTAGCAAAGGTTAAAATATAATATTCAGATGATCTTAATTAAATAGTTGTTTATTTTGGATATTTAATATCAGTCAATTTAATCAACCCTTTTTAACCTTCAGATTGTTCACTATGGTTTGATAATTCAAATTTCTTTGGTCAAAATTCAAAATGTTACTTATCATGGGATAGATTTTCTGTTCACATTTAATTATCCCCATATTCAACTATTAAAGTAGGTGATTAATTAGATTTTCGATAATACTTTTATAGAGATGTCGATTAAGGAGTTTGTGAATAAGAATATTTAAAAGAATTCATAGAAAATAAATTATATCCACCTAATAGATTTATTAAACCATATATTTTATTTAATATTCCATAATATGTTACTACTTGTAAATAAATTGAAATTAGATAAATTCTAAATGAAGGAACAGGTTAAAAACTATAAACAATAATTGATTGGCAATTACATGAAATAGAAAACGAAAATACATATTTAAATATGGATTCTTTATTAGCAGACTCAAAGAATGAAATCATTATACCTATGTCAGCTTTATAACCTAATACAAAATATACAATTACAGCAAAATATATCAATATGTTTTAACGAGTTAATTATACAACATTTTAATTTAATACTCTTCCTATCCAAACCCCTTATGTTTATCTTACTTATAATCCTTTGATTGTAAATATTTATGTATTTGATTGCCATATAACCTTCGCTGATTTATTTAGTGAATCAAATATTTAAATATCAATAACAAATTCATAAATATCAGATCTACAATACATTTCTTTTACTTAATCAATAAGTACATAACGTAAGATTCCTTTAAATGAAAGTCTGTTACCAAAAGAATAACCTTTAATTTTTACTGCATTAACATAAAGTTTTATCATCAAAGAAATCATAATCATATAATCAAAACCAATTGAAATATCATTTCTATAAAAAAATAGATTTATTGGTTAAGAAGATTAAATTAATGCAAGAGCTTATGATAAAAATATTGAAGATTAAATATTAAGTACTAAAAATATTGATTATTAATGGTTATGCAATAACTTACATGATCTTCAACCATGCAAAACATAAGAAAATAAAATAATTGAGTTTCCAACTAGAAGAATTGTACATATTTAACCTGAATCTCAAAATTCAACTTTTATCTTTTATGTTAGAGCTTCTAAAGATAAGAGATGGAGTGTTAGAGAATAAATTATTGTATTGTTAGATTTAAATATCTAAGAAGAATTCGTAATCAATACTAATTAACCAAAAGATTTTATTAATTTTAATAGTGAAATTACGATTTTATTAAAGAAATCTCAAAAATATGCATTTGTAATCTAAAACCATAAAGTTCTTTATTCTATTAAAATTTTAAATAATTCATTAAAATTTAGATTAGTTGAAATTACAAATGATTCTGTAAATCCAGTTTACATTTATTTAATTCCTGGAACTGACTCACTTGCATTTAAAATATAGAAATTATCTAACAATTATAAATTTACTGTTGAACCTAAAGTTGGTAAAGCATTAGATTATTTTAACTATACTATTGAAAATTTAATTAATAATCAGACTATTAGTATATTTTATTATTTTGAATATGAAACTTGTAAAAAAGATTTAAATGATAAGTCTGTTTTGAATGGTATACCTTTAATTATTAAATCATAAATCACATTTGGCTAATTTTAATTACCAAGTGGAATTTCTAATCATCCAATTTAGCTTGTTTGCTAAGTTGAATCTAATGAAGGCGCATTATTATTTCTATAAAAAGAAATTGTTGTAGAAAGAAGATTCTATCAAATGCAAACCTTTTTAGAAAACATTAACAATTAAGTTAACTTTTCAAATTTATAAAGTTTACATACCATGATCACTCTTATTAATTCTGAAGATAAATAAGCTTGTTTAAAATAATGTTCTGGAGTAGGTATTTGTGTAAATTAAAAATGTTAATGTCCACCAGGTTATTATTTTAATGATTGCAGTGGAAATTAAGTTTAAAAAGAGAATTTTAATGATTTAATTTTAAAAATCATTAAAACATTAATTTAATAAGAAGTTACAAATAATGATGAGTTTAAATTATATAGTTAAGCAATTCTTTAATTCTAATAATATACAGAAATAATATCAAAAATAAGCATTGATGAATGTTAAAAAGTTTTAATGGTTTATATCTCAAATATAAATCAAAGAATGGAGTAGATCAATTAATATTCAATAAATATGTAATATTATTAAACAAATGAATTTTAATATTCTTAAATAGATACAAGATAAATTTTAAACATAATGGATCTAAAAAATGCAATTCTAAGTACTGAATTTATTTGGAATAAAGCTATTTCTATTTAAAATGCTAGCATTTATCAATTAATGTACAATTTAAATAATTTCTTCATTAATATTATTGATTTATCTTTTCTTGGAATATTGCCAAATCAAGTAATTGAGATTTCTATGAATACTTTAAGTTTGATTATTTAAAGAACAAACAATTTATCAGTTTTAAATACTCATAGATTGCTTTAATAAGAAGTTAGTTCAGATTATTATGATATTGTATAAGCACTATACATTATTAACTATTACTCTTATGATGGTTACTTTCCTTATCCATATCAAAAATATCCTCTCTATGATTACAAAATTAAGTAATAAAATAGATATTAAAATTTTTAACTTTAGAAACCTATCCATTATAAATTTGTAATATAAAATGATACGAGTAATTTAGTTTGTATAAGTCGAAATTCTGAGACTTATGAATGGACATCAAAAAATTGTTATTTGTCGATAGTTAATAGTTCATATTTTTGTATTTGTAAAATGATCGAACCTGTTACTATATGTGATGATTATTAATATATCTACTCAGGGGAACCTCCTTTTTATTTGAAATTGCCTAATTTTGTTTTAATCGTTTATTTGCTTTAACTTATTTTATTGACTTTTGTAAGTTGCAAATCTAAATATTAAAATCCAAAATAAATAGTGAAATCTAATAAGTATGGAAAAGTCTTTAAATTAAATAAAATTGAAACAGTACAAATGATGATTTATAATAATATACCTTCTCCTATCAATTCTTAAAGAATTTATCCTGAAAATGATTGTATAAAAGAAACCGTACAGTAAAGTAATTTGCAAGAGAAAAATAAATTTTAGCTCAATTATTTTTGGGTAATTGATTTTCCTAATATAGAATTATCATTATCTGACCGCAATAATCTTTAAGAAAAAGTTTTATTTTAGTAGTTTTTAGAATGTTTAATTCATATTGTTAAAATGGAATATCTGTTTTATTTTAGGGGAAATTCTTACTATCTATTATATGTAATATGACTTTTAAATATATATTTTATTGGTTTCGATATTTATTAATAGAATGAACTAAGAATTTTGGAAGGTAAGATATGTTAATTAAGTTTTAGAAATAATTTAAATATTACGAATATATGAAATCCATTTTGATTTTATCATTAACAAAAATAATGTTGGTAATTGTTACAATAAGTAGTTTTATTATAGGCGGATATTTGTATTTTTGGATAAATAATTAAACTAATTTGGTATATTTTATAATTATTCTTTAGATACTTTCCTATTCAATTTCAAATCTTATTGATTTATTATTTTTAGATATCATTTTATTTTTAGCCAACAAGTATTTGGGATAGACAAGAAAAAAACTAATAAAGAAAAAAATAAAAGAATTTAAAACAGCTTTATAAGGGATTAAGCGATAACAAAATTGATATAGGATAAAGATAAATATAATATCATATAAAATTAATTCTTAAAGTTATTACTTTAAAAATTGAAAATAAAAATACTTTTTAATTATCATTCCATAATTTATAAAGTTGTTTCTGTCATTTCTCTTAGACTAGCTTTTTTATCCCAATGATATCCATCTCCTAAAGGTTTTCCTACAGGTAATAACCAAAGAAATGGATTTTTTCCAAAATAAAAATAAAAGTTGTACCAAAATCCTATATTATATACAGTTAAATCAGTATGCTAAAATAATATAATTAGAATAGATACATATTTTCTTTTAGTTTAAGATTCAATATCTAAAATCAATTGATCAAGTGTGCAAATATTAGCAGCTATCAATTTGAAGTTGGTCCAAAAGAAATAATATAAACCAAAAGCATTCAAGAATTGTGAAAATATGACTAAAAATATAAATCCTTCCTAGATTTTATTAAAGTCTAAAGTTTTATATTACCAAAAATTATTCCAAAGTTCAATTATGTTGATTAATCCAAGTAAAGTAGCTTAAAACATTCCAACTGAACCCCAAAATAGAATTAGTATGAAATATTTCCTATTGTATAAACCAATACAATTAGCAGTCCAAACACAATGATGATCCATATTTAAAACACATCTTTTACATTTAGAACAATGATGAGATCTTTCTGGTCTTTTTATTCTGCATTGCAAACAATAATCTCTTTATTTTGTTTCATCATATTCTACCAATGTATGTTTAGGTATAAATCCTGGATCAATTCTTGACGTTCTATATAATGCCCAAAATAGCATCAAAATACTAAAAGTACCTATCCATACAAATATCCATTCTATTAGGCTTTCTAATAATAATATTGTATAATACTTTATGAAATTTTAATAAATACAAAGTTTAGAAATGTAAAGTATATGAATAGTATTAAAAAGGCTAGAATTAAAGGAAAGTGTTTCTTCACAACATCAGGCATTATAGCTGAAATCATTCTTAATATTATTATTTATATATATTCAAATAGGAATATAAATATTTTATTTCGAATCTAGAATATATATGTAATTTTAGTTATAAAGTATAAATTAATGAATTATCATAACTAGCTCAAATTTCTTAACTGATCTAAGTATTAAGATGGACTTAATATTTAAGTTGACCCAATAAATACTTATTTTAATTTATTTGAATAAAAGTTTCTTATTGCACAAACTTCAGAATGACTAATTCCACCTAAAACAAATACACAAACACTAATTTATTCTACTTATTCTTCTTTTTTTGATCTTAAACTTTATTAAATAATATTATTTTTTGGAATTGAATTAGATCCATATAAAGTGACTGTATTAAATTTATTATCATCCAAAAGATCACTCAAAAGTATTTCAATTTCAGGTGTATATCTTTATAGTTCTAAAGTCATTTAACTTAATTTTTATTTAGCAAGTAATCTTGATGCTTTATTAATCTTTTTTGTAATTCTGTTTGATATCATTTTATCAAAATCAAATCCTAATTTTTATAATCCATAAAATGGTTTCATATCTATAATTTTATCAAGAATCTATTTACGTTCATTTTCTGGCATCTAAACAGTTAGTAAAATGATTAAAACTAATCTAACTTTATCATTATCTTAAATTATTTTAGATTATAACATATATAAAACCTCTTAATATAATTAATCTGATTTAGTTTGATTTCCTTATTTAGTAGTACCAGTAGCAAGTGCCTATTCTAGTTCTCCAAGATCTTTTAAACCTTTAGTTTCAAATTATTTCCAAATTTAATCTATTAAATTCATATGGAAAGTAAAATCCTTCAATTAGCTATTGTAATTTGGCATCGTACTTATAATTTCTTACATTTTTTATGTATCCAATTCTTTAAAGTCTCCTTTATGAATTAAAGCTGATGGATTAGTATTAACCATCTTTTGAAATTCTTAAGGTATTCCTTCTAAAGCATGTGCAATATGTTTATATCTGTATTTTTAATAAACATAATCTTCACACTCAAAAGGAGAGAAACTTTAAGGTAACAAATCTACAATTAAAGATTCATAATGAAAATCATGTAATAAAGGTGTAAGAAGATCGAAAGTACGATCTAATATTAAGAAATGTAATTCTCCTCCATCATCTTTTATCATTTAATTTGTTCTTTCCCAATTATCAAGTACTCTAGGTAAATAATTAGCAAATAATTATGCAAATTAATTATTTTTTAATGTTGATAATTTAACACATTAGAATGGTCTCATTGATGGTAATGAAGATAAAAATAATTATACAACTTGAATCATATCATCAAAGTGTATTTATTAAATTTCAAAATGGAAGCAATTATCATCAAGAAAATAAAGATGATGATTAAATTCTTTTATCTGAATTATTCGATTAGCTAAATTTGATTTGCATATTTATTCTAATAGTCTTTAAGGTAAATTGTAAGAAAAAATTACATTAATTTTTCTATACATTTATTATTCCTTAAAATCACCAAGTAATCTATTTACTGAATCATCTGAAGGTGTTATGAAATAAAAAGCATCATTTTTTGGATAAGCTTTACGTTATAATTCCAATTTTTCAATTGTAGATACTCCCATATCTATTAAATCTTTAAGCTTCATTATTGAACTTAAAATTTTAGCTGTTATTGAATCTAAAATCATTATCAAACACCTTTCAGGATTTCGTTGTTTTATTGCATGAACTAAATCACAAAATCTATTTTTTGCATTTTATTTCATTTTTTTTAATAATAATTGAAAGACTTTAATTAAAATAAGAATTTATTAATATAAACTTATCTCTAATATTTAAATGATCAATAAATTTCTCATAGAAATTATATATCATCAAACATTTTGTAGCAATTAGTTATTGAATATCCCTTTTCAGGTTAGTTTTCTTCTCCAATAATCATTAATCGTACACTTTCTCCTTCTAAATAATCATCATGTAGATAATCATGAAATCCATCTTAAGAAGCAATTGCCTGAATTCTAACTTCTTATGCTCTTTTCACTTTATATATAAATAATATTTACTTTATTCTAACTATTCTATTTATTTTCTTTTGGTTTATTTATCCTATTCTTAAACTTAAATATTTTATTAATTTTATTTTTAATTTTAATCGACTTCAATAATTTTTCTTCTAATCTCCACTTCATTTTATTTCTACTCAAGAGGAATTTCTTTAAGTGCTTTCTCCATTTTTTCAAATACTTCTTTCACTTCATTCTCAATTATTTTCTTATCATTTCCAAATTTATTTAGACTAAAATACTCATCATTTAATAAATCAATATGAAATTAATTTAGTTGTTAATTTTTTTATAAAGCTTCTAAACACTTTTTGCATGCTAAAGTTTAATACTTTAATGAAAATTATTTTTTATGGTTTGTATGCTCTTCATAAATATTTTAAGGTGTTAAAATAAATTCATATAGGCAGCCATGATCCTCACAAAAGTTTTCACATCCTTATGACATTCCTAAAATTTCTCTGAAATAAGAGACACAGGTTCCATCAATATAATTTTATTTTAGGACATTTAGGAATTCATTTTCTTGACAACATGCTCTTTCATAACCTAATGTTCTTCCTGCACATCCTCTACAAACTAATGGCTTTCTCTAAGAATCTTCAAAAAATACTTTCATTTTTCAATAAAAAATAATTATTTAATATCTATAAAATTGAGGATTTTAATAATCATTATAATGCGTAATAATCAATCCTAAATCATCTAATTACTATGATTTATAATCTCATGAATAAAGACAAAAATAGATATTTTTTTATTTTAGAGAGACTCTCAAATAAAAAAAAAATAATTAAATTTACTTAACGATTACAAAATGTCTTCTATAACGTAATTAGATGAAGAATACAAAATTTATTTTGAATAAATAATGGGAATGTTAGACTAACTATCCTCTATAAGTCTAGAATTTGTGAGCTCTAAATTGACTTTCCTTGAAAAATATTCATAAACTCTTAAAGATTCATAAATAGATGCAAGATAACACAGAAACAATCAAATAAAACATTTAATTGATTATGTGAAAATGCATCGTAAGTCTTTAAATCGATCTTCAATTCATAATCATTCAAGTAAAACCTTTCATTTTCATAACAATTCACTTGATATTTAAGACTCTTATCTATAAGATAATATATAAATAATGCCAAACTCATGTTTAAATTAGAAAAGTACGAGTGATTCCAAGTCAATGCATACAAAAACTATTAAAAATATATTTTAAAAGATGGTTTAAACAAAGTGTTCTCCCTAGAAGAATTTTAATGATCCAGTTCTTAATTTACTATAAAATGCTATGAGTTTGTTGGAAACCCATCAAAAGTTGTACTAGGGTGAATTCAATAAACTAAATAAAGATTATGAAGAAATTCTAAAAGAAAATCCATAATTTTAAGCTAAAAAAAGTATATAAAATAAATCAAGCAAAATCAAATAAAACTTGAATTCTCTTATTGAAACTTAAAAATCATTCAAGTCCTATTTGAATTCAATAATGTGAATAAATGATTAGATGATAAATTTATTTATAAATTATCACTTTTTTTTTGCACCTCCTCCTTTACCTTTTTTCTTACCAAGTAATTTAGCTTATTTCATTAAATTGTGAACAGTTTTTTCTTTTAATTTAGCCTCCTTGTCTAATTCTTCTTTCCATTATTATTCAAGTTCAAGTCTTCTAGCATTCATTCTAAAAATAATACATTTTATAACCTTTACTCAATACCTTCCTAAGCTGTTATAGCTTTTTCTTTATCTTACATCTAAATAGTTGAAGTTTAATCTTCATTTCTAATTCTTTATCTTTCTTAGAATTCTCTATATCGTTCATCATCATAAATCTTTTTATTTCTAATTAAATAATCTTAGCATTTTCTAACATCATTTAAACTCATTTTTGGATTTTCAGTAATGTCTAAACAAATTAAACTTGTATTCTCTTTCAAAGCCTCTGCTAAAGTTTCACCACATTTTTCATCTAATTTACAGTTACATAGATTCAATTATAATAATGTATCATTTTTTTTAAGAGCCTCCTTCAATGCATTTATCCCACTTAAATCATAGGTATTTTTATCTTTGTCATAGTTTGTTAGATTATTATTTTCTAAATCAATTACTCTAATAGATTTATTTTACTCTAATAATTTTGAAATGGCAATCAAAGTCTTTGGTCCAAGATGATTACCTTCTAGTTCTAATCTAACATAGATTATAACATTAACCTTTCTAAGACCATATTTTTCTCTAAACTTGCTGCTATCTCTTATCCTTCCTCATCAGCTATACGTTTCCTACTCATTGACAATCCTTTTAATGTATTATTATTTTCTGTAACTTTTACTAAAACTCTAATTTAAGTTGGTCTCAAATCTAATCCTGATATTGTATAATCCAATTTAGAATCCCCGGTTGCCAAATCGATCATCATATTACCATATTCACCTTTTAATGTATTCATCTATTAGATTTCTTCTTAACTCCTTTTCTCTTCTTCTTTTTTCCTATCTTCCTCTTATTTCTTTTATCTCTCTTTTTCCAGCATTATCAACACTTACCTCTTTTACTTTTCTGCTTCCTCTTTTTATTACGACTCTTACTATATTATTATATCAATTATAATTATACCTCTTTTTTTTTCTTCTCTTCTTCCTCCAACTACTTTTACCTTCTTTCAAGAGTTCTCTTTGTATTTGGTAAGATTTCTGTAATTATTGATTTTAAAAAGTCCTTATCCATTTCAAAATAAAATATTAAAATTATTAAAAAAAATATTAAAAATTAGAAACTGGTTAAATCAAATACTGTATTCTCCTGATAATGCCTCAATTAAATTAAACAATAATTTAAAGATCTATGTATAACTATTTAAACAAGAAATCAAAGGATATTCCTCAATTTCATACAATATATCTGTCTATCTAATTAAATCTATTCATACTTTGAACTAGTAAATTAGTATACAAACATAAGCTAATGACAAACTTGAACATATTAATGCATTATCAAATTATGAATCCAATAAAAAAATAATACAAGTAATGAAAGTCATTTAAGAGAATAATATCCATTTGAAAACACTTGAATATTCAAATTCATGTGATTAAAACAAAGAACATATTATTAATCCTAATATTGGGAAAATATTAGAATATAATAAAAGTTATACATCATTATTTGAGTCAAAAATGACAAACAAAAAGCTTAAACTTAATGTAAATGATACATATAGGATAAAACTAGGATTAATTTCTAAAATTACCTAAATGGTTATTTCTTGAGTTTGTGTTTAAAGAGATCAGAATTTAAAAGTATTATTATAATCACAACCAATATGGTTATCTTGTATTTTAGATACAATTCTAAAAATATTTAATATATGTATGTCTCTCCATATCGACATGTCCACAATATAAATAAATGTTAGACCAAAATAGTTATGAGAATATTTCTTTGATTCTTAAGAGTTTCATCATCAATTTCTTTGATTCCATCAATCTAATCAATAACATTGTGAGTCTTACGAAATCGATTTTTCATGAATTAATTAATACAACATCGGTATTAATTATTTAAATATATACATAATGATTTTCAATTCTGAAATCTCTGGGCAATAGGAACACACAACATCTCCAGTTGTAACAGGAGGTAGTGTAATTGCTTTGGTTTACAATGGAGGAGTATTAGTTGGGACAGATACTCTTTGTAGTTATGGAAGTATGGCAACATTCAAGTATAAAATAAGTATATTTGAAATAGAAATGTCTAAAAGATTGCTTAAATATCCAAAAATACAATTTATGTATCCAGTGGTGAATTTTCTGATTTCTAACAAGTTGTGAGAGAATTAGCAAAAATCGATAGATCAGCTTTATAATATGATGATGGAGTTCATCCATCTCCAAAAGATTATGGTAATTATTTGGCAAGACTTTCTTATAAAAAAAGATGCAAAATAAATCCTTTATATTTGTAGAATGTTATAGCTGTATAAAATGATTGTAAATATTTAGGGATTTGATAATGATAAATATTTAGCACTAGTTGATATTTATGGTACTTATTTAGAATCAAAATTCATAACCACTGGATTTGCAAGTTATTTCTGCAAAGCTATAATTAGTAATTATTGGAATGAGAATTGTTCTCTTGATTAGGCTAAATAAGTAATAAGAGAGTGTTTCAAAGTAATAATGAATTTAATGAGTATAGGTATTATTCTGTAGAGATTGCAGAGCTCATGATGTAATTTAATTGGCTTATGTTGATGCTTAAGGTACACATATAGAAGAGCCAGAGAGAGTAGAAACAAAATGGGACTTTAATGGATTCAAATATAGGGCTAATGAGAAATTACACACATAATGAACATTTATTATTATTATATGATTTTATTATTCACTTTTCTCATGGATCAGCCACTTATGGTCTAGTAGAAATAAAGCTTTCTCTGCCAGTAGGTTACCATTCCATTGCTTCATACCAAAATGTACGCAATTTCATGTCTCTGCATCTGATGAAACGTTCAAATCTACTTGATCTCCAAAAGAATTTATCTATTCTTTCATGTGAGTGATAAAGAATATCATATAAACAAACTGGTAACAATGTACCAAGTGTTGTAAGTACCATGCAAACTGGAGCTATTTTAAGTACTGTTCTTAAAGGTATGGGATATGAACTATTAGGTACAGGCATTTTATATATTATTATTATTGTTTTAAATTATTATTTATAAATTATATTCTTACTAAATTTCATATCATTACAAATTAATATAATCATATCAGTTTCTATTTATAACACTATATTATACACAATATTATTAAATTTATTTATATATCATAGTAATCATTTTTTTGTCCTTTAGGCTTTCCAAATTAACTCTTAACTAGTCTCATACTATTTATCAAGCACATCAATATCTAAACAACGTTTACTCAATTACTTTTTACAATTTTACTCACTGTAACTTTTAGCTCTTTAATTTGAAATCTAAATTATTAATATTAATTTACTTGATTCATAATTTCAAATTACTATTTAAATGGAATATTATTGTTAGAAGTAGGTACTTATTTAATATTTTTAGTGCTAACATTATTTAGGTTATTTAAAAATGGATTTTAGGAATTTGATTATTAGGGAATCTGTTATTATTAGTTTATTATATTATTATTATTGGAAAGAACTTAAACTTATTGATTTCCATAGCAAGATTTAGAAGAGGATCTATTATTTTCTGATAATTGTTATTATTATTATTATTGAAAATAATTTAATGGTCTCTAACTATTTTAAGATGTTTTAGCCGTACTACATTATTCATATTATCTATGAGATTAAGCAATGGAATCTATAATAGAAGGAAGAAATACATCTAAAATTATTTTCATATGGACTCATACAAGGGGATTAATTTTCTTCAACAACCGTTGATAATTATGGTTAATCAAGAGTACGTTTAGAATCTGGTCTATTCATAGAAAAATGATGTTAATGATTCTCTTTATTGGCTTTGATATCTTAAGATCGAATAACTTTAGTATTAAAAGCAAATTGCTTATTTTCATATGTATTTTTTGCACTTTAAGGTTATTACAATTCAATCTATTGATTTTTCTTCTGTTTGTTTAAATCAACTGACATCTGCATAGATTTAGGTACAGAAAGATATTGATCTTCTCTATAAGGTTCTTCAAGTTCTTTATTGATGCTTTCAAATGCTGAATCAAATGGTGTTCCTTAAAGCTGCATTATAGAAATCTAAAGGATTTATGATTATTTGATTACTTTCTTAGGGTTATTAAATATTTTAGAAAAGTTATCTGGTCTAATAATTTCATCTGGTTCTGTTTTATTTGGTCTTATTGGAGACAATTTAATTTGATCTTTTGGTTAAGAATGTTTGTGTTTACGTTATTGAGTTTATATTATCTACTATAATAAAGATGCCTATATATATATAGATAATATATTTACATTGTATTGATTCTACTTATGGGTATCAATTGTGATTTCCATCAATTGACTGAAAATTGATGTCCAACCTTATAGTGTTTATTTGATTTGATGTATATCTTAAGATAAACAATCTAAATTGAATGAATGAGCTTCCATTAAACCTGTTTAGGGATGATCGTACATTTGATTGTTAAAAATATAAATGTCAAATTAATAATAATCAGGTAATGAGAAATCTAAAAGCAAATCCTAAAAATTATAGACTATGGAATTGAATGGCAAAAACTATATACTATTGGATAAGTATTTTTATAATCCTGATGATGTAATTGGTGAAGGTGCATTTGGTAAAGTCTATAGAGGATTCAATATTTAAGCGTATTTATACTTATTTTTAATGTTCATAGATAAAATAAAGAAAATGATAAGGAATGTGCAATTAAGAAGATGGAGCTACCTGAAAATATGGCATTAATGAGTGATAGAGAAAAAATGACTTTAGATGCTGTTAGAAAAGAGATTTGCGCTTTAAAATTATTGAAACATCCAAATATTGTTAGATTATATGATGTTAAAAAATTATAGAATGTCATTTATATGGTTATGGAATTATGCAATGAAAAGGTATAGTATAAATATATTCTTTAATGATCTTAGTCACTTTCTGAATTTATTAAAGAAAATAAAGATATAACTGAACCTGAGATCAGATATAAGTTTGGAGAAATTTTGAATGGATTTAAATATCTGAGAAGTAAAAAAGTCATACATAGAGATGTAAAGCCTGAAAATATACTTATTCGAAAAGGAGTCTTAAAAATTGCTGATTTTGGATTTGCCAAATAACATAATTCAAAAGCTTAATTACATTCCTATCTAGGAACTAGAGCAACTATTGCTCCTTAAGTTATATTAGGTATCTACTTTACAAAAATTTAGGTGATTATACTGACAAATGTGATATTTGGAGTTTAGGAGCAACTCTATACTTTATGTGTTTCAAGAAATATCCATATAAAGAATTTTATGCAAGTGAAATAAAACTCATGGAATTAATGAAGAGAGATTTTATTGAATTTCCGAAAGCTGGTATGTAAGTTTCTTAACCATTATAATAAATCATAGTATAAATGATGAGATATAGAGAAGAAGATAGAATTGATTGGAATGATTTATTTGCATGCCCTTTATTTCAAAATAAATTGTTAAAAGAAATGGGATTAAATATATTTGAATATCATGAACCATAAGATGATACTGCTGATATTAATGATGATAAAATTGATGATACTAAAATTGATGATTTTGATTTTGAAATGATTGAAAATTCAGAATAATATATTGAAAAATTCTAAGAAAATGCCCCTGTTGTTATTGATTAAGCTGAAAAATAAAGAAAAAATGAAGAAATCTTCTCTAAATTAATTAGCAGACTTACTTTTGAAAAAGGAAAATGTATGTTCTTAAGATTACTATCTTAAAGACTTAAAGAATATGAATTGAGTTTAGCTAATAAATTAATATTTGAAAAAAGTAAAGTTGATATTTCTGATCATTTAAAATCTTTAAGATTTGGATTAAATAAATTTGAACTTATTATTAATAGAGGATTAATGGAATGGATGGAAGTGAATAAAAGTTTTAAATATTATTTTTGTTAAGACTTAATTAATCCAATTGGTGTAAATGACACAGATTGGGAAAACTTTCTTACTGAAGGGTAAGATAGAGAAAAAATAAAAAAAGCTCTTGAAAAAGAACTTCATATTACTTAATAATATGTTTATAATGCATCATAAGCATAATTATAATAGTTTTAATAAATGAATGAAAAGGCATTTTAAAGATTAAATGTTAATAAAGAATTCATGAGTTCTAATTTTGAGTGTAATAAGAATTTTTTTAAAGTTCTTTATGATCTAAGTTTAGGATTAGCTAGATTACTATTTCCAGAAATAGTGAAAATTAGAAATAATCTAGATTCATTACATAAAGTTTTACCAACTCTAGTTCTTATTGATGATCTATTTATTTTATTAACTCTTGATTCAGTATTTTCACATACTGATTCTACTTTAGTTAATTATACAGCTTTTTTTGAATTAAGAAAGAAGAATTATTCAGAAGATTAAATAATGTATAGAACCATGTATCAAAGAGTGATGAGAGCATATGAAGTATTTTTTGAATGAATAATCCATTCACATATATTTATATACTTTTATTCATTTTGGTGAATTTTATACAACTAAATATAAATCTATACTTAATTTGAATAATAAATACTATTATTTAATCAAATATAAATAATTAATTTTAGAATATTTTAATTGATTCCTTCTTAAAAATTATGCTCTTAAATAATATTTATGCGGCAAATTAATTGTGTATAATATTAATCATCTATATATTACATCAATAATATTATGACTCATCTTCTTCATCTGATTCTGGCATATCAAGATTTCTCTTTTATTTTTTTGGTTTTGGTACTCCTTCTGCAATCACTCTTCTAATTAAGTTTTAAATTAAGTGTACTTTTTCTTTTTCTTCTTTTTTTCTTATTATTACTCTTCTTATGCTTCTCCTTTTTATTCAACTTTTTAAGGTTGATCTTCTTATTAAACTTCTTCATTATCATCTTCATCTTCCTCTCCTTGATTTCTCAATTATTCTATCAATTCACCCTCATTTATTTATTCGAATTGTCTATCCTTATGATTTCCCCATTTTCTATTTTTTCCTCTAGCGTCTTTGGGCATTTAATAAATTTTAAAAATATATATTTATATCAGCGAACGGATCATTCATCACTTTATCATAAGTAATGTATAATATTTCATCATTAATTTATAAGTTTAATATCAACACTATGAGTCTTGATCTGAACAATTTCATTCTCTTAGTGTTTCCAGATATTTTATTTAAATATTTTAAATAAATTAATAATTAAATTTCATTATTCACAAACAATATTAATCGCTGATAAATCCATCAATTCTATAGGTATTACCATTTAAAATAACCTTAGCAGATTTATTTATTATTTCTACATTCTTGCAAAGTAAATTTAGTCTTATCCTACTATTATTAGTATAAAAAAATCTAAATATCCAATAATTAATGAGTACTAAAAGAAGATGAAATTTAATAATTTTTATAATCTTATACCTTATAATTAGAATTATCCTTTTTGTTTAAGTTGCTTGAATTTTGATAGAATTTTATAATAAATCTTTGAAAAATATATCATTCAAATTTCAGTTCTTTTTTATAACATTACTATCCAATAGAATCAACTTATAATGAAAAAAAGATTAAACTCTGCTCTTAATAATAAAGAAAGCTTAAACAATTTTTATTTTTAAGAATTTAATAGAAATTCTACTATTTTAACTAACAATTTAATTAGTAAACGAAAGGGCTAATAAACTGAGATCTTGTAAATATTAAAAATTTGTTATTGTAATCTAAAGGATAATAAAGTAGCCTTAACTTTTTATATCTTCTTTCTATCAACCATTTAATAGCTAGTAAACAATATGAAAATAATAAGCTTTTTTTATTTTATAAAATACATTCTCCATTAATAAAGGAAATGATTAAAATTATTCAAACTGTAATCTTAATAGAATTGACTTATTATAATTTTATAAATTTGATTATTTAAATGAAAAAAAGAAAATTGAAAATAGATTTGCTCTCACATATAATTTTAATTAATATCAATTCATCATCCCTAATATTGAATTTTAATTACAAGCTGGACAATAATATTATTACCTCATCATCTAGTCTTATGTATTATTACTTTTTTACTCAAAACACTTAAAACTACAAAAGCTATTTGTACATTTCAGTACCATTTGGTTAAATTGATTAAAAATTGTTACCAACTATTAGTTTTGGATCATTTCAAACAAATTTTAATTAGAAATATTTAAGTCTTTAAACTTAATATTTTAATTGCACATACATTTGATGGATTGTTTATTATTCTTCAGTTACTATTCAAGGTAAGCTTGAATTATTTATTAATAATCGCTTTAAAAATTTTTAATTTATTTATGATTTATGATGCATTTCTCCTTTTTTGCATTAATAAAATTTTCATTCTAATTATCTTAAATTTAAATTAAACCCACAATTTATTAATTATCTACTATATTATTCTATCCTATTAAAGACTTTTCTTAATCAGAACTCTCAAATTCTATTAAATCATCGTCGTCGTCATGATTTTATTATGTTGGGTTGCCAGAACTCAGCTTTTATCCACTCTTTTAAAAACTTTACTTAAGAGAATTACATTTATTATTAAATTTTTCAATTAATTCTATTATACGTTATTACATTTATTATTCTATTCTGCATTAATAAACCCCTTAAACTAGTGCTTATATATTTTGTTCTAATTATTAAAGAAACTTAGTTAAAGTCTAAATTAAATCTTTGAGTGAATTTTTATTATGTGCAGAAATTGTTTTTTCACTTTTAATTTTGAAGTTTTTTTGAATTAATTCTTTCTCTTATCCTACTTATTATATATTTTTTTCCTTCTTTTCATCTAATTTTTCCAAAACTTAATTATTTATCATTTTAAATAAATTTATTAATAAACAAACTTAGAAACTCAAACAAAACAAATTCATATTTTTTAAGTTTAATATATTTGATTATTTTTTTTATTTTAATCTAATAGTATATTCAGTCTAAGATTATTTAAAATTTTCAGATTATTACTTAAAAAATATTATTTTTAATCTTTTAATTGACAATAATATATATAATTTTTCATAAATGATTAAATTAAATTATATATCGAAATAAAAGCAAATTCAAATATTTTGAAGCCTAAGATAAGTTATTTTACCTATTTTAATTTATAAAATAATATGCCATTATGTAATTTATCTAATAATAATCATGCAAACTGATCAACTAAAATTAAAATAATTGCAATGGTTAAATTAAAAACAGTCAAAATTTAATTCAAATCCAGAGACTGTATTTAAGTATTGTTTGAGCAGAGACTAACTATTTTAGAATGGAAAAATTAATTAAATTTATAATTTTTATATTTAAAATGTAAGAAGATAAAACCTTTGCAATTATAAAAAGAATGCAAGAACTAAATTATCAACCTTAAGATGGTGATTTAAAAGAACTTCTGGCAGGAATTTAGGTAATTTTCAATTTAATTATTTTGAGAACCTAAGGATAATTAATCCAATCTTTAATGAAAAATAGTCAAAGAATTAGTTTATTAATTACTTAAAAACTTGTGGATAACGATAAATAATTCTATAGTGTATTATTTACAATTGTAAAATAATCCTAAAAATGGAAATAATATAAAGCTGATGTTTTAGTTATTAGTGTTATTCCTAGTCTAATTTCATTAAATATACTCAATGGAGAAGAAATTGTATCTGTTTTATTATTAGCCATCTATAATGAATATTTGGATTTCATAAATAAATAAAGTGAAACTCATTTATCTTTAGAAAGTTTGCCTATAATGAAAAATAAATATGAACAGCTTTTTCATAATGATAAAAAAAGAAAACAGTATTAAATCATTAAAGAAATAACACAAACAAATTTATTGGAAATTCATTAAATGTTACTTGAATTATTTTTAATTTACCTCAATTAAATGGATTAAGTGATTCTAAAATAAGCAATAAGATTAGGATACATTTTCTGTGGATCAACATACACAAGTTAAGAATTAAAACTTCTTGAATATCATGGTGTATAAGATTAAATTTTTAAAGTTCAAATGAGTGATCGGTCTATGGAATTACTGTTATTTATAGTATCTTCAATAAATTTAAGTGATGAATCTATATTACATGTTCATCACCTTATAAATTTAATAAGGAAAAAAGCAGCAAATGAATCAAGATTTAGTGTAGCAGGATTAGCTTAATCAGTTATTACAATAACTGAAGATGTATTTGAAGGAGTCTTTTGAATAATATTAATAAATAATGATATGTAATATATAATATTGAAATTTAAAGATTAATTTTTAGTTATTATAGTTATAGTAATATCTATAATTAGAAAGATTAATAAATTTTATTATATTTTAACACTAACTTTGAATTCATTTTTTCTATTTCTTTTATTTTTCATATTGTTCTCTAAGTTTTCTGTCATTTCTTTATATATTTTCAAGAACTTCTTTATTTTTTTAAGCCATAGGAATATCACCTGCTTTTAAAGATTATAAATCAGATCTATTCTTGTGATCACTTTCGAGTGGTTGTTTTTCCATCTTAATTTTGAATGGAACAACATATCTATAATCCCAATATCTCACATTATCAAAATTAATGAAACCTATATATGTTCCAAATACAGTTGAAATTTTTTATCCTTTACATGTAATATCAGCTTGGAAGTAATCAGAAGTTCTAAATTGAAACAATAAAAATTACTTCTTTTTAACTTTTCCTATATCAATAATGCATGATAGACCATTTGCTTTATCTTAAAATGTAATTTTGTTGATAGATTCTTATCTCAATTATCCAAAAAAAGTTCCACTATAAAGTTCATTCGGGAAATCAAAATCAATCTTTTAACCATCATTAAATTCAATTGATCTCCTTCCTTTATTAATAATCTAATATAGAATTTAATTAGTATACTGTCACTGAATTTAATCCTGCTCTTCCTTCAACCAAATAATATCCATAATATTTATATTTCTTATTAGGTCCATAAACTAAAAAGTAACTTACAGGGGGATGATGCATAATTTATTCACAATATATTTATGTTCCATCATTATATGATGCTTATAAAGTTTCTCCTAATATTGGATTAAGCTAAATCAATATTAATCATACAGGTTTTAAAAATGTATTGGTCCAAAAAAATGAAGATAATGTTGCTGTAATAACTAATTTAAATCTTTCTAAAAAGTCTGGAGTCATCGTTGCTTTTGTAATATATAAAGGAAATATTGAAGCTAAGATAATTAAATTTATTACTTCCATGAACAGCTGTTTCCAATGCAGTTTTAGGAATCATAACTCTAATAGGAAAACTTACTTTAGTAAGATTTAGTGATCCTGATAATATTTTCTTACCTATTTACTTAACCATTTCTTTTCCAACACTTCTTGCTTTACTTACTACTTTTTTATCAGCACAAATTCTTCCTCCTTTTTCATATCCTTCAACATGACGAATTTCATCATCATTCGGAAAATTCTTAAAATTGAGTACCAATTAAAGCATTTCATCTACTGATATATCCAAATAACCAATATAATCCAATTTATCAGGATCAGCAATTCCTTCATTCTCTTTGTCTTATTCTTAAACTTAACTTATCGGATCAAATCCTTTCTCCTCTAATTCTTTATCCTCATTTGTAACAACTTATGTATCATCCTATTCATATTTTACATTTTTACCTCAACAAAATCACTCTCATCTTTTTCCTCTTATTATGGTTAATTTGTTTCAGGCTTCTTTTTTTTGAACCAACTAAGCATTTTTTTATGACAAATAATTTAAAATAAAATTTTATTACTAATAAATTTCAATATAATCTTCAAATATTCAAAAATACCATTTCTTTTTATTTCAACAACATATTTAGAATATTAGAAAATTATTTTTATAAACAATATATATAAGTTTATATGAAGTTATAATTTAATTATCCTTATTTATTTTTAATATTTATTAAGCTACTTCTCATTTTTGTAGAATTATTTACTAATCATCATATTATATTAAAATCTTCATCAGATATTCAAAATATAATTTCTCAATATTAATTTCTTTAAGCACTGATTTAAATTTTAATGAGTTTTATTTTCAATTCACTAATATTATTGAATTTCAGTATTAACTCATTAAAAATTATCTTCATTAATAATATTAATTTTATACAAATTATATAATAATAGATGATAGTTTAATTTTAGCGTATAATTTTAAAGCTATTTTATATTATATATTAAACATCATTAGTAAATATAATATAGCTTAGCTTGTTTATTTTAAAAATAAAGATAAATCGCTAATTTTATTCTAAATTATCATATTCTCATCCCATCCATAATTTATTTTATTATGATAAAGACTAATTCTAAGGATTTTAAAATACATAAAATTATCATGTATTCTTTACTAATTACAAGTTTTTTTTTCATAAAATAGTACTAAAAAAATATTTCATATATANTTAGTAAGATTTAGTGATCCTGATAATATTTTCTTACCTATTTACTTAACCATTTCTTTTCCAACACTTCTTGCTTTACTTACTACTTTTTTATCAGCACAAATTCTTCCTCCTTTTTCATATCCTTCAACATGACGAATTTCATCATCATTCGGAAAATTCTTAAAATTGAGTACCAATTAAAGCATTTCATCTACTGATATATCCAAATAACCAATATAATCCAATTTATCAGGATCAGCAATTCCTTCATTCTCTTTGTCTTATTCTTAAACTTAACTTATCGGATCAAATCCTTTCTCCTCTAATTCTTTATCCTCATTTGTAACAACTTATGTATCATCCTATTCATATTTTACATTTTTACCTCAACAAAATCACTCTCATCTTTTTCCTCTTATTATGGTTAATTTGTTTCAGGCTTCTTTTTTTTGAACCAACTAAGCATTTTTTTATGACAAATAATTTAAAATAAAATTTTATTACTAATAAATTTCAATATAATCTTCAAATATTCAAAAATACCATTTCTTTTTATTTCAACAACATATTTAGAATATTAGAAAATTATTTTTATAAACAATATATATAAGTTTATATGAAGTTATAATTTAATTATCCTTATTTATTTTTAATATTTATTAAGCTACTTCTCATTTTTGTAGAATTATTTACTAATCATCATATTATATTAAAATCTTCATCAGATATTCAAAATATAATTTCTCAATATTAATTTCTTTAAGCACTGATTTAAATTTTAATGAGTTTTATTTTCAATTCACTAATATTATTGAATTTCAGTATTAACTCATTAAAAATTATCTTCATTAATAATATTAATTTTATACAAATTATATAATAATAGATGATAGTTTAATTTTAGCGTATAATTTTAAAGCTATTTTATATTATATATTAAACATCATTAGTAAATATAATATAGCTTAGCTTGTTTATTTTAAAAATAAAGATAAATCGCTAATTTTATTCTAAATTATCATATTCTCATCCCATCCATAATTTATTTTATTATGATAAAGACTAATTCTAAGGATTTTAAAATACATAAAATTATCATGTATTCTTTACTAATTACAAGTTTTTTTTTCATAAAATAGTACTAAAAAAATATTTCATATATATAATTCAATATAAAATTTTAATTATATTTTTGTATTTATTTCATGATCTCAATCTTATCAAATTTTTGTTTATTCACAAAATCTTAAAATTTTTAACACTAATGTCTATATTAGATTGTTATTTTAAATGAAATTTTATTACTACTAATTTATTATAGTTGTGAGATTAACTATAATTTTTATTTTTATCTCTAAATTTTAAATATTTATAATAATTTTTAATATTTTCTTTTTTTGCACAACTCTAGTGATATTTTGTCCACATTATTTAAATTTTGGCACAAATTGAATAGTTTAAAATAAAATTATATTTTAAAAATAATTTATATAATTTTCAAATCTTATTAGATATTTACATCAAAGCAATGAATAGTATTAGTGCAAGAAGAATTAAAATATTTGAAGACAATTTATCATCTAATATTTTTGAGATGAATGTGGCCTCTATTTTTTTTTCTTTATATGTTTAAATAAATCGTATGGGAATAGATTATTTGTTGTTTATTTCTTAATTTGATTATGATGTTTTTTTAGATGTTATCTTTTCTGGCTTATAGGGTTTACATCTAGTCTCAGTTGCTGTAATATTCTCTTTTTACATTAATTAGGCATTGATTCTAAATTAATTGACTTTAATTAATAGATCCTTCAGACTTAATCTAGATTCTTCATCTATCACAAGCATCTTTGAAACTAAATACTAAAGCAGTTTATTTTCTACTGACAACAATTGATTTTAAATGTAGTTAGCTGTTATTTAGAATAATAAATTACTTTTTAATTTAGTTTCAATATCTTTTAATAAATCTTAAGTATTAAATCCTCTAAAAGGTAATTCCCCTCCTTTTAACAATTCATATAATAAAACCCCTAGAGACCAAATATCAGTTTTTGGTGAATAAACTTATTGTCTAAGTAATTAAGGAGATTAATAACACGGAGTTCCTAAAATACTACTCATAGGTTCCTGTAATTATTATATTTAAATATTTACTTCATCAATATCACTCAAAAATTTAGATAATCCAAAATCTGATAACTTATATTTACCATCATGGATTAATACATTCTCCAGCTTTATATCTCTATGAATGATGTTCTTTGTATATAAATAATTTAAAGAGTCAATAATATCCCAAAATACCTCTTAAGCCAATTTTTCATATTTCTATTTATAAAACTTTGGACATGGGTATATTGATTAGAGTTCTCTTATTTTTTTCTTAAGATTCCCTCCATTACAATACTCCATAAAAATGTAGATATTTTTGCCATCAAAATAAGAATGAGCCATTTTAACTATATTCTAATTGTCTAACGTACTCATTATTGATAATTCTCTATCAACTAATTATTTAAGCTTTCTGTAGTTGTTTTGATTTGATTATAATGATCTACTTATCTTAAGACTTTTACATTATTTTACAAGCAAACTCTTGATTTAATTCATTTTAAGCCAAGTAAACACTTCCAAATCCACCTTTTCCTAACAAAATGCTTTTATTGATTGTATAATTTAAAACACATTGATACATGCTTTTAAATTTTATAAATTTAAGTTTTATAAATATATAAATTAATCATATCAAAAGTTCAACATATTTTTTGTACTATAATTAACATAAAGTAGGTTTCTATTTTCAAATGGCTCTCAAATTTCAATTATTCATAAAAAATATTAAACATCTATCTTTCATTAATCAATACATAAAAACATCCTTAAAAAGTTCTCTCATATCATTTTACAGAATATCTTATATAAATTCAAATTATTCCAACCCTTGGAAATATCTATAATACTAGTTTCTCTTTCAATTATGAATACTTAAATATAAAAAATATCAAATTTCATCTAAAACTTAAGGTCAGTTTGTATTTGCACAATTAAAAATTCCTCAAGTTATTTAAACTTTTTAATAGAATAAAATCGAATTCATCTATTATAATGAAATAAAGTCATTTTCTAACAAAGTTTTCATTAGCTTTTTCTATAATGTATAGATATAAGACACTAATATAAAGAAAAAACATTTAATTTTGTTAGCATTTGCTTTTGATTAATAAAATTTACTATTTCTTGAAGAATCATTTCTACATACTAATTAGAGGTTTTTAAATTTAATTTTGAAATTCTTTAAACGAAAAATATATTCTAAATTGGTATCAAATTTTTTTATTTTAGTAACCTCAAATATTTATAAATGATATACTTCTTTAATACTTAAAAATAAGCATAATAATGATGAAATTATAATTAGAATTTAATTTAAGCTTTTATTTATAAAAAACAATATTAAGAGTTATAAAGAAAATATTATAATCCTATCGTTAATAGATTAATTTCAAAGTCAAATCTTCTAGGATAAGTATAATAGTTTTGATCAGTGATCGAAAATTTCTTTGGAATTATGATTTCTCAATCATTAATAAAATGGATTAATTTATCAAGAGATTATACATAAACAAAAAAAATGAAAAACAGAATTATTTTAAAATATAATAATTAAAATGAATAAATTTCTAATTTTAGCAGAACTTATTCATTTTCTTTCATTTGTGTTGCTCTATTATAAAATAAAAAAAACTAGAAGTTGCTTAGGGATATCTTATAAAACTCAAGAAATATACCTGCTAGTATTTTTAACAAGATTTTGTGATTTAAACATTCATTTTGAAATTATAGATTATGTGCTAAGAATATTTTACTTAACATTCACAGCTCTTTTAATTTATACAATAAGATTTTAAAAACCATTTAGTTTAGTATAAAATATTTGTAAAATTAGACATATTAAAAAGAATAAGATTATTCTTAATTCTATAATTACATATACCCAACAGCGATTGTTCTGACATTAATTTTTCATACAGGAACTTCATTAACGTAAATATGCTAATCATTTTCAATTTGGTTAGAAGCCTTAGCAATTTTACCATAAATGAATTTAATGTAGAAAATTTAAGATGTCGAGAATTTAGCAGGATATTATGTATTATGTTTAGGTGTGTATAGAGGGCTTTATGTTATAAGTTGGTATTGTAGAGTATTTCATGCTGGTTGGTGGTGTTCAACTACAATTTTCGGAGGAACATTAGCAGTTATTATCTATTCAGATTTTGTTTATCTGTTTTTTAAGAATAAAGGAGCTTTTAAAGTTTTTGTATGAGTTATTAAATTATAAAATATATTTATATCAAATCTTTAAAACACATACTTAATCTAAAAATATATTAATAATCTTTTAATATATTTTAGTGAATCAAATTATAATCATTTAAAAAATTAACAAAAAATTCAATATAATCCTACTTAAAGCCATTGAAGTACTCTCATTTGAATATCTTTATTAAAACTAATTTTAAATTTTATATTTTTACTAATTAGTTAGATCCTTAAATTAAGGAATTTTGCATTTCAATTAATAAGCTGATTTAAACAATTCAAACTATTCATCAAATGATAATTAAGATATATTAGTATCAATCTTAATAATTATATCTTCAGCTTTGGATTGAATAGCTTTGAGAAAATCATAACATAAATTTGGAACTTTAATAGTTATCATTTCATATTCTTTTAATTTTACCTAAACTTCAGAGAAATTTGGTTTATTATCATAAAATTATTAACTGGGCTAATTAATTAATATTAAAATTTACATTTGATGTATATATATCATCAATATCTTTAAATATTGCAAGTATTTCTTAATTCCATTGTTGAATCTTTGTAATCTATAATCTTAATTCATTTAATTTTGGTAATGAAAATTTGATGTCAGTTTTTTAAATTTAGAGTTTGATTTCTTTTTCATATTAAATTGCTAATTAATCGTATTATTCTAAAGTTGATTATTATTTCAATTATTATTAAAGTTAATTATTCAAATCCTATTAAATTCTTAACATTTATATTGTTTTAATAATTTATTCATCTATATCTTATAATAATTCAGGATATTTTTCTTTTACATATGCATAAAGTTATTCTGTTCTATCTAATTACGGTTTTTTTAATTATTTAGTTTTAAAAGTTGCCCTACTTTGCAATAATTCATTTGCAGTTGATAAGAATTCTTTTTGACAAATAAGTGATAAAAGAATCTTTCTTTAAGGCAAATGTAATGGAAACCATTCACTTTCTGCATATAATGAAATCAATTATGGTAATGTCATGTTTTTTAAATCATCATAACAAATTAACCATTAATCTATTTTTTATTAAAGCAATTCAAGTAATTCAAGTTCAATAAGTTATGCTGGTAAATTTTTACCAATATTTAGAAAATCTTTAAATTCTTCTACTGTAGGTAATTAGAATTAAGAATAAATATAATCTCCTGAATTAGGTAATATGTTTTTTTCTAATATTTACTTTTATTTTTAATAACTATCATAAAGTTCTGATTATGGATCTAAACACGAATCCCAAAAATCCTCATTCAGAATTAAAAATTGAATATTGAGTTTCATCAAACAAACTAAAATAGTATTATTATTATTTACTTCTGCAATTGTACTTATCCTAATATTATTCTTTTAATTTTTTAATTCCCATACATTCATAATGATACCATTCTTCACAATTGTCACACTATATCATATATTTAACTTACTATTATTATTTTAAACATTATTAATGGAATAATTAAATATTATTATCATGCAAACTTTTTATGATTTAAAAATCTGAAATTGCTGATTCTCCCCCTTGTCTACAAATACAGTAAACTTCATCTTGACTATAAAGATTAAGTAATTCTTAAGACTGAATTTTTATCAACTCTAAGAAATTTGGGTTTCCTAATTCAACTTCTACATTTGGTAGTTGTTTTCTATTCAATCCTTTTTTATAACATCTTTTATTTGCATTTTTTTTTATTGCTTATACTACAGGATCTGATGGTAAAAGTTCACTTGGAGATTATTTTAAGGCTTTCCCTAAAGGAACATTTGCATCATAAAAGGCTATACTATCATCTCTCATCAATTTTGAAATTTATTTTATTCTTTTTGAATGTTTTAAAGATTGACTTTCTTAATCTATAATAGGTTAAGAATCATCTTAACTTTTTACTCTAAACTTATTTATAGATTTTAGAACTTTTTTTTTCATATTTGACATTTACTAAAGTGCCGACTACTATTATTATTACTATTACTATTATTATTATTATTATTATTATTATTATTATTATTATTATTATTATTATTATTATTATTACTATTATTATTATTATTAATATTATTACTATTATTACTATTATTATTATTATTATTATTCTTAAAGTTAAATTTAATCTAAATATTCTAAAAAAGGTTTTAGTTTTTATACCATTATTAAATTTTTTAATCTGGGTATGTCATTAATCATGTCTTAAGCCATTTATTTCCAATTGTTTATAACCCTAAATTTCTTAGCCCTTACATAAAATTCAGGCATAAAAACTTCAGAATAATAATGTACATCCTTAACATTTGATACTTATAATGCTATATCAGCTTAATTATTAATTGTAATTAATTTTTCTATTGAACTAATCAATTCCTAACTAATATAATTTTTCTCAATTCCTTGCAAGACAAGACAAAGAAGTTCCGGAACTTTAAAATAATAAAGTAAATCTCCAGTTAAATAATAGTTATCTATCTAAGATTCTGAATCCTTAAATTTTTTTTTTTTTTTTGGTTATTATTAATCATTTAAATTAATAACCTAATATTACCAAGACTAAAATTATTCAGTCCATTCATCAACTTATAAAGATATTTCTTCTTATTAAACATCCCTTTAATAATCTTTAAGTTTTTAAATTTTAATTGGTTAAAGTTTTTTTAATTTGTTCTCATCTAATTTAGCTAATTAGGTTAAATAATACTTTATTGTATTTTAAAAATTTTAAAAAAAGTTTTATGCAAGCTTAGACAATTTTGTTCCTTCTTTTTTTTTTCTATTTTAAGGATTCTATGCATATATTTAAAGCATTTCTTCTTTCAATTATTTTATTGATTCATCATTTTATAAAGATTTTATTATAGGTTCAAATAGAGAATCTTGACATTGAATAATTGATTTAATCCAACTAACTTTTAAAGAGGATGCATGCATATTTGATAATTCTTTAACTAGTTATTCTTCAACTGGTAATTTTGATGCTTCTTCTAATAGATTCTTAATAAGTTCATAATTTTAAGTTTAAATAGCTTCTTTAGCATTTTTATTCCATTTATCAATATGTTAAGTTAATGCTTATATTATTTATAAATCTTTATTGCCACTTAAAAATGGAGATTAAAATTTTTATAATTTATCAATTTAATCTTGAGTTTATTATGAACCATGTCTTTATATATACATTTTTCTAATTGTTTCAATGCCATCAATTTATAATGATGTGTCATCATTAACTTTTAATGTTTATTTTATGATTAAGACTTATGCATGCCAATCTAAAATTTAAACTATAATTTATCTGACTTTAACCATTAAAGATAATTCTTGTTTATATTTTAAACCTTCTTTAAATAATTCCCATAATTTATTAAAAGATTTGTTTTAATGACTTTTTCTATTATTTGCTTATTGAATTTGTACTTATTTACAATCAATTAATGAAATTAATTAATCTTTCCAAATTTAAATTCTCTCTGCTATTTTTGTAATTTCTTAAACTTTTTATGGATTTAATTATCTAATTACATCTTAAGATGGTTAAAATAAAGTATTAGGATATTATTGCAATTCAAAATTTTCATCATAAACATCAATCACAGTTACATTTTCTTGATAATTTATAATTTCATCCGCTAATTAATCCCATTCTAAGACTTAATGATTTATATTCTATAGATATTTAAGATCATCATTTATTATTCCACGATTGAGAAGCATCTGTATTTAATCATTAGCTTCTTAATGTTAACTATTTTACATATTTTATTTTATTTAATCCAAAATTTATGAATAATCTATAATACTCTATAATTTTTCTTGTACATCTAAATAAAATGGACAATCTAACACTTCATTTAACAACCTTTATTACATTTCAGGATCATCAATTTATGATCGTGCTCTTTCATTTAATTCTAATGCCTATTAATAAAGTTCATTAAAATAATCAAAATCATCGCAAGTTACAATTAAATTGAGTATTATTTGATTAAATTTTCCAGCTTAAGTTAATGTCATTTTTTCAATTTTTTCCCCTTAAATAGAATTCTATTAACCTAATCTTGTTTTTGTTTGTTATGATTTAGTAAATTTTGTAATTTTTTCAACCAAATCTAAAACATATTCATATAATCGTTTGTGTAATTGTTCAAATGCTTTTATTTCTATAGATAACTACTTATATTCTTAATTAAAATTAGCAAGTACTTTGAGTTAAATTTTTTATTCAAATTAATTGGATATCAATGTATCATAAACCTATTCAAAATTCTCATTATCATCAATTGGTATTGGAAGTTTAGATAATTTTAAAAAAAAAGATTCAGATTTTTAGACTTGATCTCTTAATTATTATATTTCAGGTGTAATAATTGGAAGTTATTCTTCATATTTTTCTAAACTTTAGCGTAATTTTTCTATAGTTTATTTTTCCTTGAATAATTTATTTAATTATTTTTGTATTTATATTGAAGATTAATGTATTTATTTTATTGATTCAGGTATTTCATATTTTAATTATGATCCTTGTTCTAATAATGTTTATAATTAAGCTAAATGAACCTTTTATTTACTATTTATGAGTTCCATAATATCCTGCTTCCATTTATTTTATTACATCATTTTATCTTCATTTAATTTACTCATATATTATTCAATTTTTTCATTCATATATTCATCTGTAAATTTTAAAGCATGCCTATGTTTGAATTGATTATAAATTATTAAGCTTGGAAATAACAAGTAAAATTTTGCTTTGATTATATTATAATCCATCATTTTTAAAAACATCAATGCTTTTTCATTAACCTATTCTTAAGTTATGGATAATCCACTTAAAATTAAGCCATCACCACTAAAACCCTTATTCTTCTTTTTAATATCTTCATTTGTGTTATCATCTACTTAGTTCAAGATTAAAGATGATGCAAATAGCAGATAATCATCAATTGTGGATAGACTTTAAATTTATTCAGTTTAAAAAATTAGACTTTGTTTCTATTCATAATTAACTATTTTTACATGCTTTTTAAAATTTTCTAAAGTTTTTTCTGGTTTATCTGGAACTATTGCTTAACATTTCTCATCAACTATAATCATTCGTTTAGAATGAAGAAATCTGTTCTATTAAGGAACTTCTTAAACTTTCATTTCACTTTATTCAATTTCCATTGGATCATCCATGAAATTCATAATCTATATATTATTTATATAATTTTAATGAGTTTTTGATAGCTTTTAAAATAGGAACTTTATAATAGTTTTCATGATTTCAATTTACTTAAAAACAAATCAAAAGATAATCTTAATAAACTCGTTTTATAGAAAACTTATATATATTAATATCATTAGCTTTAATAACAATAAATTCCTTTATTTGATTCTGAAATATTCATCATAATCTTTTATATTACTCATCATTATTTTATATATATGGCTACCACTATCTTTTAGATCTGTTTTTTCAATAAAATTTAAGTAGTTCTCTTTCAATATTTTCAAATCTATTAATCTAAGAAAGATAAAAGACTTCAAATCCAATGAGATTGAAGATACTTTTTAAGTTTTCTAAATTTAGATCTACACTTACAAGAATAAATAATAAAAGGTTTGATATTCTTTTGTTAAATTTATTGAAAGAAATTCATTTTCTTTTTGGAATTCTCTTATGAAAATTTTAACTAAACTATTTATATCAATTAAGTTCATAATGTATTATAATTAATTTCAATATAAGTAATATATATTTGATTAATAGTTAACTACTATTCTATCATTTATTAATATTATCATTGGATTTAAATTAAGAATATGTAATTGAGATTATTAATATAATAATTATATTAGTATACTAATATTTTTCTGTATAACTCACAAATTTTTTTGTCTACAGGATCTTTAGATTTAAATTTAGAAGGATCTTATATAAACTAAGTTTTAAATATTATAATAAAAAGAAAAGCTTTCTTTAAAGGGGATTTATNCTATTCTTAAGTTATGGATAATCCACTTAAAATTAAGCCATCACCACTAAAACCCTTATTCTTCTTTTTAATATCTTCATTTGTGTTATCATCTACTTAGTTCAAGATTAAAGATGATGCAAATAGCAGATAATCATCAATTGTGGATAGACTTTAAATTTATTCAGTTTAAAAAATTAGACTTTGTTTCTATTCATAATTAACTATTTTTACATGCTTTTTAAAATTTTCTAAAGTTTTTTCTGGTTTATCTGGAACTATTGCTTAACATTTCTCATCAACTATAATCATTCGTTTAGAATGAAGAAATCTGTTCTATTAAGGAACTTCTTAAACTTTCATTTCACTTTATTCAATTTCCATTGGATCATCCATGAAATTCATAATCTATATATTATTTATATAATTTTAATGAGTTTTTGATAGCTTTTAAAATAGGAACTTTATAATAGTTTTCATGATTTCAATTTACTTAAAAACAAATCAAAAGATAATCTTAATAAACTCGTTTTATAGAAAACTTATATATATTAATATCATTAGCTTTAATAACAATAAATTCCTTTATTTGATTCTGAAATATTCATCATAATCTTTTATATTACTCATCATTATTTTATATATATGGCTACCACTATCTTTTAGATCTGTTTTTTCAATAAAATTTAAGTAGTTCTCTTTCAATATTTTCAAATCTATTAATCTAAGAAAGATAAAAGACTTCAAATCCAATGAGATTGAAGATACTTTTTAAGTTTTCTAAATTTAGATCTACACTTACAAGAATAAATAATAAAAGGTTTGATATTCTTTTGTTAAATTTATTGAAAGAAATTCATTTTCTTTTTGGAATTCTCTTATGAAAATTTTAACTAAACTATTTATATCAATTAAGTTCATAATGTATTATAATTAATTTCAATATAAGTAATATATATTTGATTAATAGTTAACTACTATTCTATCATTTATTAATATTATCATTGGATTTAAATTAAGAATATGTAATTGAGATTATTAATATAATAATTATATTAGTATACTAATATTTTTCTGTATAACTCACAAATTTTTTTGTCTACAGGATCTTTAGATTTAAATTTAGAAGGATCTTATATAAACTAAGTTTTAAATATTATAATAAAAAGAAAAGCTTTCTTTAAAGGGGATTTATAATGGAAATTAAATTAAAATACAATTATATCGTCTAAAAACATAAAATAGTAATTAATTCTGTTCTGTAAACATAGATTGTCTTAAATCTAATAATTCAATTAGATAAAATTATGACTTGGATTAATTACTATGTATACCATTACTTTATTATAAAATAGATTTCTAGATTATCATATAATGTTATTTTTTTATTATCAATTTTATGATCATTTGAACTATGAATTCATTTTGCTGTGAATATCTTTTTCTGAAAAGACTGTGTATGCCACTATACCATATGTTTAAGATGTAGCTTAATAATTATCTCATGATTAAACTATTTATCGTTCTAAAAATACAATTATGTATGTTCATTTTAAAAAAATAAAGAATCTGAAAACATTATTAATAATAAAATTTTATAATTAATACTTCTATCATAATTGATACACTCAATATTAATTTTTATCATCTTCAACAATTTTTTAAAATTTTAATCTAATCTCTGCTTGATTAGGATATAATTATTTAGACTTTTAAATATTAAAATTGTTGTTGTCTAATTAGATAGGATTAACTGGTTTGTTTAGCATAAAGCAATATTGACAACAGATTATCAAGTGGTATATGGCATATGTTATTTAATTATTCTCTCTCTTAATAATCTAATCTATTTCTTAATAAAGATTGTTATTAAGATTATATTAATCGAGTTAATTTTTGAGCATTTCTTAAATTCTTTTATCTCCAGATAAATTCTGTTAATATGCAATATCCTCAAATTATAGTTCACTTATTATATATTGCTATCCTGCTAATTCCAACAAATTATTAAGTTAATTTAATTCATTTTAATAATCATTGTCATCTTTAACTATTGAAATTTATTCCAATATTTATATTTAAATTAAATTGTTCATTTTTTTAACTTAATAACATAAAAGTACTGCTGCATAATGAGCTCTCATTTAGATTTAAAAAATTTCTAATATAGTATTTGAAAAGTAATAAATGTCATTCATTCTTCTATTCAATTCTTCAATCTTTAAATTCATTTCATTAGTTTTTTTAATTTTTTGTTTTAAATCATTATCTAAATTAGATTTATCTTAAAAAGGAATTTCATCTATTTATAAATTTTTAATAGACTAAGTAAACTAAACATCCCTTTATGGTTATTATTTATTAGTCAACAATCGTTATTAAGTTGTTTAAATATCTTTTTAATTTTCTTATTCAATAATATTTGCTTATTATTAATAAAAGTTAACGTTTTCTTCTAAGTCTAATTTAGAACTTTCTATTTGAATTCTACTAATTTAGCCTATAATTATATAATAATAGATATTACTAAATATTTATTTTTAAAAGACTTTATGCTATGAGATTTGTAAGAAAGTTATTCTTTTTTTTGGATCAAATTATAACATTTACACAATAAGATCTTTAGCTTCATCTGATACATCAATTTTATTTTTATTAAAATTAATTTATGCTAAGCTAATAAAATGATTTTACGTTAACTTTATGACTTATAGTCTTTTTGTGTAAATGGATATCTTCCAAATAAGATTTAATAAAAGATAACTCCAACTGAAAACATATCTGATGATAATCCATAAGAATTTTAATTAAGTATTTCTGGAGCCATAGTATAAAGAGATCCAAGTTATAAACGAGATTAATCATTCTAAAAATATATATATATAGTGAAATTACTTCATTTTGTAGCATCTTACAAAATCCAAGATCTGCAATTTTATAAATTGAACGACTTTGTATAAGAATATTAGCTGCTTTAAGATCTCTATGAATAATAAAGGTAGAATGCAAATCTTTTAATCCTGAAAGTATTTAACGTAATATTCCTATTGCATCTTGTTCTGTTAGGCTCAAGTTTGGATTCTTGATTTATTATTCTAGATCTCCAGCTATTATATATTATACATTTAATTACAATCACAATATTCCATTACTAAATAACTATATAAGTTATCCATAAAACAATCAACAAATCCAACTACATATTTACTTTTAACCTTTTATAATGCCTTCTATTCCGATAAAACAAGTTCACCTAAGATTCCATCATTTTCTTAAAATCTTTCTATTTCTATCACTTTTATTGCTACTATTCGTTTATCTTTCAAAACTTTTCCTTAAAATACCTAAACATATTTTATATTATATACAAATCCAAATGCTCCTTTTCCAATCAATTTAATAAATTTATACCCTCTTACTTCTTTATCAATTAAGTCAATCATGCAAATAATTATTTTATATATTAATTCTAATATAATTAATTATCAAAATCCAGATTTATTCAGAAGATATTCAATTGATTTATCTTATAAATCTGTTTATATTTATTAATTTTAATGATATGGATTCATAGTTTAACAAACTTAAACATTTATAAATAGAATTAACATATCTTTCAAATTCTATTACCCATTTTATTATTATTTTGAATATGGAATTTATGATTTTTTAAAATAATCTATTAAAAACTAAATTGCTTTATGATAGCTATTAAAAAATTATTAAGTTTCATTTGTATTTAGTTCTAATTCCCATTAACTAATTGGATAATTGTATTCTTTTTAATTCCTAAAAAAAATTATAATATTATTTTATACTATAACATTAATAAAATTTAATCTAAAACCTATTTTAATCTCTTAATTGTTTTATCATATTTTTCTAATTACTTTTTTATTGTTTCTAATTGACATTTTTCTCTAACTTCTTTACTAAAATTAATTAATTCACAGTAGCTTCTTTTATATAACATAAATCTTGGAAACATTGTTTTTTTCCAATTGAAAAATTTCTTTCCTCCAAAATTTTCTGCTACTTAATAAAAATACATAATATTATCAAAAACATTTTAAAGATAGGCTTCTGTAAAATTTTCAGTTTCAAAAATTTTCTTATGAACAATTCCCCAAAGCTAAGGATCTTATTAAGGTTATAATATATTAGTATTATTTTCACTTTAAAATACACTATTTTTATTAGATTCTAAAATTTTCTTTATCTCTTATATATCTGGTCTTTAATTAGGATTATATTAAACCATTTCATAGATTAATTTTATAATAAATGGACTTATAGAATTTTTTATCGATTCATCCATTTAAAGTTAAGCTTATTTCAATTCTATTAAATATACTTTTTTATATCGATACTAGATAATCACCACCACTTTCTTAATTAAAAGGGTAATAACCAAAAATCATAGCAAATAATATACAACCAAGTGAAAATATATCTGATTTTGAAGTAAGATGTGCTGGGCTATACAATTCTGGAGCAGCATATCCATAACTTTATAATTTTATTAAAAACTAAATAAATATATAATAAAATACTCTTTTATTCAAATGTGAACATTCAAAATTTGCTATTTTTATATGAAATTATTTCATAAATATATTTTTCATACTTAAATCTGCATGAACAATCTCTTTATTACTCAAAATTTCTAATCCATTTAAAATTTATATAAATATATTTAAAGCCATATTTTCAGAGAATTTTTTTGCATTTTAATTCCAAAATTATTCAAGTGTTTCTAATAATCATTTTATGTTAATTTTACATTCGCAATGTTCAAAAATAATGTATGAATATTATTCATCTTACTTTAGATCTACAAATTTTATAATTTCTGGAAAATTCAAGTCTTTCAATATTTCTTTCTCATGTAACACTAATGATGAATATTATTTTTAAGAAATTTTTAATGTGTAATTTTATTTATCCTTAATATTGTTTACTTAATAAATCTAATATTTATTTTATAATTTATACGTTAGAATATTATGAAGCTAACATTTATTATATGACTTTGTATTCTTCTAAAAATTAGCTTTGCATTGATTACTAAAAGTAAATATTAATTCAATTAAATTTATTTAGAATATATTTATATTCAATAAATATAAATTTCTATTATTTGGGACTATTGCATAATTTGATTATTTAATCAAGATAGAGTTTTTATTACTATTCAATTTGATATAACTTAATAAATCTATATTTTTTTGGAATAGTTTAGAATGATTTTATAAATCTGCACAATATTATTCATATTTAATAAATTATTAAAATTTATATTATATTATAATAGAAAATAAAATGAAATAATAAATAATTTTAAAACTTTAATTTATAATTATACTCATTCAATAGCATAAATTGCAAAACTATGATCAGGTGAATATGCAAGAGTAAGTTAATCTCCTATTCTTCTTCCTCCTCCATTAGGATGATCTAAAAGATGACTAAATCTTTTTTTATCATGAACATCTTAATTATCTGTTTATCTGAGATCTATAATTTCATTTGGAGAAAATCCAATCGAATAATTCTTAACTAAATACCAATATAACTAATCACCACTTCTACTTTTTCTGGCTTTTTTTACATTTACTGTCTCTTAAAATACTTCAAATGCATAATCACATGCCATTAAAACAAACCTATCTTATTTTTTCATATCTATTCCTCCTAAACATATTATTGCTTAGTGGCTTACTTATTCTTTTATATCTTTAATTTTATTCATTGTAAATTGAACTGTAAAATCATTAAAATATTAAAGTTAGAATCCTGTTAATAATATTATTGGAAAATCTGTATGAATTCTACCTAATAATTCTAATTAAGCATTGTAATAATTTCGATTAATTTCTATCTTCTCTATTACAAATTATTTCATTTCTTTTAATGCTTTTTCTAATTTTATATCCACTTTTTAATCTTATCCTTCTATTACTATTAATTAATCTTTATTCTCTCTATTATTATATCCTTTTTACTCTTAAAATTAATTTTAATTTTCTTAATTTGTATAATTCTCAAATTTCATTTCTAAACTTGTAATCAAATTTGTTTAATTTTAAAATTATTGTTCCAATATTTCAATCTAAATTTTCTAATTACGATTAATTAATATTTAAGCTTAATTTTGATCTTTTAAGCTTTTCTATAATTCCATTATATCAATTTTTAATTTTTGATTAAATAATTTTAAATATTCTATTTCTTTTATTAATTCCTCAAACCATTTTTATTTCATTTCATCAATTTAATTTTTTGTATCTAATTATAAAAGACTCATTTATTCTTAAACAGTCAATTTAATCGATTCAATTAATTTTTATTCATCCTTGAAAAGAATATTTGTGTTTTAATTAGTTTGTTACCAAAATAAATTACTAAATATAATAACCAATAAAATTGCTGAAAAATATTTTATTAATTTAAACAACGAAAAGGGTTTTTCTAAAGCTTAAACTTTTTCTTCTAATACTTAAAATTTTTTCTTTTAACTATCAAATTATTATATTATTATTATACTTTAACAATGTTTCATAAACATTTAAATCTTTTTATTGGAGAAATTTGTTCACATTTGTAAATAAATCATAAAGTTTTTATTAAACATTTGAAACATATTGATTTTCGTTTGAATGAAACAAATCAAATATAACGTTATGATTTTCCTAATTATAAAATTAAACCTTATTCATCATTTATTATTAACAACCTAAATAATTTAAGAATTTTGATATTTCATTCTCAACTTTTAGAACAACTTCCTCTAAATACTCAATTGCATGAAATGGATATTTCTATATATATTAAACTTTCTCTTTTTAAAAGTCAATTGCCTTTTGTTAGATTTAATTCAAAAATAATGTTCTTTAATCCTTTTTTTACTAAACCTTTATCATTATTTAAGACATTTCCATAAAATCATCAAGGTGAGAAATTTTCTATTTTTTATCCCTATGCAATTTCGTTAAACAAGGATAGCAGTGTAGCTACTTTTTATGTTCAGCCAGACACTACTTATTTGTACAAATATATTCTTCTTTATTTTATGTTTAATTGCAAGGTTTATAAACTTAAAATGACATTGAAAAAGTTTAATTGTATTTATAATTCTTATTATTTGTTTTAAAGAAGCTTTAATTATTAAGTTATGAACATCATAAATAGATTAATATTTATTTATAACTTAAATATGTTTTAGAAATTATTACTTCTCTTTCATTCATTAAACATTTTATTTATTATACAATTTTTATAAGAAATTATTGAGGTAAAGCCTTCTTTTTTGAAATATGCTTTTTAATCAATTTTATGAATATTAATTTTCAATAAATTTACAATTCTAATTCAATCAGTTGTCTTTATTTATGGTTTTATATTATTTTAATTTGTCTAAAATTTTTTTATTTTAGAATTGAATTAATTGAGGCAATTAAGAATGTTACTTATAATTCTAAATCAATCAATATTAAAACTAATTCAGCACTATCGTTAAAGTTCATTTATTATATAAATTCTTTATCTCAAAATTATTATTTATTATTAAAAAGATGTCCTTTTAATGATTTTTAGGAAAAAGTCAAAGATTTAAAAATTCTTTTAGATAAAAAAATTAACATTTAATTTTAATTATATTCAGCAATCTATCAAATGAAGACTGTAAGATTATTTGTAAAATATATATTTTTCAAATTATCTCTGGTACTTCAATTATATGAAATCTGATAAAGAATTTTAGGTTTGAAAAAGCAACTATTAGAATAAAACCAAAATTTAAACATTAAGAATCAAGTGAACTTCATTCGCTTAAGTAAAACAGAATTTTAATAGAATTTTATGATTTTTTTATCAATTTTATAAATAATAATTTATTAAAGGCTGGTTAATAATTTAATATTATTCATTTTTGTAAAGAATTAATAAAGTTTGATTTATATAAGCTATAAAAGATTCAGCATAGTTGATCTAGATTATAATTTTGAGAAGAATATTGAAATATAANATCCTTTTTTTACTAAACCTTTATCATTATTTAAGACATTTCCATAAAATCATCAAGGTGAGAAATTTTCTATTTTTTATCCCTATGCAATTTCGTTAAACAAGGATAGCAGTGTAGCTACTTTTTATGTTCAGCCAGACACTACTTATTTGTACAAATATATTCTTCTTTATTTTATGTTTAATTGCAAGGTTTATAAACTTAAAATGACATTGAAAAAGTTTAATTGTATTTATAATTCTTATTATTTGTTTTAAAGAAGCTTTAATTATTAAGTTATGAACATCATAAATAGATTAATATTTATTTATAACTTAAATATGTTTTAGAAATTATTACTTCTCTTTCATTCATTAAACATTTTATTTATTATACAATTTTTATAAGAAATTATTGAGGTAAAGCCTTCTTTTTTGAAATATGCTTTTTAATCAATTTTATGAATATTAATTTTCAATAAATTTACAATTCTAATTCAATCAGTTGTCTTTATTTATGGTTTTATATTATTTTAATTTGTCTAAAATTTTTTTATTTTAGAATTGAATTAATTGAGGCAATTAAGAATGTTACTTATAATTCTAAATCAATCAATATTAAAACTAATTCAGCACTATCGTTAAAGTTCATTTATTATATAAATTCTTTATCTCAAAATTATTATTTATTATTAAAAAGATGTCCTTTTAATGATTTTTAGGAAAAAGTCAAAGATTTAAAAATTCTTTTAGATAAAAAAATTAACATTTAATTTTAATTATATTCAGCAATCTATCAAATGAAGACTGTAAGATTATTTGTAAAATATATATTTTTCAAATTATCTCTGGTACTTCAATTATATGAAATCTGATAAAGAATTTTAGGTTTGAAAAAGCAACTATTAGAATAAAACCAAAATTTAAACATTAAGAATCAAGTGAACTTCATTCGCTTAAGTAAAACAGAATTTTAATAGAATTTTATGATTTTTTTATCAATTTTATAAATAATAATTTATTAAAGGCTGGTTAATAATTTAATATTATTCATTTTTGTAAAGAATTAATAAAGTTTGATTTATATAAGCTATAAAAGATTCAGCATAGTTGATCTAGATTATAATTTTGAGAAGAATATTGAAATATAATTATTATAAATTCTAATAAATTTAATTCATATATTCATTATTATTATTTATTAAAATATATATATTTCTATTTTAAGACAACTAGAAATTTGTATTTTATTTTTAAGATTTATTCAATGATATTATTATTGTCACTTCTTGGTGTTTTAGGAAATACATACTAATTACTGAAAATGATTGAATTAGAAGTTGCCAACAAAATTTCTGATAAATTAAGCTTAGAAAAAAATGATGAAAGCTATTTATTAGTTTTCTATTTTGAAAAGCCAAACTATCCTTTGGCTCTTGTGTCGAATGAGATAATTTTGGACCAAGACTTCAATAGAACAACGAAACCAAAATTTATTTAGAGTAGAAAAGAAATATATTTTGACTTTGAGTCCATATAGACACATAATAACATACATTAAATTGAAATTCCTTAAAATAATGATGTGTATTATTATGTTTAAGATGGATTTGGACCTTTTAAAGTAAGATTAGAAGTATATTCTAAAACTTTCTCTTAATGTGTTAACAACTGTTAAGGTTATTCTTTGAATAAAATAATATAAAATGCAAGTTGTATATCAAAATGCGAATGTTAGAATGGTTTTTTTGGATCATACTGTTAATTTGAACTGTAAAAAATTCAAATAGATGTGCAGTATAAAATGTAATTAATTGGTTATAAGATTGTATATTTGTCTTTTTAATATCATGAATAAATTGTCTTAATGGCTGAGGATGTGATTGAACCTATAAGTAATTTATTTTTAAATATTCAGCTTTAAGTTTTGGAATTTTAGGTGTAAAAGGTTATGAAATTCCAGATTAAATATCATACACTGCAATTTTACATAATTAACTAAGTCTCACAAAGTTGATGCAAAATTTAAAGCAACACTTTTAGAATTCTTCAAGTTTAATAATTGGTTTACATTGTAAAAAAAATTAAACATTTAAATTAACTTTAAAATAAGAATAAATTGCTAAAATATTAAATGGGAATTGGTAATTTGTAATACTTGCTTCCTTTAATATAATAATTATTATTATTTGTTTTGGAATCACAAATATATGTAAGAAAAAGGATATTTAAAAAAAGAAGAAAAAATTAAAGATAAAAATAAGACCACCAACATTAGAGGAAAATCCAAAAAATTTTAGTGGATAATTTTTTTCTAAATATTTTGAAGTTTTTGATTATGAAGAATTGATTAAATAAAATCAAGAATATCAATCATATACATAATGTGTAGTATGTTTAGATAATTTAAATCAAAAAGAAATTAGTATAAATGTTTGTGGACATATTTTTCATCATTTATGTTTAAAGAAATGGTTGATGAAAGTATTAACATGTCCATCTTGTAGATAATAGATTACTTATTAATAAGTGATCTAAGGAGGTTGGTTAGGAAGTAAACTTTCTTAAAGTCCATTACATCTTTAAAATAATCCATAATCATTATTAGTTAATGATAGTAATATTATTATTTAAAATAATGAAAATATAGGAATTATTGATGATAATTAGGATTATTGATAAAATTATTTATTTTTCAATGATTATTAATTACTAAAAATATTCATTTTACTTTATTTTAATTTTCTAAATTACATTTTTGATCAATATCTGTTTGTCCAAAAAATATTATTAATTTGCCTTATCGTATCAAGAATATTTGATATTAATCAAAGTTAGTTGCATTTTGAATAAAATATAATGGTGTATATCTGATACTTAATTTAATTAAAATAATTTTTATAAGCTTTTTGTTTGATATATATATAATTAATGTATGAAGGAGAATATACAGAATAAACACCTTCAGAAGATGGGTTAGAAGATGTTGAAATCATTGTTAGTAAAGAGAGACGCTATTAACAAGAATTATTGTTTGTTTATAATTAAAAAGAAAAAGAATATAAATAATTGAGGGAACATTAGAAATATATTATTGATAATATCTAAAAAATTAAACACAAGGGTAAAATTATTGTCTAAATTAATAGAATATCAAAAAGATAAAGTTATGGTTGATCCATATTTATTAGAAAATATAAGAGAGCTAGAGGAATAATAATTAAATGATTTAGAATCTTAAAGATAGGATATTAAATCCGAAAAGTAAAGTAAAATTGACTAGCTGAAACAACTTCAATAAGCTAAAAATTAATTTAAATTACTATTTACATAAACAGAAATATCTAGTCATTTGCAAATTTCATATAAAAATATGTTGGAGAATATGAATTAAGAGTTATTTTAATATATGTAAGAGAGAGCTGACTTAGAAGATTAATAATTTGAATTTGATAAACGTCTTAAAAGTTTAAGAGCTCAAATAAGGGTAAATAATATTGTTAATTTTAGGATGTAACAGAAAAGAATTAAAAATTAATCTAATAAATAGAAAATAGTAAGTAAGGCGAGTGAATCTTTTATTTTTTTTCGAATTTATTTAATTAGCTTCATTTTTTTATATGAATTCAATTGCTATTCTAAAATATTTTAATCTAATTTTTATCAATCTCTAAATAATAAAAAAAGACTTATTTATTCCTAATAGCTAATTACTAATTATTGAAGTTATATAACTATTATCTTAAATTGATATAAACCTACTTATTAATAATAATTTTTAGATTAAATGAGAAAATTATTAATCTAAAAAATTTATAATTAACTTTATTAAATTTATCAAAGGTTTAATGTTTGGTTTTTAAATTTTTTTTAATGATGAGACATAAATTTATGAACAATTTTGCTTAGAAATGGTTAGAAAGTCTATTATTAAATTTTTTATTATAAATTTATAAAATTCACTTTTATTGATGAGTAAAAGTTGAACTTCATGATTTAGATATAATATCTTCAATATCATTTACCGTATCAGTAAGTTGACTTAATTGAAACTTCAAATTATTTATTGATTACTCCATCTAATCTACTTTATAATTAGTTTATAATAAAGTTTTTATATGTTGAAATATTTTGATTAAATCGGAATCTATATCACTATACTTAGTTAAATAATAAAAATTACCTATTTTTAGATATCTAAAATGTTAATATTATGGCTATTAATGATTTTATTATTTTCTTTTAGAGTTGCTTCAATATTATTATTTTTTTCAATGAGATCTGGAATTAGAATTTCTAATTTATTATGTAATAAATCCATTTATTAAAAGACATTTGTTAATTTAAGATTAGTTTCTAATTAATATTCTTAAATAAAGTTAAATTTAGCTTATATTTCTTTATTTAAATTTTTTATAAGATTATCTTCGATGTTTTTAATTCCTTTTTGTGCATCTTTAGAAACTTTTTTTTCTAACCTTTCAAGTTATTCTTATTCTAATGTAATGTATTTATATGAAACTTAAGGTTAATCCAATCCAAACTTATTAATATATTAGTTATTAAATGCTTAAAAGAGTTCTTATTATTCTATAAGTGATCTTTCAAGGTTACCAATTTTTATTAAGAGTTTTTAATTTTCATCTTCAATTTTCCTAAACTTTTTCCATAGTTTCTCAATAACTAATTAAAATCTATCTTATTTAACATGATTGTCAAGTTCGTTTTATAATTATAAACACATGTCACATGATTTTAGTTTTTTTATTTCATCTGAAAATAAAATAGTAGATGGTGCTTATTCTTAAAAGTTCTTCTTTGTAATAAGATCAATAATATTTAGACCTTTACCTTAATTTCTGGCTGAATGTGTTGATAATGGAATTTTTTCAGGAGAGTTTTTTCTGCTCATTAATTAATGTTATAAGTTTAAAGAATTTCTAGATCAAAAAAGTCTATCTCTTAAAGTCTAATTCTTTAAAATCAACCTCTAAATGGACCTGATAGCTCTGAAAAGGTTAAAGAGCATTTTTAACATTTAAGGTAAAAATTGAAGGCAATTCCTTATGTTTCTTCACCTACAATATCTCCAAGATAATAAGGATAACCTTAATAAAGAAGAAGAAGAGATAAAAAAGGAAAGAAATTTAAATAATAGAAAACTAATTTTTAATTGGAGGTTTCTAATACTAGTACTTCTAATTCAGATGAATCTATGAATAAAGATATTAAAAATGAATTTTTGATAGCAAAAGATAATTTGAAAAAGTTATGCAAATAACCTAATCATAATAAAAATAATTCATCCTTCATAAATTCACCATTATTTCATCAAAATAAAAATGAATCTTAAAAAATTGAATCTTAAGTGGTCACATCAAATTAATTAGATTATGAAAGAGTTAACATTAATTTTGTAAAGTCTCTTGAACACAATAATGACTGTAAAGACATATAAGAATATTATGAAGATGGAATTTTGAATATTTATTTTTAAAGTGAAGACATGTTNAGATTAGTTTCTAATTAATATTCTTAAATAAAGTTAAATTTAGCTTATATTTCTTTATTTAAATTTTTTATAAGATTATCTTCGATGTTTTTAATTCCTTTTTGTGCATCTTTAGAAACTTTTTTTTCTAACCTTTCAAGTTATTCTTATTCTAATGTAATGTATTTATATGAAACTTAAGGTTAATCCAATCCAAACTTATTAATATATTAGTTATTAAATGCTTAAAAGAGTTCTTATTATTCTATAAGTGATCTTTCAAGGTTACCAATTTTTATTAAGAGTTTTTAATTTTCATCTTCAATTTTCCTAAACTTTTTCCATAGTTTCTCAATAACTAATTAAAATCTATCTTATTTAACATGATTGTCAAGTTCGTTTTATAATTATAAACACATGTCACATGATTTTAGTTTTTTTATTTCATCTGAAAATAAAATAGTAGATGGTGCTTATTCTTAAAAGTTCTTCTTTGTAATAAGATCAATAATATTTAGACCTTTACCTTAATTTCTGGCTGAATGTGTTGATAATGGAATTTTTTCAGGAGAGTTTTTTCTGCTCATTAATTAATGTTATAAGTTTAAAGAATTTCTAGATCAAAAAAGTCTATCTCTTAAAGTCTAATTCTTTAAAATCAACCTCTAAATGGACCTGATAGCTCTGAAAAGGTTAAAGAGCATTTTTAACATTTAAGGTAAAAATTGAAGGCAATTCCTTATGTTTCTTCACCTACAATATCTCCAAGATAATAAGGATAACCTTAATAAAGAAGAAGAAGAGATAAAAAAGGAAAGAAATTTAAATAATAGAAAACTAATTTTTAATTGGAGGTTTCTAATACTAGTACTTCTAATTCAGATGAATCTATGAATAAAGATATTAAAAATGAATTTTTGATAGCAAAAGATAATTTGAAAAAGTTATGCAAATAACCTAATCATAATAAAAATAATTCATCCTTCATAAATTCACCATTATTTCATCAAAATAAAAATGAATCTTAAAAAATTGAATCTTAAGTGGTCACATCAAATTAATTAGATTATGAAAGAGTTAACATTAATTTTGTAAAGTCTCTTGAACACAATAATGACTGTAAAGACATATAAGAATATTATGAAGATGGAATTTTGAATATTTATTTTTAAAGTGAAGACATGTTTACATTTTTACGTTATGAACATGAAGTACAAGAAATGATTCATAGATCAAAAATGTTTACATAAAATTCTTAAATATATAATGAACTAAAAAATGAAATGAAAACTTATGAATAAAAGTAAGCTAAAATAAAAGAAGATAAAGAAGAGGAACATAGAGAGTTTATTGAAAAAATAATAGTTTAAGAATAGTAAAGATAAAAATTTCTATAGAAAGCAAAAACAAAAAAGATAGGAGAAATAGCTAATAAATTTATAGATCGTCATCATTTAGATGAAAAGCATGAAAATCGATATCTTTTACAATTAGTAGAATAAAAAGAAAAAGAATTATAATTATGAAATAATAAAACTAAAAATTTATTTATCAATCAATTTTCAAATCTTTAACTGGAATTAAACTGTCATCAAATTTCTATACGCTTCTTTTCATAGATACACTTTTTTCCCTACTTTTATCTCTACTATTGCTTTTTCTCGTCTTTTTAATTTTTGTTTTTTATTCTTATATTTTAATGATTGATTCATCAATTTTTTGAGTGCTATAATTAAGATCAGTAGAAGTATAAGCAATAACATGACTAGCACCAAGAGATATTTATAATAATTTTTCATTTTTAAATATGGAAGTTATCTAAATTGATAATATAATAAAATACATCTTTAGGTTTGAATTGGGAATTCTCATTTCTAGTACCTAAAACAAAACTTTAGCCATTTCCCCAAGAGAATATTTAGCTTTATTAAGAAATAGCAAAATTAAAATGCATAGAAGAATAAATTGATTACATTTTTGGAATATCTGTTATGAGTTATGGAAGAGTAATAAATTCATATCCAATAACTTTATCAGACTTTTAAATTTCAAATAATTCTCCTTATTATTTATTTTTTTTGCTAACTTTTTTTTTGTTGGTTTCATTAAGTTTTTATGATTATATTTCCTCCTCTAATTATTTTTGAGCTTACTCTTTTAATTATTAATTTATTTCTTCTCCTAAACCAAGTTATCCATCATCATGTCTACCAAAAGAATATAGGTTTCCTTAAGAATCAAGAGCAATAGTATGATGTTCTCCACCAACCATATCAATAACATCAATATTATCAAAAAATTCAATTAATACAGGTAATTATTAATTTTCTTAATTTCCAATACCAAGTTGTCCATAATTATTCAAACCCCATCCATAAATACCAACTTTATTATCTTTTATTTAAACTTTGACAAATGCATGTGAAGCTCCTGTAAAAATATTTAAAATTGGTTTTTTCATTTTGATAGGTTAAGGATTTAAATTTTGCATAACAGATCTTCTAGTTTCACTTTTTCTACCAATAACTAAGGTTTCTGCATCACCCCAAGTTAATAACTAGATATATATAATGAGTATACTTTTTAATTGGATAATAAAACCATAGTATGATTTTAACCACATAGTATTTTTTAGATCCCATCTGTAATATTATCCATTTTTTTAGGTCTTTATACTGGTTCTCCAATAGGACCATGAGTATTAGCATAAAAACCCCAGAAATAGACTATACCATTAGAATTGGCAGCAATGGAATGAGAACTACCACAAGCAATCATATTAACAGGAGGTAGATCTGTAATGATTGCAGGTACTCTAGTATCTTATCCTTCTATTACTGGTCTTCCAAGTACTCCTTTGTCATCACATCCAAAAGAATAAACCTATTTTAGATTTAATAAATTATTACTTTTCCTTATTATGTCAAAATTAAGGCATGCATTCCTCCACATGCTACTTAAGTAATAGAAAGATTATTCAATTCTTTTATTTGATATGGCCTTTTTACTTCATACATTTCTTCATCCTCTTCATCCTTAGCCAAAAATTAATCACATTCTGCACTTCCCCAAGCATATAATTTTTACTCACTCAATTATTCACTTTACATCAATAATTAAAATTAATATTCATTTATTTTTCTTATCATATCTAGAAAATCTTCTAATCAAAAGAGGACCATGAAATTTAGGTTAATTTGGTACCTGATTTTGCAAAAAATGTACATAATCTGGATTTAAGTATGGTTATTTATGAAGATCTAAATATTCAACTATATTATTACTCAAATAAGATAATGTATTATAAGTAGTCAAACTATCAATTGTATTACTATACTCTTCCTCACTTATTACACTATCTGGAGATGGCATAAATAATATTTTTAATTATTATTCATCTCCAAATACATCATTAAATGATTCAAATGCCCCTCTTATAATATTTTATTTTATTTACTTTTTATTTACTTTTATATAAATATATGTAAGCAATGATTCTAACTTAACATGTAAAGGCAAAGTAGTTCTTTATTAATAATCCCAATCTGATACTCTTTCTCCTATTGGTGCTGGACTTATTCTCTCAGCCATTCTTGCTAATGATTCTATAAACTCTATTAAAGTCATTCTAACATTTCTATCTTAATTTAATTCATCCACTTATGACATCATTGAAAAATTGTAAATTATCACTTATTACTTATCACTTAGATATTCATTTAATCCTACCTATTTACAAAATTCCTTATATTCTTTTATTGAAATCCATTTTAACTTAAAATACCATCTTCTATTACTTATATCTGTTATGTGATCATATAATCTTTTTAAATATCCCATCTTAAATTATATTAATGTATCACATTCCTTATTCCATAATCTCTTTAATCTCCATTCTTAAGTTGAATCAAAATTATTGAAATATGGTTTAAATTCTTTCAATAATCGATAAACTGCATCTGCAGCATTTTTTACAGTATTTGTTCTTACATATTTATCTAAAGCTAATCTGTAAAGACTTTCAATAAATTAATATCTTATTAATGCTTAATCTGGATTATAAATAAATTTATTATCTACATTGTTCTTTATTGATATTAAATCACTCTCTACATCTTAAATTTTCAAATCAACTCCATCAATCAATCCTAATTATTGAACCAACTTTTAAAATTATCCAAATTATATACAAAACAAATCAAATTAAGGAGGTTAATGTCCAAAACTTGAAAGGTATTTATATACATCTTTTAATAATTAATACTGTTATCTAAAATATTCTTTCATTTTTGTTCTTTCATATTCATTTCTAACGAATCTTGTTATCTTACTACATGACCAATCAAAATCTAAACAACTATCTAATAAATCATCACTATCTCCTTAAAATTACTTAAAACATGAATCTTCTTTATTCCAAAAGATAATATTAACTTTTTTCTTGATAGAGTTATTTGCAAATTTCCTCAGAATATATTTTTTTTAAGCAGAACGAGGAAATATTTTAACTAATGGTTTATAATCATTTTTATCATCAATCACATATTCTTATTTGGATAATAAATAATTAATTTAAGTAATTTTCTTAAATTTAAGTTTAGTTCCATCAGCAAATTAATGATATTAAAATTTAGAATCTTTGCCTTGCAATATTAAATCATCAGGTGGAGATTACATGCTTAATGAATTTTTATCTATAAAGTAGTGTTCTTATATTGGATTACTAAAGAAATATAGAATTCTTCTTTTAGGTGGACACATTTAATAAGTAGTATAATAAAATTTGTCTAGATCATCTAAACATCTTTCATCTACAATTTCATCTTTAGTTTCAATATCATAAGCTTCTTAAATTGCAGCCATAGTAATTTTTTTATCATCATTAATTACTTATTTTAATTAATAGATTATTTCTCCTGTTGTTAATTAAGGTTCAACAGATTTGCTCTTTCTTTGTTATTTCATCTATTCTTTTAATTCTAAACTTGATGTCATTGGTATTGGTTTATAACTATTTTTATTTTATAATAATATTACTCTAAAAAATCAAGATGAAGAAAAATTGGTATATCACCATTAAATTCATCTGGTGTGTAATTAAATTTAAATTCCATCCATCCTTAACAAATCCAACAACAATCACTACCAATTAAACCATTATTTAATTCTGGTATAAAATTAACTCCATCTATTTCATATTTCTTTTATTATAATCTAAAAGGACTACCTTAAAGTTGTAATCCATCATTAGTAAATTGAATAAATCCATTAGGATCTACATATGCTGGACATTTATTTCCTTCAATATGTAATCCATATATCTGATTATTCTTTTTTAATGCTTCATTCAAAATTCTTAATTGTTACTCACTAAATTGATTATAAGACAGATCAATATGAGTGAGTGAAACTTTTGGATTCGATATGATTTCACTCCAATAAATCATACAATTATTCTATCCAAGATGATTATAACTAAGATCTATTACTTTTAATGTTCTATTATTAGATAATCCTTTGGCAATAAATTATCCTGACAATGATCCTAAATAATTCCAATTTAACATTAAAACTTCGACTGTTTTGTTATTACCTAAGAAATTATACAAAACTTATGAGATTAAATCTGTTAAACCATTCTCTGATAGATTCAATCTTGTAACTGTATTATTCTTCATTAAAGCATTTAATAAAATTTATGCTCCTATATCTCCTAAAACATTGTTAGCAACATTTAAGTATTTGATACTATAAAACTATAAAAATAAATACCTTTTATGAGTTATTATCAATTTTTCCAAAAGCAAGGCTCCTCCTTTCCCTAATTTATTATTTGAAAGCTTTAAATCTTTTAACGATAGAGGAATACAGTCTATAATCAGACTTAATTCCTAATCTTTCAAATTATTATCACTTAAATATAATTACTTTATTCTTTAACTCTTTTGTGATTTCAATAAAGTAGTCAATATGGGATAATATTTAGATCCTATCCCTAAATTAGTAAAATTCATCTCCTTTTTATCTACTAAACAATTAGTTAAATCAATTCTTTTTGGAAATAAACTATCATGAACACAAAAATAGTAAATTGGATTCATTCCATCTTCCTTTATGAAATTCTAAGCAATGTCTTTCAATTTATCTTAGTTCTTTAAGAACCCAAAATATGATTCATCCTTATTTGTATCTCTGAATTAAAACTCTCATATACTTAATTTATTTTTAACATGCTCTTTATGTTTGTCTAGATCAAAAACATCCACGCTACTCTTTGATTTCTCAGAACTATCTTCACTTATCTCTTCGCTCTGGTTCATTTAAATATCTGTCTTTGCAGGAAAAATTCGTGGAGTTTATCTAATAAACTTTTATGATAGATAAAATGCATTCTTTTATTTCTTTATGCTTTCATCGAAATAATATGATTTCTCTTCTTTACAAATTTCATTTGTTTATTTAGATCTAGATTCAGATCTACTAGTCTTAGTTGTAAAGAATGTTTTTAACATCTCTTTCTTTTACCTTGTATAATCTTTAAGTAAAGGAAGCTTTCTTTATTGTTTTTAATTAGTTAGAATTATTGACATTTTTATATTTTATAAATAATATACTTTAAATATGTTTCAATCAATTTTTATATTCCATTTACAAGCTACTTACATATTTGAAAAAAAATTTAGGTGATTTTATTAATTAATGATTTTTCAATAACTATATATTAACTAATAATCATACTTGAAAGATAAAGTTTTTTTTAAAATCAAACATAACTAAAACCCTCTCTTAAAAGATTAAATATTTTAGGGATTTGAAAATTACATTATTTAGTTTTTTAGAAATAAATATTTAATTTACATTATTTTAAATTTTAGGCTCAAATTAACATCAGATTAATATACTTTTAATCTATTTTATTTTGAGCAAGATTCTAAAATAGAAATTTTTTTGTTTTAAAAAATTATTATTTTTATACTATTTGTATTTTTAAATAATTAATAATTTTCACACATTTATACCAACTTCATGAAAACAATCGCGAATTATTTTTTACTCCTCTTCACCTACTGATTTCATGGCATGTTTAATTTTAGAATTTTATTTTAAAACCCATTTTAAGGCCTCTATTAATATGATGATCAACAAATACCCTTAAGAATGTATGGAAAACTTTCTTTAAAGGATATTAATTAACTTTTTTCAGAATTCATAAATGCAAGTTTTTATTCAAGATCTTCCCNATTAGTAAAATTCATCTCCTTTTTATCTACTAAACAATTAGTTAAATCAATTCTTTTTGGAAATAAACTATCATGAACACAAAAATAGTAAATTGGATTCATTCCATCTTCCTTTATGAAATTCTAAGCAATGTCTTTCAATTTATCTTAGTTCTTTAAGAACCCAAAATATGATTCATCCTTATTTGTATCTCTGAATTAAAACTCTCATATACTTAATTTATTTTTAACATGCTCTTTATGTTTGTCTAGATCAAAAACATCCACGCTACTCTTTGATTTCTCAGAACTATCTTCACTTATCTCTTCGCTCTGGTTCATTTAAATATCTGTCTTTGCAGGAAAAATTCGTGGAGTTTATCTAATAAACTTTTATGATAGATAAAATGCATTCTTTTATTTCTTTATGCTTTCATCGAAATAATATGATTTCTCTTCTTTACAAATTTCATTTGTTTATTTAGATCTAGATTCAGATCTACTAGTCTTAGTTGTAAAGAATGTTTTTAACATCTCTTTCTTTTACCTTGTATAATCTTTAAGTAAAGGAAGCTTTCTTTATTGTTTTTAATTAGTTAGAATTATTGACATTTTTATATTTTATAAATAATATACTTTAAATATGTTTCAATCAATTTTTATATTCCATTTACAAGCTACTTACATATTTGAAAAAAAATTTAGGTGATTTTATTAATTAATGATTTTTCAATAACTATATATTAACTAATAATCATACTTGAAAGATAAAGTTTTTTTTAAAATCAAACATAACTAAAACCCTCTCTTAAAAGATTAAATATTTTAGGGATTTGAAAATTACATTATTTAGTTTTTTAGAAATAAATATTTAATTTACATTATTTTAAATTTTAGGCTCAAATTAACATCAGATTAATATACTTTTAATCTATTTTATTTTGAGCAAGATTCTAAAATAGAAATTTTTTTGTTTTAAAAAATTATTATTTTTATACTATTTGTATTTTTAAATAATTAATAATTTTCACACATTTATACCAACTTCATGAAAACAATCGCGAATTATTTTTTACTCCTCTTCACCTACTGATTTCATGGCATGTTTAATTTTAGAATTTTATTTTAAAACCCATTTTAAGGCCTCTATTAATATGATGATCAACAAATACCCTTAAGAATGTATGGAAAACTTTCTTTAAAGGATATTAATTAACTTTTTTCAGAATTCATAAATGCAAGTTTTTATTCAAGATCTTCCCTTATACTAGTTAATTTTTCAATATCTTTGGTGAAGTTTTCAATTACTTAGATATGCATCTCTAAATTTTCAGATTTTTCTTCCAACCTTTAAGACAATCTTTGATTCTCTGATTAAATTTGCTATCCAATATAATAATTAAGTTAATACCTTAAGATGTTACTGATTTTTTTAAGCTTGCTCATATTTTTCATAGTAAGTCATATTTTTGGCTTTTAGTTCTTCATTTTATTTGATAAAATGTTCAAGATTATTTTTTAATTATTTTCTAAATAAAAAATATTATTTACTTTTCTTATTCAAGTTCTTCTTTCATTTTTAATTTTTTTTATTTATAATCTTCTCTGAGTTTGATGATTTCATTAAATTTATCTTATTATAATTTAGAAATTTCTTAAAGAAAAATGCTTTTTTAGGATTGATCCATAGCTCTTCTTTTAAAAAAATCATTCATCTAATGAGCTTGTTATTTCATATCTTTATATTATAAAACCAAATCATTTGAAATCTAATAATATGTATCTTCTCCTGGTTCTCTAAAAGATTAGTTATCATCACTCATTCTTTTTAATAGTTATTAGCATTCAACTCTTTTACCATTAAGTTCATTTCTTACTCTTTAAAGTTGTTCTTAAAGATTTTGGACATCTTGTTTTAACTTTTAATTTTTTTCTTTTTTATTTTACAATTCTTAAGTTAATTGTATAGCTTTAGCTTAACAAGCTTCTAATTCAAGAGTTTTAATTTTTTCTTATTTACTAGTTTCTCTAGTTTAGTTTTCAATTTCATATCTTAATTAATCTCTTTCCTTTTATATTTCATATAATAGGTTTTCTTGATTTGCTATTGTTTTTCTCAATCTTTCTTCTCCTTCTCTTGCTTAAACTAAATATTTTTTAGTTTAATTATTTTCTTCAATGTATACTTTTTATACATTTAAAATAAGTTTTTCAAAATAGCTGAATAGAAAAGAAGGAACTTTTTCTGAGAAATGTTTGTATTTAGATTGGCCTTTAACATTTTCCATATAATATTTAAAAAAACGACTGTAAACTTGAAATTATTCTACAAGTAGAGAAGGTTTTATGCTATCAACATTATCTATAACTGGGACCTAATATGTATTAAAGAATTTTTATAAAATTTAATTAGCAACAGTAGTGGATTATTCTTTATTAAATTCTAATTTTGATTATAAATCTTAAGACATCATTTCATGTAATTCTTTTTTCATGCTACTAATTTTAGAGTTGCCAATAATTTCTTTAGATTTTTAGTCTAGTCTTAAAAAAATTTCAGTTTAGATTTATTTATTTAATTAAATAAGTTCCTCATCTTCATATGGAGATTTAATTTTGGATAAAGCTTCTTAATATTTTCTAGTATATAGACTTTTAAGTTCTTCTAATAAATTTCTAGCCTCTTATTATATAACTCTATCTAAACTAGTTAAAATTTAAGGAATTCCTCCAGAATTAATTGCATCAACATATTCAAGTGATAATTTTAAAAACATTTCTGCAGTTAATGTAGTACCATTAATTTATTTAGGAGGGATATTTTAAAAAACTCTTCTCTCAAAATCTTATACAGCAGATATGAATTCTGGTCTTAAAGCATTCCAATCTTCTTCTTCTATTCTAGCAAGTCTTCTTTCATCTTAGATTGGTCTTACCATACATAAACAATCTCTAAATTTAAAATATTCTCTTATTTTTCTTCTAATCAAATTCTTTCTCTCTCCATCTAATCCTGGATTAGATTAATCTTATAGTGCAAATTCCAAATATTCACTTGGAGTTCTACCTCTTAAATCAAGAGAGAAATCTCTCAAAACCCATAGGAATGTTGGAAAAAACTAACTTAAACTTTTATCTTCTGAACCTACACTAATGTTCTCGCTTAATTTAATAACAAGAGAGAGATTTTCTATTGATTATTCATCAATATGACCTAATTGATTAAATACAAACATTGAAGATAACAATAATGATATTGAGAATATTTTAGTGTCTACTCCAAGATCTCTTTAAACTGAATTTAATCCTTCTGTATCCATTAATAAAATTGAAGTATTTTCATTTAATGGAATAGGTTAACTCCATAACCATATACCTTTTGTACATGGCATTGTTGTTGGTCCTACAGCAAATCCCTTTTATCTCTTTAATACTCTATTTGCTAAAAAAGACTTTCCAGTTCTTTATGGACCTGCAATTGTAAGAACAGCTACCTAAATATCCCATTATTAACAAATACTTTTCTATCAGCTATTTACTATAACATCTTTATGGCCTAAGGATGTATCTCAAATGTTGTCTCCAATCCTTCCTTAGTTTAAGTTTCCTTTAACTCAATGAATGGAATAGGTTGACCTTACATTTTATATTTATTTTATTATAAAATTTTTCAATTCATTACAATGTTATTTTCTTACTTCTTTTGTAATAAACTCTTAATTTCAAAGATAATTGCTTTGCTTAATGAAAAAAAGTATATTTCTCAAATCTCTCATATATTCTTTGAAGTCTTTAATTTTGCCTTTTCATTGTTTTTACCATTTATTTCAATTATGATTCTAAACTATATTGAGGCATGTATGAAAAACTTATAAAATTTACTTTATCTAAATTAAAAGTATTTTAATAATTAAACATATGTTTAACTTCATCTAAAATGCTAAAAGATCCATTCGAATGATCTGTTACTGGGGCAAATGTACTTTTAGATATTTTCTATTCTATTTTACCAACTTTTATCTTTTATAATGAAGATCCTATAATAAAAAAGATAAATATACTATGATGTACTTTTACTATTTACTGTTAAACCATTTATTTTGAATTTTGTTATGGTGTACGTATCCTTTCTGAATGTTGATCTTCATCACTAATTATACTAAAATTTTATAAATTTTATCCTATCATTTATGGTGAATTCTGTAGTACTACCTCTGAAATATTATCATTTTAATTGTTTTCATTTACTCTAAAAAGTTAAATTTATTATTCTTCTTAAAATTAATTTATAGATAGATTTAATTTATTCAAATATCCTAATGTATTATGTTTATTGTTTTTTCGTTTCTAAAAAACTCTACAATTAAATTTTTCAACAAAACTATCCTTTTTCAATATCATTTCTAAATCTGGCTTATATTAAATTAGTGGGCAATCCATTTCCAAATGAAAAGATCGATTACAAAAATTACATTTATAATCAAATAATACTAAATTATTTGTAAATATAATTTTATCTTTGATATGATGAAAAATGTCATGATCCTTTTAATTGCTTCTAATAATCTCTAAGAATTTTTTCCTATTTATTTTATATAATTATGTTGGACTAATACATATTGCTGTCTCTTTAGGAGAAAAACCAGTAAAAAAAGAGTAAATCCCAAGATATTAATTTTTTTACAATGTTTTTAGTGTTGTTTTAGTTTAAAATTCTTTTAGTCTAATTTCACCTTTGTGAATAAAATATCTTAATTTAAAATTAATTATTACAAATTATCTTCTTATAAATCTCCTTATTTATAAACTACATCTCCAGCTAAAAGTGAAATTAATTAAAGATTTTTAGCTACTTAAATTTAAGTAGATTTAGAAAAATGATTGATAATTAATTTAATTTACTTTATAACTCTAGCCTAGATATCTAAATTTAAATCTTATTATAAATTAAAAGGAAGTGAGTTTAAGATATTATTTACATCATCCATATTCTCTTTTTTCTCTTAATATAATTATGAATTTAAATAATTTCTAATTCTCCCTTATATTTATTCATCTACATTATTTTTCAACATAAATTAAGTAATTTAAATAAGATTTTTTCTATTAAAGTAATAATTAAATATATATACTTATAAGTTAATTAAGTATCATATATATTTTTTAATATAATCCCAATAGAGCTCATTGTATAAGCAAAAGCACAACTAGAAAAAAACATCACTATTGATGCTACAATCATTTCAATCTCATTTATTGCAACTAAATCACCATATCCAACTGTTGTCATTGTCATTGTAGCCCAATAAAATGCAGCATTATATTTACTCCAAATTGATTTATCTTCTAAATGATTCATTATTAACCAGGAATTACCTAGACTTTCACTTTAAAATCCTACATAATGCCATATGCATGCTATGATGTGAGCAAAATAGTAAATTTAAATTATTAAAGATATTAAATCTATTGTAAAATTCTAACTCCCTCGACAATAAATTTATTGAAAATATTCTGTTATGTATCTTTAGATTTTTTTATATATCAAAAACACTTAAATTGTAATTAGAAACTCTTGCATGTATTACAATTCACATAATTAGTATTTTTGTAATAACCAAATACCTAAATTAAAAAAATCAAATATAGCATCAGATTTTAAATAATTTTTTATGAACTCCCTTCTTTAATAAACTATAACTGCTTCCTTTATTATAGCTCTGTTAAACATTACTAGAATATCAAAGATCAAATAAAACAATATTATTGACTAAAGGAATTTTAAAATACTATTATGGAAACCTTGGAAAGAACATAAAAAAGGACTGATCCATAACATTATTAAATGAAAGACAAGGCCAAAAATATCCCAAATCATTATAAAATGAGTTGAGGGTAAAAATATCCATTTATTTTTTTAATTATACTTACCTATAATATATTGTTTTATTTACAACTATTTCTAGCAGATTATTAAGTTGGTTTTTCATCTAATGCTTCTATTATTTTTTATTTTTAATCCTATTTCATGAAATAAAGATTTGTAAATAGATTGTTTATAAATCTATGAATAAAGTATTGTTTCCTAAAATTTATTACAAATTGCGATGTTTTCTACTTTTCAATCATTCTCAAAGATCTATTCGTAAAAAATATTGCATTCTTTATATAATCAGACTTATTCTTAATTATTAATTTACTTTACGACTTTAACATATGACTGTTTGCATTTTATCCTTTATCATATTTTAATCAAGCACTTCATTCTCATCATCAAATAATGATTATGATGAAGGAGACTCTGGTTTTGATGTAACTTATTAAGTTACATTACAAGGTCCCATACGTATAGTATTCGATGTATTAGCTTCCATAATTATTTGAAAAATTAATACTTAAGACACAAAATTATTAATTCTAATCAAAATGTTACATTATGATTTATAAAATTAACATATGTATAAATTATTCACTTTCTTTAGACTTAAATTATAAAGTTTGTTTTTTCTAATATAAATGTTACTATTTGGAAATTATAGATGAATTTGTCTTGCAATTTATCATAAGTCTAATATCAATTATTATAAGTAACTTATCTACTGATATTATTCTCAAGGATATATTAGGTCATTTATTAATAAAAAGGCAGGAGATTCTAAATTGGTTGCTTCTAACAAAAACTTTTAGAAATTTAACTAATATTATAAACATATAAAATTACAATTTAAAAGTCAGTAAGTATATTTTTTAAATTGATATGAATTTCACACTAACAAGGCTTATAAATAAGCAGATTGTAATGAAAATTCAATAATTGGCTATCCCTTTCTTCTTAGACCAATTTTTTGTATAAATCTATTTTTTTAACGATGTTCTTATAAAAAATTCCTAGATATTTTATTCCCAATTAATAAACATAAATTTATAATTATAAAAAAATTCTTAATAATCTAATAATAATTTGAAATTATAATATTTCTATAAAATAATAATTCTTCAACATATTTGTAGCCCTTTATTTAATTGTAACCATTATTTAAATCTAAAAGAAAGATTAAGATTTCTTTTTTGAACTGACTGATATAATAGAATATATATACAACAATTAATTGTATTTCATAAATATATCTTACTAATATTATTTAGATTTCTAATCTTTAATTGTATGAAATTATATTTAAGTTTTCTTAAATTTTTTCTTTAATTGTTGAAATATTAATTTTGTTAGCAATATATAATAATGAGAATATTATCATTTATTTCATTTTTCCAATATAATTTTTCAGATGGAATCATATTGACATAATTAAAAGAAATCCTACATAATCTTTTCTGAGACATAGATGGTTTTCCAAATAATCTCATTTATCAATAATGCAAATCTTATTATCTTAGTTTACATAATTGAAATAAAGTTAGTGATTAAACGCAATAACATGGATATCATTATGGATAATTAAATAATTATTATAATCTTATTATTTGTTATATAAGACTTATTCATTTTTGTCATGATGGATTATCTACTTTATCACTTGATATAATTTAAAAAGCTTATTCAATTTATTGTTCTGTTGGTTCAAATTTTTTCTTTTTGCATTACAATCTATTTTCTTTTTGATATTTTTCTAATTATGATAATAATGCAGTTTTTTTAGTTTTTGAATCTTTTTCATCTTATTTTTATTTTTTTAATTAATTAAGAACTTACTTTAATCGTTGACTTTCTTTTTTATCGTGAATAATTTTTTGTTCTTTTTTTTCCATTAATTTTTTTCTTTGATCCAAAAGTTTTAATTTTTAAGGGTCAGGAGGAGGTACAATTTTTTTAGATTCTTATTTAGAAGCACTTCTATGTTTAGATAAAGATTTATTTAAAATATCTTTTTAAACTTAAACAATTTTTTCAATTCTACTTTTTCTTAATTAACCTTCTTTAATCTAAATAGATTAAATAAGTATATACTCTAGATATATCAGCTCTCCATGCAACTTTTGATAAGCTTTATTCTCTTGTTTATGGTTATAGTTTTTTGACACTATATAAATTTTATATTTTTTTTTATTTTTCTTAATAGTCTTTAAGTTTTTATTTTCTAACAGTTTCAGGATTAATAATTGCTGCACTTGAAGGTCTTGATTTTCTATTTGATTAATGAGTAGTTTAATGTGATTGTCTATGTTCATAATGATGATATTGGCATTTTTATTTAGTTTATAAAGAAGTATTCAAAATTTTTTATTTTGCAATTATTTTTTTAGATTCTGAACTAGCAATAGAAGATTATTCTAAATTATATAATAAGTATAATACTTATTGATTTATTAGATTTATTGGTTGATGGATTTTCTTAATAATTTCTTTTAGGTTTAGGAGTGCGAGTTGGAGTTTTCTTAATTCTTGTTGAACTTTTTCTACTACATCCACAACAAGAACATGAACAACAACTCATCAATTCATATTTTTGATTAGACATTCTAGATTTTTGATCACGATGAGTAGAATTAGACTTAATTGATCTTGATGACTTATTTGTATGAGATCTAGGTTGAGTAGTAAGAATAGTTCTTGATGGTCTTTATTCTTCATAATATTGTATAGGTTATACAGATTAGAGCATTTTTCTCTAATTCAAAATTTCACTAACTGATACTCATAATAATACTACATGGTATAATATCATCAAGCATAGGCACTAATGCTATGTCAGGATTAATATGTTTAGCTAACATTTTATTTGAAAGCTTATGTTAATTTTGCTATTCCAAATTAATCTTTGTTTTAGGACTTAATCGACCCACTAACTGAACTGTCTGATTGTTATACATATTAAATTTAATTAAATAAATATTTATTCAAATTCAAATCTGCTCATTATCAATAAGATCTTCTATAAATGACATATTTTTACTTATAACCATTATATATAAGTATACAAATTTTGAATCAGAACAAAAATGATATTTATTAAATACAACAATAATTTCATTTAAGTTCTTAAAAGTCATCATCATTAGTTGACTCCAGATCTGATTGTTATTATTATTACTATTAAATTTAAGTGATATCCATCGTTCTCATTTTTCTATGAATATAACTCTTCAATTTATCATAAAGTGTAATAGCCAATAAGTACATTGAATGTAAAGATGGTTCTTACTTACTCAATTATTGATATGGCATAGAATATAATTTATTTTAATAGAACCAATATACTAAAAATATTTATATTATTACATCTACTAGATTTATACTTAGCTTAACTATCAGTTTATCCGTGTTTTTTATTAACCCAAGATAACTAATGTGGAATTTTACTCAAAATTTCAGTTAGTTCAATCATCTCAGCATTTTAAACTTTTTCTTACCAAATTTTTCTTTTTTCAGCAGATGTCCAACAACTTTTCCAATAATTTAACTCATATTCAGAGTAATCCTTTTCCAAAGCCAAAAGTATTTATCTTACTGTATCTATATCACATTTTTAGAATAATTCAATTGTCATAGAATCTTGACTAATTTATTCAATTCCATAAGTATTATCAAGGGCTATTGGATCTAATTTACATTCTTCTAAACAAAAATATCCTTCATTCACTAAATTTTTCATTTATAAACATTTAATTTCTTATTGTCCTATCACTTCTATCATTTCTGCTCCCTTTATTACACCCCAATCTTCTTCATTATTTTCTTTATATACACACCTTTTTTCTTCTTAAAAAACCTAATTAATTAATTATCTATTCATTTATTTACATATAGATTATTAGAGATCTTCTCTATAGCTTAATTATAAAATAATTATTTATTAGTAACAGTTGATGCCTTTGTATACAAATTTATTTCTTCTTCTAATCCTGCTATTATTTAAAGTGTTTTAACTTATTCTTTTTATTTCTTCTTAGCTACTTTCCCAACAGATTATTATAGTTTCTTTAATTCTGTTTCCTTCTTAGCTAACTCTTTTCTCCAATCATTATTTGATAATATTTCTTAAATCTTTATTCTTTGATCAATCTCCTAAACTAAAAATTCAGATTCATAAAAGATAGTATCTATCATAAATAAAATCAGTTTTTATTTATCTAAAGCGAGCCAATTTTTAAATTGTTCTTACTATAAATGCTCTTTAAATTATTAGTATTCTAATTCTATTTCATCCTTTATATAAGCTCTAATTCTATAAATCCGTGTTATTAATGTAAATATTGTAGGCCAAATGTTCATTAAAATTGATCGACGAATAAATTAACTAAAATAGTAATTTAATATACTTTTTGATTTATCCAATTACATTAAGAAAAGCTGAATTAGTTTATGTTGTAGCCTACACTAAATAAGCTAAACAAAATTTATCCATCAATCCTATTACTATTTGAAAAGCTAAAGTTGAATTATCATTAGACTCCTATAAATCTCATTAAATTAACTATTTACAAAACTTTCATTCAATTGTTCTACAGTATAACGAGTTCGTAAATTCAATTGAGAAGCAAATGTACGGCAAAATTCATAAATTTAAAGAGTATTCACCAGAGACATACTTTAATTATTAATTATTACATATTTTGCAATTAAAATGCGGGTAATAAAAAATGAATTTTTCATATAAAATATATCGAAATCTACTAAATTTTCTCCTTTCAAATCCTTTTACATACAAAAATCAAATTTCTCTTTAATATATAAGATATATGATTTAATTTAGTAAATTTTTTATGAATAAATATATTTAATTAAATATAGATACTGCATTATAAATTAATCCATCAATCTAATATAATATTTAATAATGTGAAATTTGATTGATTAAAATACATTCAGTTTTTTTAATTGTAAAAATTATTTATTATATTAAATTATTTTAATATGATAGATAGCTTCAATTATTTGCTTAAGATTATTGTGATCGGTGATTCTGGAGTTGGTAAGACAAATCTATTGTTAAGATATGTTAATCATACTTTTCAGAATGATTTAAAATCTACGATTGGAGTTTAGTTTTTTTCTAAACTAGTCTCAATTAAAAATGAATATATAAAACTATAATTATGGGATACTGCTGGATAAGAGAGATATAGATCAATTAGCACTTCTTATTATAAAGGTTCTCATGGAGTGATAATTTGTTTTGATCTTACTCATTAAGAATCACTTGATAATGTAGTTAAGTGGTATCAAGAAGTAAAATAATAAGCTGACTTAAATATCAAAATAATTCTAATCGGAAATAAATTAGATTTAAGTGAATAAAGAGTAGTTGGAACTGACACAGCTTAGTAAGTAGCAAAATAAATTGGTGCAGGATATATTGAAACTTCTGCGTTAAATTCTTAAAATGTAGACAAAGCATTTGAACTATTGATTTAAGGTTTTTGTTTATTTATCTAATATAGAGATCTATATTTAACTAAAGCAACTCAAATAAGATTAACAAAATCCTTAAATCACAACAGAAAATACTATTATGTTAACAGACAAAAAAAAAACAAATACCTCTCAAAAAATAAATAAACAATGTTGTTGAATTGATTATATTTAATATAATTTTTTATATATATT